GGAAATCGCGGGATTCTAGAGGGGGGCGCAGGCAGAAAATTAAGATTTTCATTTCGGGGGCTCTATTTCAAATTTTTGGAAAAATTTTCGTGGGCTACTTTTTTCAACTTTCGGGGGCTCTTTTTTCTGGGGCTACTTTTTCATTAATTCATCAAAGGATATAGGCCTTCACTTTGTTGAGATTTGTTTAGAAGGCTCAGGTTTCAGGCTACCTACTTCATAATTGCCTATTTAAAAAAAAAAAAAAATTCTAGTTCAATAACTAAGTTTTCATGCATTGATTTGATGCAAGAACTGTAACATAATAGACCCTAGATTGTGATTATTTCTGACCATGAATTTCGATAATCATTCTTCAAAGTAAAATTTTCACAAGAAAATCAGGTAGTCGTTTAAAAACGTAGACATGAGTAATACTTTTACTAATTCTAAGCTCAGGTTTCGTAAATCTATTCACGAAACTATATTGAAATCGCGGCAATAATGATGCAAACCAACAGATAACAATTTCAAAGTGTCAAATCTCTTCGACTCGAGCTCAGCTCAGCTTAACTCACACACACTACAGCGTAACTCCATAGCTCGAACACCGGCGCCGCAGGCGTCGGACGCCTGCGGTGCTCGGTGCCGGTGTTGGAGCTTCCTGCAAGCTCGTCTCAACTCACACACACTGAACAGAAGCCCTGCACTGTATGAAGGCAGCTTGCGACTAAACTGTCAGTCCAATGGTTTTCTTGTGAAAACTTTCCTTTAGAAAATGATAATAAAAATTTAGTATAGGTCTAGACTACATGGCCGTAGTAATCATAAAATAAGCTTTGATTTCATACCTCCATTCACGAAAACTATATCAAAATCGCGGCAATCATGATGGAAATAGGTCTCTAAGTTTGGACGTGGACGGGATCGAAGCTTCGTGTGTATCTCTGTGGCTTGTGCAGCTACTACAAAGGATATCCTATATAGAAAGATGCTTTACCCGGGTAAGCCCGACCGTGTGCATCGTGCATTTAATACGCAACTTAATGTGAGTTGCTCGTCGTCTGTCGTGTGTCTACGGATGCAATGTTGAATATCCATGAGGTATCTCTGTCGTCACGCATATCATGCATTATGCATGTCGCGTCTGTTTTCGCCCTGGACGTCGACACGGAGGAGGACCTCGGGCGGAGTATAGCCAATTCCACAGAGTAGACTCTCCCGCGGACGATGGCACCGGGCACCGGGACCCCGAGGGGAGGGTTCAGGAGGAGATAGCCGCACCAACTTCGGTCGGCGATCTCATTAAAAAACAATAGAATACAAAGGCCGGCGGAGACGTCGCGCCCCCCGCGGAGCCTTAGCGTATTATTATTATAGAAATTGAATTTACAAAAAAAAATGGCTGTTAAAAAAAGAGGAAAAATTCTGCAAAAATACAGGTATATATATTATTTTGAAATTTGAATTGAATTGATAAAATCTAACGAAACGAATGGATTATTATTCTTTCAAGCTTATTTCAAATCTGAGTTTATCAGCCGTACAATGGTAGGGATCACAGATTTGCAATATCTTGTGGTTCTACACATTGGGATATTGAGTTCGTTGGAATTCCGAAGCTGACGGGTCGTTGTCTGCCCTCGGAACTCGGGCAGGAGATCTCGGTGTCGAGAGGAGAGAAGACGAAGACCAAAGTTAGAGAGCAGAGTTTGTCTGCATGCTTCAAGGGATGGGATGCCTACTGTTTCAAGGGCTGAAGTGTAGGAAGTATAGCCGCTCAGGATAATACGACAGGCCCTTTTTTGGACGCGCTCTAGGTCAGCAGACTGTTGTGTAGTAATTGCTGATGACCAGACAGGGGCAGCATATTCCAATACTGGTCTGATGTACATGACATAAACATTTGCGAGTTCAGATTGCCGGAGGTTGCATTTCCTTAAGCGACATAGTATGTATAGACGTCTACTTGCATTGGAGACCATCGAGGACACGTGAGAATTCCATTTCAAATCGCGTTGGAGAATGATGCCCAGAATTCTAAGACTGTCAACTTCCGGAAGGGGAGATTCAGCAATGTGCAGCGCAGGAAAGACAGGTGGGCATTTAGCAAATGAGAAGTTCATCACATTGTATTTCCGTGGATTAGGTTTCATGTCGTTCTGGTGACACCACTGGAAAAGATGATTGAGCTCTGATTGGAGGTTAGATGGTTGATTACAAGGGTGCACCTCAACCAAGCTCAAGTCATCGACGTACTTCCAGCTGGCTTCAAAGTCAATGACAGCATCATTCACGATGGCAAGGAACAACACCGGGCCAAGTTTTGTCCCTTGGGGGACACCGCTGGCGAGCTCAAGGTCACAAGAGGTAGAAGCACCAACTTTAACAGCTTGCTTGCGGTTACTCAGGAAGCTACAAGTTGTCGGTAAAACAGAAGACTGTACTCCGTACTCGATCAGTTTCCTGACGACGACATTGTGATTTACTCTGTCGAATGCTTTAGCGAAATCAATCGTACACAGCGATGCACACATTCCTTGTTTATCAGTGCCCTTCATGATGGTGTCGATAAGGCTAGCTAAGAAATGTGTAGTAGAGCTACCAGGAACATTGCCGAACTGTCGTACATCAATAACGCGAACCAGATCACGGAAAATCCACTTGGAGAGAAATGATTCCATTACACAAGAAAAAATTGCGGTAATAGAAATTGGCCTCAGATCAGTCATCTCTTCAACAGGTTGCTTTTTCGGGATTGGTGTGACAACTGCCCGCTTCCATGACTGCGGATAGCTACCAGATAGTAGGATCTCATTGAAGACGATTGATAGAGGATCAGATAGATACAGTGCAAACTCTTTTATGATTTTCACTGGCAGATCACTCTTTAGTGTAGATTTGGATATGTTCAATCCCTTCAAGATCTTGTATACATCTTGCTGATGCAAAGTTGGCACAGGTGACCTAGTTGGCAGGTAGGCTGGAAGAGAAGAAGTATCCAACGAGGGGAGCTCATTGCAAATGGCTGAGAAGTGTTCATTGATATTCGTGGCCTGCTGCATTTCACTTTTGCCAAAGGATGATGGCATGGACAGGGGTTGATTAGCGAATCCTGCCATGTCTCGGATATGCCTATGCCATTTAGCGGGATCAGACTCTTTCAGCTTGCGAATGCGATGTGCATAGAAGGATGCTTTTCTTTTCGAGATCTCCCGCTGAACACGATTGCGGTAGAGTTGGAACAGCTCACGATTTCCAGAATGAAAAGCCGCTGTCGAGTCTTCATGAGTGACAAGATTCTATCCGATATCCAAGGTTTATCATTACACTTTCGCTTGGTAACTACAAGTGGGAAATGAGTTTGATAAGCCCGGGACAGCACATCCCGTAGAGCGTCAACCATGTTGTCAGGAGATTCAAGCTCACGCAACCAATCAAAGCTGAATGTCGTGATCCATCGACCAAATGACCGCATATTCGAGTCTCTCAGAGGACGACTATATCTCTTGATGATACGAGAACTAGATTGCCTTCCACTGGGAGGCACAAACACACATGCGTGATCAGAGTTGGTGTTTACGGATAGCCATGTCCAAAATGCGATTGTTACGAGTATTGGTTTTAACCATCTGCGAGACGTTGAGATGTCTGACAAATTGGCTAGTGTCTAAGTCGTTGAAATCGCCAATCACTACAAGTGAAGCATCTGGGTATCGACAACGAATGTGATCCCCGATAAAGATAATGTTATTAATTAGATCATTCTGAAGTGGTGAACGAGGTGGGGAATAGACGACAGAGATAAAAATATCCCTTTTCCCTTTCATATAATGTTGTAGACTAGCCTTAACCCAGAGAATCTCTAGATGACTTGGAACGAGGTCCGAACCAAAGATAGCAGGATTTAAGTTATTTCTCACGTACAGAGCGACCCCACCACCTTTGCGATCTGTCCGATCTCGATGGAAGAGAACGTGTCCTTCTAATTGATTTGCAGATGCAGGATTAGATGTTCCAAACCAAGTTTCAGTTACTCCAATAATATCAGCTTGGAAAGCATTAGCAGTAGCGAAGAGTTCATCAGCCTTATTATTCATTGAGCGAACATTAGTTAGAAAAACTGAAGGGAATGCTTCTTTGAACTGCTGATTTTGCTTCCTTGGTATAGGGACAAGGGTTCTTGAAGGATAAACTAAATTTGGATTGTTGCAATTGGCAGTTCTATCAGAAATTCTTGTTTTTATTGGCCTATGTACATTACGGCCAGCACGGTGTCCACGAGAACGTCGAGCAATACCGAGTTCCTTAGCAACGCACCACAGCTCATCACATGGTTTTGTTGATACATTACGTAATGCGATGAGCTCATCTCGACTGTAAACATTCATTGTCACATATGACGTTCCGCTTTGAATTGTTCGATCAGGATCAATTAGAATAACAAAGCCCGACACAGGGCGTTCCCCGCTTACTGTCCTTGCGTGTAAGTCTATGGCCGTTATGTAGATACTAGATAACCAGATAAACGATACAAATGACAATACGTGAAGGCAAAGAATAACGGAGCATAAATTTGCCATACCTGACTAGTAAAATCCAGAAATATTGATGAAGACAATAACGAAACAGTCACAACAGGAACACAGAGGAAAATGCTTAAAAATGTAAAATTCTGGAGCCACAAAATCTTGGGCTGGGCAGCAACTGAAATAGCGCCCTCTACATTAGGTTGGACAAACATTATCGCTTGCATTCTGTCTTTGAAAATATAATTATTCTAATAACAGGTGAATTAAATAATTTATATTGAGGCACTCCACAAAGACATACCATGTATGCATTAAATTTGGTTACAATACGAAAATGGCCTATAGGCCTATAGGCTATTCATCTGATGGATTAAGGTAAATTTCTTGATAATTGAGTTATGATAAAGGTTTTAAATGCTGGCTCCCCCATTATTATCATTTATGTCAAGAATCATGATTATTATTTTTTTAATAACTTTTTAAAAACAGAATTGTCAAGTTTCAAGCAAACAGGAGCAAAACCATCTTGCCATGATGTTTCTGATGAAAGTATGTGAGCAACAGCAACAGAACCATACTCATATTAGTGATGAAATCAAACAGAAGGTAAGAGAGTAGGAGACAAACAGACAGACAATGATTGGGTTGATGGTAGTGTTGGTGATGTTGCTTCTGCTATTGGTGGTGGTGGTGATTAGGGGAGGGGTAAGGTTAACTTATGATATCTAGAACCAGTTTGCTGTTAAGATTTTGATGAAGGTGTGTGAGCAACAGCAGCAGAACCATACTCAGAATAATAGAATTTATATATTTATTTTAGTTTAAGGGTAACCAAAGGGCAATGGTGTTGATGATAGTGGAAGTGGTGATGGTGGTGGAGGGTGGAGGTAGTAGTGATAGTGGTGGTAGTGATGATGATGATGGTGGTGGTGGTAGTAGTGGTGATGGGTGTGGGGGGGGGGGTCGGTGAGTGGGGTGGGGATGGCAATGGGAAGGATGAGAACACCTTTTAGTAACTAGAACCATCTTGCCATGATGTTGTAATGAAAATGTGTAACCAACACCAGTGTCACACCCATATCATTGACTAAATTAAATAAGACAGAATGTAATATAAGATGGCAGTCAGAATCCTGTGAGGTTTGCAATGGCAAGAAGGGTTATGACATTTGTAGGTTATAGGGTAGATTCACAATTGACAGCATCCCCAATGGCAAGGTGCGACAGGCCAATTTTTTCAACATGCCGGTCAACGTCTTACAACCTGTGCAGCGTAGCAAAACGCTAGCCACTGAACAAAATTACAAAAGTGTTCTGATGTGTATAATAACTTTAATGAGATTGATTATTCTGGTATCAGTGCACCTTTAATATTGAATTTTGATGTCAAAGCCCGTCCATATATTGATTCTGACTGAAGATTTTGCCTGATTTTGGACAAAGATCAACAGAAATGGTAATTATTTTTCGGCTAAAAAGTGACAAAAATTACCATATTGTAGTTAAAGGCAGATAGGGGTCAATTTGAGCACTTTTTCTAGCATCAGTACACATTCTTACATAGAATAGGCCCATCAAATCTGCTTTGCTGACAATAACAATTTGAAAAGTTACCCCTTAGAGAATGTGACCGTAATGATCAGTTTGGGCCAAAAAGTGGCCTAAATGTCCAAAATGCAGTGAGAAGGGTCAACAGGACTGATATTTTTGGAATCAGCGCAAATATCTTCCCTCTCTCGCCCTTCTTCTCTTTCCCAATTTCACAGGAAGTTTACAAGACAGACTCAAACAGATCAACCAACACCAAGCTGGAGTCTCTAAAGAAAGCCAAGAAGTCTCTCACTAGTTCCTTTGAGAACCTCTTAACGAGAGTGAGTAGTAATCAATGTTCATTATTAATTCTATCAAGAGGACCCACAGACTGAAACACCTGCTCACAAAGGTCACATAGTCCTAATGGTCACTATCATTTTCTCCTGCACAGCAACCCACTCAACCATGGTTCCCTTGTTTTTCTGTGGTTATCAAATCTTCTTGACTTAATAGGAATGGAGAATTCCTATTTCTATTTACATGTTCTGTTTGTAATCATTTGTGACATAAACTACAGGTAGGAACAATTGTTGATAATGAAGTATTTCATTTCATTTTTTAATTTGATTTGAATTCAATTGGTTTACATCTGTGAAATTTATTACCAAAAGTCACACAAAGTCATAATTTGAAAAGACATAAACATACGTAGTTCAGGGGTGATAATGAGCACTTTAAAAAAAGGGAAACGCTCTCGGCGGTCTTGCCTGCATTAACGCAATTCGATATGATGAAAAATTGAGGTTTGGACATTATTTACAGGCAGGGTGGCCCATTAGCATTCCCTAAAATGTGAAATTGGCTGAATATAATCAGCATTATGAAGTAAATATTGACTAAAAACAGAAGAATTATTTACTATTATTTGTACCAAGATTGATAACTTTCATGAAATATGAACAAATAACAAAAATTGATTAATTCATTCTCATATTAAGTTTTGAAAAACATAATTCAAGTCTACTGACCTAAAATGACCTTTGACCTTGAATTTGTGACCTGGAATTTGTGTCATATGATTTGTGATACTTGATAACTCTTGCTTACAAGTTTCATGGAATTTGAACAAACACTTTTGAAATTATGCTAAAAATTCAAACCCTTGATGTTGATGCCACAACAAAGTCTAAATATGCACACCTGAAGTAACACTTGATCTTGACTTCGTAACCTAAAAGACTAATCACATAATTGGTGATACTTGATAACCCTTTTGTTCAAGTTGCATGGAATGGGAATGTATACTTTTAAAATTATGCTAAAATTTCAAAATCTTGATGTTGATGCCCCAACAAAGTCTAAGTTTGCAGACCGGAAATGACCTTTAACCTTGACTTAGTGACCTGAAATTCTCCTCACATGATTGAGGATACTTGATAACCCTTCAGTCCATGTTTCATTGAATAAGAACTTATACTTTCAAAATTATATTAAAAATCGAAAACTTAACCTTGGATAAGTTTTTAATGTTTAATGTTGACACTGCCGCCGCCGTCACCAAAAAAGCGGCGCCTACACTTATTCTTTGGGTTTAGGTTTCCTTTAAGACCTACTGCTTTCTAGCATTCATCATGATGATTTTGAGACAAATATTTCAGTCTCCTTCTTTCTGATTCCTTTAATATTGAGGTTTCACATTATGAATTAAAAAAAGTAAACAACATTTTTGAAAAGTAGTGACTTTACTGTTAGACAGCAAACTTCACTTGTGATTTAAGTAAAAAAATACAAAGTACAGAAGACAAATATGAAATAGATAGATAGTATGACTATGATTTCATGATGGAAAATAACCAATGTGACCCTTAAAAACAGATCAGTGGAATGGTGTACTGCACCAGACACTTACCCTAGCTTGTTGTCTTACGTTTATGCAACATCTGCACACGTGTTTGCGGGTATAAATCCAATTTTTGATCAGATTTTAAAGACGGTGTCATCCATCAGGTTTCTTGTTCCCCCGAGAATTCAGCCTTACATCAGCAACTGGGTTTTAAAATTGTGAAATAAAACTTAGGAAGTAACTGGACATATCTAAAGAAATATAAGAACAGCTTTGTGATTAATTTGATGTATGCTTTAGACTCAACGATAAGCATGAGAATAAGAACTCCTAATTACTGAATACTTTGAATCCTGAGGTATGTTTATATTGTGAAAACCTTTGCAGTTAGATGCATATTCTTAATGAAAAGAAGACTCATATTTCTCACTTCATAAAGTAAGAAGAAAATATATCACATTAAAAACGTATGTCAATCGGCATCTTTTGGAATCTTCAAAATTGGGAAAATTAGGAAACTACTTGACCGGCCCACAACTGCAAAATTAACCCATGCATTTGTATCCTCCCACCTTGATTATTGTAATTCAACTTTTTCTGGTCTTCCGCATTCGTCCCTACTTCCACTTCAAAGAATTCAGAATACTGCTGCAAGGCTTGTTACTCTCTCGAGAAAGTTTAACCACATAACCCCAATATTGCGTTCTCTTCATTGGCTTCCCATACACCATCGTATAACATTTAAAGTTCTTCTTCTTACATACAAAATTCTCCATGGCCAAGCCCCTAAATATCTTTCAGATTTGATTTCCTTACGTTCTTCTAGTTCTTTAAGACCTCTTCGATCATCATCAACCTTGCAGTTAACCCTCGGACCTCGTACTGTTACAAAATATGGCGATCAAGCTTTCTCAGTAAATGCCCCCATCCTTTGGAATAAATTAACAGCGCACTTTCATATAATAATATTCATTCTCTTGACCAATTCAAGTTCTTGCTGAAAACGCACCTTTTTAATTCATAAATAATATTTTGCAGTTGTGAGTCGGTCAAAGGAGGTGCACACCGTCTTATTTCTTGTTTGTTCGATCTTATGTTTGATCCTATGTTTGACCTCTTGTATGTATGTTTGATCTCACTCTTATTTTTTCTTAATATATATGCATGATTTATTGAATAAAGAACAGATGTATAAGTTGTGTGTTTATTATAAGTTTTGGTAAATAATTGTTTAGTCAGAATATGGTGCGCTTAGAGACACCAGTATTAAGCGCCTTATAAATATTGTGTATTATTATTATATTATATCTAAATTTTGCCTTTTTTCAGTATTTGACTTTATGAATAAGTCTGTCACTGATAGACTTATATTTGCCGATTTGAAGTAAGAAAAGTCGATGGATTTCACCCTTTAAAATAACTGTCCATATATCTTTAAAAAGCTTGAGAAGAGATAGAGACGAGTCCAGTCATAAACATAGATCACATTAGATACATCTGATTGGACACTATTGCTTGCGTATGCACCAGCATAAACAGATAACGTCATTTGACAATCACTAGCTGAAAGTGTTCACTCATGCCAGTATTAAGTTGACGTCTTATTATAGAATGATCTTCCCCAGTGCAGTGATCTTTTACAGAGTTTGATCTCTTTGGTATTGAAAAAATAATATTCTGAAGTGGCTAGATAGATGGAAGAGATCACTGTGCAAAGGATCAGCTGATACAAGAAGCTCTTATTGTTCTCCTCCTTCCTTCTTGTTCTCCTTCTTTATTTGTCCTTTAGAACTCCTTCATTGCCTTCATTTTCTTCTCCTTCTTCTCCTTCTTCACCTTCTCTTTCTTCTTCTTCTTCTTCTCCTTCTTCTTCTCATTCTTCTTCTCCTACTTCTCTTTCGCAATGTTTTCTTCTCCCCTTTCCCCTTCTCCCTTCTCTCTTACTTCCTGTTCTTCTCCCTCTTATCTCCTTCTACATCATTATCATCATCACCATCATCTCATCATTATCTCCCTCTCCTTCTCCTTCTCCTCCTCCTCCTCCTCCTCCTCCTCCTCCTTCTTCTTCTTCTATCATATCATCTGTTTCAAGCCAAGAAGGCATTACCGGTAACCCATATCTCCTTCGTACGTCAGTGTTATTTCTAAATCAGCTTTATTGTGGGGAGGGGGGGGGGGAACAACAATCATACTAGGTGAGGAAGTGGGGGAAGTTTTTTGTTTAAAAAAGGGGTATTACCATCCTGAAGATCTTTCTCCTCTTATCCCCTTCTTCTTCTGTTTTTCTGTCTTTCACCCATTTTGCCATGGGGGGGGGGGGGGGGGCATCAGCAGGTTTACAAGGTGGATGAAATGCAAGTTTGGGAGGTTTTGGGATGGGGTCTAACCATCTTCTTGAGTCCTTTCTCTCTTTTTCTTTTCTCCTTATCCTCCATTATTTGTCTTTTCCCCCTTTTTGCCGATTGAAAAGGGAGGGTGTGCCCCCTGTGCACCTTGTTCTACTGATCCATTGTTAATGTTACACAAATATTCCAGCATCATGACAGTATAGGAAAAGCTCATCAATTTCATGGTTGGCTTTATGATATGAGTGATATTTATTGACTTGGTATGTTTGCAATCAAAATAGCATTGCTCACATGCCTGGGTTGTTTATCATATCAATATATGAAGTACAGTATAGCATTGGTTTTGCATGTGATGACATGATCATATGAACAATTTGTGTCGGAGACACATGGGGTACTATTTATTTCGTCGTGAGCTGGATGCTTCTTGATGCGTATTGATACTTGAGTGTTACGAGATGATTGATACTTGAATTTTACAAGATGATTGAAACTAATTAATTTCTGAACAAAGTGAAAATGAAATGATACCAGTAGTACATGTACACGGTCATCTGGGTGTTAGTAGTTTAAGACATCATACATGTATATCATGCAGTCATTGGAATTTTTCTTGTGTGTGGTTGTTAAATTATTAGATGCCAGCAGTGATTTTTATAGTTAGTTGTTAAATGATAAATAAGAGAATTCTTATTGTTAGGTATTATTTAATATATGAACATACCTCTTATAATCCTTGTTGTGATGCAGCAATTTATGAATGGCATAGTGTCAATTAAACCATGTATTCCTTGTTTATCCAAACTCACTTTGATTAATATAAATTTGGTCATTTTATCCTACCAAACAAATATTTTTATACTCTTGATGAGGTCAGATACTATTTTGAGCAATTTGGCAAAATTTCTCTTTTTCACTGCTAATGGACTATAACGGACTATGACATTTGGTTTTTATATGTTACATGATAATAACTTAGAATAATGCAACAAGCATGTCAGAGTTTGATTGCCAACTTCAACCCCCCCCCCCCTCAAAAAAAAAAAAAAAAAAAAAAAAAATCAACAGAAATTGTACTTTTCATGAAAATTTAGGGACTACTGTTGATACAAGTTTACTACTAAATTCTTTCATTCCCATAGAATTTATACAGAAACCACCCAGTTCCCTTAGGTGATGGGTTGATTACATTGATGTTCATATATTATGTATTCCTGCAGATGTGTTTATGATCTGTTGCAAATCTTTAACTTGTACATTTTGACCATAAATTTATGCCCACGTCAAGTTTGATATAATAACTTTTCATTTACCGGTATTTTGTCTGACCTGTACCAGAATCTCATATTAAAAATCAAACTTGTATACTGTTTTTCAGAACAAGCATCGAGGTAGTCCAGACAGGCACGTGATGCAGAATGGAAGAGAGGTGAGTGAAGAGAAGGAAATAAAGAACTACAATAACCAAATACAAACCAACAAACAAACAAACAAGAAAACAAAAATTGCGAACATAATAATGGATTACACTGATTTTCATTTTATTTCATCTTTTAAAATTAAATCTGAGGAGCGTTGTATTCAAGTTCAATTCCGAATCCCCCCACATCCCTTTAAAATCTGTTTCAAGCCGTGTTAATAATGATGTGATTGCAAGGCCGTCAGGGAGAACAGTATAAATACTGATTAGGCTACTCTGGGTAAACAAAACATATTATTATCCCCTTGCCTACAAAGTTGGAGGGGATATACTGTAGTAACGCTGCAGTCTGTTCTTCTGTCCATTCGTAAAAAATCTGGTTTCCATTTGATAACTTTAGTAATGTATGACAGCTTTTAATGATATGAAGGTACATGGAATCAAATCACAGCCTAAGTTTGATTTCGGAGTATGTAGTTCAAAGGTCAAAGTTCATAGCTCATTAAATATGCAACAAAAAAAAAATATCGTTATTGTTATCGTTATTGTTATCGTTATCACCATTATCATTATCATTATCAATATCATTATTATTGTTATTATAATAAACGTCTTATAATTGCAGATAAAAAACTAACATTAAAATACTGCATATTCTTAAAAAAATGTCAGCTCTAATTTTAAATAAGATTATTTTGGGTATATTTAACCTGTGTAGTGGATATGAGCTTTGATTTTTCAAATGTTCTTAAAATGCAAGCCACTTTGGAGAATTGGATACAATATTTGGCAGAATGTTGAAAACTGGAGCCTACATGCATTTCAGTTGAAAAGAAGAATAATCTAACCAGATTAGTGTTTAATGCATTTGCTGAAAGATAATTATCTTTTTCTCTTGTATTCCCTGTAGGAGTCTCCGGCTGGGTCCCCATGCCCTACGCCACCCCCTCAAGTGAACCCAATATCTCCCCTGACCAGCCCTTCATCGACCACTTCAACCACTTCCACTGCCTCCTCTACCACCTCCTCTACTACCTCCTCTACTACCTCCAGTGAGAACGCTGACGTTCCTGAGGGTAGGAGACCCCCACCCCACCCCTCGCACCACAACCACAACCACCCCCATCACCCTACCAAGCAGCAATCAGCTGACACTGTACCATCTTCCATAGTCACAATGCTACCGATGAGGCAGAGGAGTAGAACACTGGGTGACACGCCCCTCACCCCGACCACACCCACTTCGCCAAGGTCTTCGTTTCAATTTGAAGGGGAGCAGTTTAAAGCCCTCAGAGCCCCTAGGCAGAAGCCACCCCTGATCAGGTAGGATATGGAGTTATTTGCAGATGATCTCTTTTTGAACATGGATATTTTCATACCACAGATATTTTATAATGAGGAGTTTTTTTGCAGTTCACAACCCATATATGGTATGATATCTCAGAATCTGTTTCTTAGTATCCCAAGACATATCACACTATACATATAGCTAATTGGGATGATGTACATGTACATGTTTGTGAGATACATTAATGTCAGCGTGAAATCTCGAACCATGTGGACAGAGAAAAATGATTTAAAGTGTTAAGTCTGGCCCATCTGCAAGTTGAATTGAATAAATAGAGCAAAATTTAACAAATAAAAGTTTCATCAAAATGGCATAAAAATAAGTAATCATAGAATTATAATGTTTTGCATACATGTAATTTCATGAAACAGTGATATGTATCATGTAGGCTGTATGCAAATAAGCGATTTGATAAAGATTGATTTCACTTTTCCGCTCTGGGAATGTAAAAATCATGACTTGAATTCTTATGGAATATGTGCAAAATCACCATCAAGGTATTCTTATTGTAATATGAAGGGAAAATTGTATACAGGGTTGTCTAGAAAAAAAGAAAAACTTGAAATTTTATGAGATGCGACTGGCCATTTAACTAATCTGGATTAAAAATGTCTATGTACACAGTCCATGTCTTTATAATACTCATAATGTTGTAATTTAATCAGTTTCTGTTCTGGTCAAATCAAGAAGTAGAATTGTCTGAATCCAACAAAATATAAATTGAAAGGATCTTTTGAATGTTTATGTTCTTGAATCCAAGAAGACACTTTCGTTTATTATAATATTTCTCTCCTTTTTATCTCTGATTGTAGGGCCATGAGTGTAGGTGGACGAGCTCATCTCCTGAGCCCCCAGGGACATAGCCCCCATACCCCACTCATGACCTCCAGCACCCGTACATCATGGCGACAGGCAATCTTCAACCGGGTTGTCACCCCCATGAGCGAGAGCAAGGCACCTCCTCGTAAGTCAGACTACGGTACATTGGTCAGTCTGCTGTATCCCTATATTATATTTCTATTTCACATCGATCCATTGAGACGTGTGTATTGAGAAAGAGTAAATGGGTTAACCCTTAAAGGACATGATTTCTTAAAGGTACTATGCAAAGGTCATATGCAATCAACTAGGTACACTATTCAAGTGAAAGGTCGTGTTCATTTATCTAAAATGAACATGAATATTATCTGTCAAGAAATTGGGTAGAAACTGTAATAGAAGAGTAATATGCAAAGAAGGACAAGAATAATTGGGCCATAGGAAACCTTACCCCAAGAAATAACTTTAGTTATTCTGACAGGGCTATTACATTCCAAGTGCCCATTAATTTACAAGTTTCCCACCAAAATGTATGAGAGAGGTATAAAGCAAGATATTCATAGCATAATGTACAGTGTCTCAGCACGACACGGGCATTGCAATTTCCTTGTAACGTGACATACTTTGCAAAGTTGTTTATCAACTAAATGTATTAAAAAATGTATTGATGCTTCTTTCCCACGTGCGTGTGATGATGAAGTAGTTCATTCACCTGCTATCATCTTTTGTACTATAATAGTCAGAATGCAAATTGTATAAATAAGTTGTTGCGCTTCTGGAGTGAAGGTGTTGCATAAATTTGATAGAATCGTCAACTGCTTTATGTTAGTATTTTTAAATAAATAAGTTATTATTGTTCTCCTGAAAATATATTTTTCACCAAATACAAGTTTTGCCTTCTCAGCTATGATTTTCCCTCATTGAAAAGTAAAGGTTTTGTTATTGAACTAAAATGTCTTTCCAACTAGAACTTATTGCATGATACATGTACAAGTTTGCCTGGTATGTCACAGAATCAGGAAAATGACACTGCCCATGTCAGGCATTACACCATGTCAAGAATACATGTATCTTCATTTATATCTCTCTTGTATATTTTTGTAACAAATATTGTTCATTTATATGAGAAAGGATTTCTTGGAGATTTAGTGTGATGTTATTGTTCCTATTTGAAAAATGAAGTTTGTCGACCTATGCAAATAAATTACAAACCCAAATCAAGTGAAAAGGTAGTATGATCAGCAGAATGACATCATTATTGCTGCTCTATAATGGCATTTCTTGAACAGAATGCAGAAGAGTGCAAGACATAGAGGGCATGCTTCAAAAGGTTCTTTTTTTCTTCTATTAACATGTACAGGGTTTGCAGACCAGAACGAGAGTGTGTTCGATGAGCAGGAGGAAGAAGATGAGGCTCAGATTGAGTCCAAATCTAGCCCTGTTATAAAGCGATTCTCCTCCAGACTAGCAGTCAAGGCGCTGTGGCAGCGAGCCATCAGGGAACAGATTATACTCAACCGTATGGAGAAAGAAAACAAGAAAATACAAGGTTAGAGTTTGTTTCAGAGTGGTTTAATCACTAATATTTACTTCTGTCGTGTCATTCAAAATTAATAGACAAGCCGTGTACTGAGCTAAATTTTGTGATGCAGTTACAGCTCACATAGGATCTTCCTAACCCTAACCCTAATATCCAAGTTGCAGCGGGTCCAAAATACATGTGCACGACTAATTTGCAGCCTCCCATAGTTCTTTCGAATAACCCCACTTCTAAAGGAACTACACTGGTTGCCAGTTCCCCAGAGAATCACATTAGAAATATTAATGATAGTTTACAAAGCCCTAAATGGTCATGCTCCTAGTTATGTTACTGAATTGTTGAAAATCAAGTCTCAAACTCATGGTCGTAGCCTTCGTAGTACACAAGACACATTTATGTTGCAAATCCCCCTATATTAACCAAATTACCCCTCAGAGACCAGTATTTTCTTTGTGCTGCCCCTAGATTATGGAATAATTACCCCTAGAAATAAGGAAAGTCCCATCACTAGAAAACTTTAAATCGAGACTGAAAACTCACTTGTTCATATAGTATGTATGGCACAGCATTTACGAGCTCTTGCAGCACAATAGAATATATCCATAATTCCATATAGTTATTGCGCTTTACAAATGAATATATTATTATTATTATTATTATTATCTTCTGCCTTTTGGATTGATGAGAAAGAACAGATTTATGAGCACAGTATTACAAAAAATTCATGTTTGCAAGTCGAGTTCATGATCCAGTTAACTGTGAATTAACCAAGTGCAGTCTTATATCACTAATGCACAAGCTTCAAATTATGAATTATTTGATTTATAAAGTGGATCAGCAATATCAATATAAGTCGTCAAAATAAGCAAAATACCAGATCAAGTTGCCAAGAGTCACACAGTCATGGGTGCCACCATAACATTTGAATGACATCACAGTACATAAGCGTAGCCAAAAAATTATGTGCGCATCAATGTCCTTGCCATTTGAAATTATGTGTGTTTCATTGTGCCTTAATATGTAGGCATCAGAGATACACATCTCAGCCATGTATTATCTCTTTTTGATGGGAACTTCTTTTGCATGGTAGGCATGGTAGTAAAGAGAGACGCATAGTTATGTGGTGTCATTTGACCAATTAGACTGCCTACATTCTTGAACCCATTTTATAATGATGATTATTATTAGATGATGTGTGAAATACAAGGCCATTTCTACAAGCTCATTCAGATAAGAATTTTAACAAAAATAACATGAGTAATGCACATCACTGTAATACATTAATCAAAATACATGTAGGGGCTGGTATGTGCATCCCCCCCTCCCCCCACCCCCACACACACAATATTGCCTATTGCCCCCCCCCCCCCCCCCCCATTGTCCCGTTTCATTTATAAATGAGCTCTTTCTTCATCATCATTTGAAAATTACTGAACACAGGTAGTTTTTTTTTTTACTAATTGTGCAGAAAGAACTTGGTTTCAAGTTGCATCATAAACCAATTGAGCGTCTCCAGTGTCCTGTTTCTTTCTTCTTCTTCTTTTTCTTTTTTCTTTTTTTTTTGGGGGGGGGGCAATTTACACTGTATAATCATTTCTTAACAAGCCTTCAACTACTATTTACTCTTGCGCACACACATATTATCAAATATTTTCTTTCATGATCTTATTACCAGCTCGTCAAGATGCAGTGAATGAGAAGAAGATGAAGTTGGACTATGAGGAGATTACACCATGTCTGAAAGAGGTCACTAAACAATGGGATAAACTAATTGCCTTACCCAACAGAGCTAACACCATCATACCTTATGATGAGATCAACAAATTATTCAAAGAGGGTAAGAGCATAGATGCCTTTTTATTATTTGATAGGTCATTGGTTTTTTTAGACAAAATTACTGTAGACCCAGAAACTTTTGTGAATGGCCATTTTTTGCGGAAAGAAACTTTTGCTAATTGCCAAATTCAGAATGAATGAACTATTTTGCTGCATGAAACTATCATAGTTTTGGACAATTGAAAAATTTGAGAAAGCTTCTGGTATTAAAGTTTATTAAGGCAGTTGTCTTGTTTACGACATATAATCATGTAAAGATCTGTTGGTGCTTTGTGACACTACTAGGACCGAATGCTCTATACCTCAGTTGTTATGTTAGCTTCTGCTGCCCTTCCCTTGTTGTATCATATTGTGCAGTATTATTTTTCAGTTTATTTGTCATTCAGAGTACAAAATGTGATCGAACTCTTCCTCTCATTTGCTAATAAAGAAAACTGTAGATAGACAATAGGGTTATTAGTAGCAGCTTTAGCCAAATGAAATGTGTTAATAAGACTCTCATGAGAACGTCTGTAGTTAAGTTTATTCACTCTACCTATATATGATGGGAACATTTCATGTTTGTTTTATTAAAGAATGTCTGATGTAAGTTTCTGGCCCAAAGTAATTGAATATTTACAATGGTTATAAACTGGTAGTTTAGTTATATCGGTTGTGAAAAAGGACTGCAAAAAAAGCATTGCATTTTGCAAAAAAAAATATAATCAACAGGAATTTCTTGTATTCTGAAAGCCATTCCAGATAACATTATGCATGTTTATTTTTCAAATTCTGTTCATGAATATAGGTGTACCAAAGACGAGAAGAGGAGATATCTGGATGATGTTATCTGAACAGCATCTCTTAAGGATGGTTCCAGGGGCATCTCAGATACCGGAGTCTGAGCCTTACTCTGAGCTTATAAAACACCTCACTACACACCAGCATGCTATTCTTATTGACTTGGGTAAATAGTTATAACCTTCCCCCAGTTGATTTTCTGACTTCATGAAGCTTTGTAGTTGACCTGTATCTTGCATCTGTAATTTAATCTAATGTACAATATTCTATCAATTTGATCTGATTAAATATTACGCTTTTGTATCTATCATGCATCTTGGTCTTTCTTATTATTTTTGATACCTATCTATACCCATACTACCCATATATTTCCAATGACCTCGTGCATGTTTTACTCTCTCTCTTCATTCTCCCTCTTAGAGTTTAATAAGTTTTGAATAGTTTGGTCATAAAATAGTAAGTCTTTAAGGGAAGGCAACTTTATTATCACTCGCGTTCGTCCGGGTTCGGGACGCCTACTTATCTCTTAATCCCCCGTTCCCGGACGCGTATTGTACGCTGGCGGTCCCTTGGCGTCCCTTGCTTGCGTCTATTGTTGTCTGTTGGACAATAGAGCAGGCAGCCAGAAAAGAAGCCATCCCGTCCGCTAGGACCGCTGTCAATCAACCTCACCGCTATCCAGCCCCTCTCTAATCCTTTCTAATCTGGCGTCCCCTGACAATAGCTGACCCGTCTAGAACGCGTTAATCTGGTGTTCCCTGACAATAGTAGCACCCGTCTAGCTCGCGTTTAGAATACGATAGTATAGTATTAATGACTGCTTTGAGAGAAATAGTTGTTTTATTACGCTCAAGGGAAGGTTAGAATTGTGCTATTCCCCGAGGCTTGCCGAGGGGAATAGCCCAATTGTGATGAATGCTTCGCAAAAGCTCCATATACGGACTCTTCTTTTACTTTTGCAATGCATATTGGCACGAACTTAGATCAAGATCTATCGGCAGATGTTGTTTTTTTGTTTTTGGAAGTTTATTTTCGTCTTCATGTCAACAATGCAAGATAAAATTGTCGGTAAGATCGATCGAGATTCAATTGTATTGAAATTACCGACCAATCCTTCGCACACATACGGCATCCTCCATCGCTCAAACCATTTTTTAACATGTAAACCTATGGGGTAACCATGGAGGCTGACCAACTGTTTTTAATAACCATGGTTATTAAAAATATTGAAATGTTTTATGCATGGTTACCGAGAATTTTACAGGAACAGTTGAAGTTTATGAATGCAATTCGACCAATCAGATGGCTGGATTTCTTAAGTGAGGTATATAATAGATTTTCATAGATGAATTTTCAGTCTTGAAAGCAGAGCTAGAGCTGCAATCCCCCGGGTTGATTGATAATAATTTGTCCCAAAAATGTGTCGCGCGCTAAAATAATAAACCTAACCAGCAACGCCTCAAGTCTTTCTACATACAGCTGCATATGAGTAAAAGCTTCTGCGACACTGCAAATATATAAATCATATTTAGTAGTGTCTGTATTCCCCAACCTATTAATCAGTACTGCATTGCGTGGATCAGCAATTCGCGCAAATCACAACATGTGGATAGCCCCCTAAAATGCGGTCACGTGATCTGAGCCCGACAGCGCTGGTAAAGACGCAGCACACTCGAAGGCCCTCGAAGGGCGCTTGCGATAAGCCAAAAAAATCGTTACAAAATCTCTGATTTCTTGATTTTAAGCGCTTTTTTTGGCGAAGCCGTTTTTAAAACTTGGCTAAGCCACCGCATGCTTTGGAAATATGGCTCCGATTCCGCACTTTTGACAGCAAAATTTGGCTTTTGTGGTGGATTTTTGGAAGTGACATCGGGATTTCCTTGTACTAGTGAGTGACGCTGTGTGTAGTGCAGTGCACTGATATGTAATTTGCGTGTGTTGTGGATGCTGGTTTGATATCACGATCGGATGCATGTATGTGTGTATGCATAGCCTGGGGTAATGCGCACGTCTTTGAGTGGTGTACATCCCCTGTGTTGTGTGTAATGTGCATGCGTGCGCGCCACAGGAATTGCCAACACGAAACATTGGCACAACTATGCATACGCTCGTTCTCACAGCCAACCTGTAGCCACGTTCGCACAGCCAAACTTAAAAAAACCTGTATAAATACGTTAAAAACGTTCTGCTTGGCAGCTCTGTGAAGTCTGAGTTTTATGTAAAATCACAGCAGAAAATTCAGTGTTTTTACAAAATAAATATAGAAATCAAAATTAGGATTTACATTGCATGTACTACCTACAAGTGAAGATGTAGATGTAACTTTGCCTCCCTGTTGTTTTACTTTTCCCTTTTGTTGATTTTTTTTATTCTATGCATAATCAGGCCTCTCGCCAAGAAATTAAAAAGGCGTGGCGCGACACTACGGAAAATTTGACCCCGCCCCCCTAAAAAAAAAAAAAAAAAAAAAAAAACGTTTACAAGTATTAAGAGTAATTTGATTAATTGTTATCCCTTTATTATGTTCCGGGTCATTGTCATATTTACCCTTGCACTAAATAATCTCAATTATCAATATTTATAGTATGTTGGAATTTGTGAAATTTGTTATCCAATGTTACGAAGAAAAAAAAATGAATATGATCATAGTTGTTTGATTTTTGTCGAGCTAGACCAAGTCATGTATTTAAAGCTGTAATTATTTTCCTTATATTAAAAACAATATCGCATTTTCTTATTTTCACAAAATTGCAGTACTCAAATTCTCTGCCTCAAAATGACATATACACCCGTCGACTCCAAGACACCAAAAATAAGAAGAGCTGTCGACGTGTTTGTACGCCCGCGTCATTAACATGGCCAGTTCATATTTTTAATTTGCTGGAAATTGTTCTTTAAAAATGAGAAATTCACGAGTTTGAGTAGGATCTCACTATATGATTGTTAAATATCAAAATTTTGAGCTTTTTTTATTGCCCGATATGAAAACATGAAGCCACAAATGAATTTGAACATTTTGATTGACTGCATAGTTGCTTAGTAACCAGACATACTAGTCAGTTCATTCATGACTTATGAAGCCGCCTCTGAGCTAATGTAAACAAAAACAAAGCCATTTATGGGCCGAGTGAATGAACTCAAGTGAATGTGACAGAGAAGAGAGCGTGAGAGAGGTTTTCCCACGCTCATCTTTTCAGGGGAAAGGGGGGGGGGGGGGGAGGAGGAGATAACTTCACGAAAGAGACAGCGCAAGAGAGAGATAGAGAAAGAGAGGGAAATGTACGATGGAGAGCGCGCAAACATGAAAGGGCTAGGCCGCCAAGAAGGGATCGGAGCTGAACAAAGGGGAGACATTAGCATTTTGATAAGATTAGATCATCGACCAAGGCCACGTGATGAGTGATGGCTCACTCGATCGTAGTTGGTAGTTGTAGTTGGTTTCTCAAATAAATAACAAATAGTGATGAAATGTTCCAGAATGAGTGAAGTGAAGTTGTGGGTCTATCTTTGCCTTCCTGTTGGTTTTACTTTTCCCTTTTCTTGAATTTTATTTTGTACAATGCATTTTCGTATTTAGTCGCCCTTTTTACCTGCGGCTGCCATCTTTCCGTCTCCCGATCCTTTCTTTCTTCTTAAACTCTATTTCTTTATTTATATCTTCATCACCAGGCGCGCACGCAGTGAGGGGGAAGGGGGGGAACCCCCCCCCCCCTCATTTTGTGTGTGTGCTTATGGGTGACCCCAAAAACATCATTTCCTGGACCAAAAAAAAAAAGTGCTCTTACCCCCTCCCCTGCCTGTCAGTACAAAATTTTCGGCGCAATTTACCCCCCCCCCCCTGCGAACAAATCCTGCGTACGCCCCTGTTCATCACTTACTTCATCTAATTTTGTAATTCCATCTCTTAGATTTTGTTTTCAATGATTAATGATGATAACGTTATTATATCGTTTTTCAGAATTTCATTGAAATTAAAAATTTAAATTGTGTTCAAGACTGCGAATTCATTCTTTAATACGTCTCCCGATTTCTTTATCTTGAAATTCAATATTTTTTCCTTCACCTACTTTATCTGCCCCCTCTAATTTTTTAATTCCATCTAGTCTTTTAAATAATTTTTTTTTTCTTCTTCTTCTTTTCTTCAATTAAATACAAACTTTATTTTTTCATATATTTTTTTCTCGGAATTGAATTGAAATTGGGGAGGGTGTGCATATTTATTCTTAAACAAAACAGAGAATGTCATAGATCATTGGAGAGTGGGAGAGAGAAAGACCGAGTGAGAGGGGAATTGGAGAGAACGAGGGAAAGAAAGAGGATGCAAGAGATGATGGATGTTGAAATTCTTATTTTAATCGCTTTTTTTTAATTGCTCTTTATCGTAGTCTAGTCACAACGGGAAACAAAGAATGACAGATTTATTATGACATTCCCGCTCTCAGAACAAAGGCGCGTAACGATGTTAAATATACGCGATGTTTTGGAACTTTGGTGTTGATTGACATGACGCCTCATTTCAGATAAGCAATCGACAATAGTTATAATGAATAAATGACACATATTTGTAAAGCTTAGATCCTCTTCTTTCATTTGATGCAACTCATATAATGCATATTTCACGAATGAGCGATTAAAAAACAATTTGAAGACATGATCCTTTGGTAAGTTCACTTTCTGCCCTTTCATAAATTAAACCTCGGCTCAATCAGGAAAAATGATCCAGGAATAACAAATTTCTGTTTGTTTAAAGTAATGCTTGCACTTCCATAATTTGATTAAACGAATTCGTTTTCACTGGCTGCCTGCCGTAGCAACAGAGTTATGGAAATTAAGGAAATGCAAGCATTACTTTAAACAAACGGAACTTTGTTATTCCTGTACAAATATGTGTCTTTTATTTATTATAATTTTGATTAAGTTATCATAAAACATCGATAATTCTCCGTTTCGTTTTCTCATGGGACGCACTAGCTAAAGAAAGTGTTGATTAAAGAAAGAGAGATAGTGGTAGAGAGAGATTAGAAAGGTGACTGGATGAGAGAGAGGGAGAGAGGGCTAACAAAAAAAGGGTCGTATAGAGAGGGCCTGGAGAGAAAGATAACAGATAAGAAAGGAAATAGTGTTGATTTGAGATACAGATGGATTTACTACTATCGAGAGAGAGAGAGAGAGTTTCAAGGTGTATTCCCGAATTAAAAAGGGGAATTGTTGGATCTGTTTTTGTTATCGGAACAAAAATTCTCCTCACCATTGTCCAGTCGCAACAACGACATACAAATAATGACAGATTTATTATGACATTCCCGCCACAAGTCGGCGCTCTCAGAACAAAGGCGTAGGCTGACAATCTTAAATATCGCGGTCTGTCTGAACTTGGGTGTTGATTACAACATTTCCAAGATACGGTTATCAATCCAACTTTCTACTTCATTTGTGCCTTTTCATTGCACCCACGAAAAGATCGATAGAAATGTCAGAATGTCTATTACCCTTCCCAGCTCAATGGGCGGCACAGGGTATGCAAATTAGAAATTGTTCTAGCGCTGCTGGTCGCTACAAGGCGGCCGCGGCGTAGTATCATTCATTCAAAATCAGTTTTCATAAGACCAAACGTCCAAAATGATGACAAAAGATGACATATAAAAAGACATAACAGTCTCGTAGAGTAAATATTTCAAAGAACAAAACATGCATGTCTACGTCCCTCTACCTCTCTCTTCCTCTCTCTCTCAACTCAAACAACGGACCTCTGCATCGATTGCGATTCACACAATTTTCATTTAATTTACATTTCATTTAAAATGGGGAAAGCCTTCCGATCGCTAGAAGGAAGGAATTTTACTGGCAAGGTGATTAAACGAGTTCTTGCCCCTCTTAGCGCGACAAATAGAAACCCTATTCCTCTCAAGAATTATGTAATATTATGTAAGATAATCCCCCCATTCTTGCCCCTTTCATTGGGTACGCGTTTGGGACGCTCGCGTTCTCTAAACAAAGGAGGGTACGCGATGAATGGAGAAGGTTTTAATCCACCATACCTTACGCGTTAAGGACAGTCGCGTTCTGCTAACAAAGGAGGGGACGCGATCGTCCTGAACCCGGACGAACGCGAGTGATAATAAAGTTGCCTTCCCTAAAGGGATAGTTGAGTTCTCTTTTCAGACCGCAAATGCCTTCAAAGTGCATGGTTATTGCTCTTATTCTTATCTATGACATTTCTAGTGCCCTTTTAGGACCTAAAATTACTACAAAGGTAATTTTAGACCCCAAAATGTGTGAAATTTATCCAATATAAATCAGACTAATTTGGCTCGACTTTCAAAAATATACGGTGACCGTTAATTAATTAATAATAACAATACATGGGGCCGGCTGGTTGTGTGTAATATAACCAACACGACAAAGCCAACAAAATAGTTAACATTGGCATTGGCTGAAATACAACGTAAAATGCGCTATTTTGTTTTTTCAACAGTTTTTTCTTCAAATTATCAAATATTTGTGGTGGTACACAAATATTAGAAATCGTTATATATTTATGGATTTTTCAGCCGTCTCTGAACCGATTTTGATCAAACAAAGATGATTTTGTCATGTAAATTGTATGTTCTTTCAAATTTGACACTCATTTTTTCGTTATCTCACAAAAAAATATTTTGTGTAGCGCCCTCTGCAACAGAACTCAACTATCCCTTTAATAGTAGGCATGCATCTTGGTTCTTTATGTATGAATCTGTTCCTCTTTATTGAAAAAATCATACATGTCTGTAAATCATGCCTATATCTCTAATGCATATCTAGCCTGTATCTTTAATAGTTGTTAACATTCTGATGTGTTTATCTTGATAGGATATACCTAGCCCAACCACACCCTTCTTTCTCTGATGACCTTGGGCATGGTCAACTCCATCTCCTCGAGGTCTTCTTGATAGGATATACCTAGCCCAACCACACCCTTGTTTCTCTGATGACCTTGGGCATGGTCAACTCCATCTCCTCGAGGTCTTCTTGATAGGATATACCTAGCCCAACCACACCCTTGTTTCTCTGATGACCTTGGGCATGGTCAACTCCATCTCCTCAATGTCTTCTTGATAGGATATACCTAGCCCAACCACACCCTTCTTTCTCTGATGACCTTGGGCATGGTCAACTCCATCTCCTCGAGGTCTTCTTGATAGGATATACCTAGCCCAACCACACCCTTGTTTCTCTGATGACCTTGGGCATGGTCAACTCCATCTCCTCAATGTCTTCTCGATAGGATATACCTAGCCCAACCACACCCTTGTTTCTCTGATGACCTTGGGCATGGTCAACTCCATCTCCTCAGGGTCTTCTTGATAGGATATACCTAGCCCAACCACACCCTTGTTTCTCTGATGACCTTGGGCATGGTCAACTCCATCTCCTCGAGGTCTTCTTGATAGGATATACCTAGCCCAACCACACCCTTGTTTCTCTGATGACCTTGGGCATGGTTAACTCCATCTCCTCGAGGTCTTCTTGGAAGATTTTTAGACTCAAATAACTTCTGTTCTATATATAGTTAAGTTTTGAATATTAAACAAGCATCTTTGTTGCAAATATTCTATTCTTTTTTATTCACTTTATAGGACGAACCTACCCCAACCATCCATATTTCTCTAATGCCCTTGGGCACGGTCAACTCTCTCTCTTCAATCTTCTGAAGGCATACTCTCTGTTGGATGGGGAAGTAGGTTACTGCCAAGGTCTCAGCTTTGTGGCTGGCATTCTTCTCATGCATGTAAGTTATACGGCAGGGGAAATTGAAGTATATTTGATAGTTACTGTAGAACCAGAAATTTTAGCGACATGAAACATTTGTGATTTTCACATCAATAAACTTCTGAGAAATTGTAAAAATGTGGATTTGTTGTGATTACTTTTGTAGCATGAAACTCTTTTGAATCTGAACCAATCAGCTTGCAAGCATGCAAGCTAAATTTTCTGTTTGTTACTATAACTTAAATAATATTTTCTTTTGAGCCCCAAGACAGTATTTCTTGAGCTGGTGTTGCATTTTTTTGAATGCTCTGTCTACTTCTCATCTTGTCTTCAAATTAGAGCATGTGATTTTTTTTTGAAAAGCCAACAGCAACTTTTAGAGTGTGAGTGGCAATATGAAACGTTAATGTTTAAAGATAATAATAACTCAATTTGTGAAACCCAGGCTACAATAATTCTGAAATAGCCAAAGTTAGAAATGCTATTACTTAATGTTTGCTCAGCTATATTTTACATGATAACATTTTATGTTGGCAGTCAAAACAGATTAACCGCTACCGCTACCGTATTTGCCGGCGATAAGGCTGCAGTTCCGCATAGCCCCCAACTTTGACATTTCCCTAGAACACTATTTTTCCTACAAACTGATACCAAAATCATCAATATTCTTATAAATTTACAGGAAGTTTACCTAAAAAAATGATCGTAATTTAGCAAATCTTCATCGATTTTTAAGCTAGTAGTGTATCGCAGGCAGATTAGCACATTCATGGGGCACTAGAGGGCACTTCGCGTGCATACAGAAATCTGAATGGCCTTCTTGCGGTGAGTCGGCACTTATCAGCCCACAGCTTGGATATGGCAAGGTGGAAGGATATATCTTTTTTATAATATTATCTGGTCTTACCCCTAACCGTCAAATGGAGAAATAAACAAGCTTTTGTATAGATATTAGAGATCTGCTGAGGTTTGTTTGTCGCTTTAATGAATTATACAGTCTCAATTAGAATTCAGAATTATCTTCCTGAAAAGTTAAGAACACTGACAATGTCCTCGATCGTAGTTACGTTCATTTTGCCAGCAGCCGATCTAGCGTTGTTTTGGAAAAAAGCGAGCCCGCTACCTTCCCACCGCGAACCTTTCGAGTCCCGGTAAAATTGTGCGCTGTGAATCCCTGAAGGTGCATTGATCTTGTTGGCAAACTCCCAGCCCACTAGCTTCCCACCATGGACCATTCGTGGAATGGCGAGAGTGTGTGTGCGAGGTACGATTTTGGTTACGCACCTGTGCGAGTCACTTATCAGCTGTCGAATGTCTAAGGACATTTTTACATGTACGATTTTTAGTATGAATATCTGGTCAGTTTTCTTCTTATTTCTTTGGTTGTACAACAATTAAAATTAAAATTTCTTCAAATTTGCTGCTGACGTCGTTCAGACTAATTGTCTGATGTGTTTTCAAGTCAAGTTTGTTAATATATTTTTTGTATGAATTTGCCTATAATGTACGAATGAATGTGCTGTTTTGACCGCTGGATTTTTAGTTGTTGCGCATTGGCCGCACCCAGACTTTTTGATATTTTCTCTTCCAAAAATACTGCGGCCTTTACGCCGGCAAATTCGGTATATAAACACAGAATATTATTATTATTATTATTATTATTATTCAAGTAGAATTGAAGGAAGTGGTAAAGTCAGTAATATGATATTGACCCATTTTTATGTGATCATGGATTGTGAGCAATCAGGAATTGATATCTCTTGTCTTGTTGATGATTTTTTATGATGTTGTTGTTGTACTTCTTTCTTTGTAGATGGAAGAGCCCGCTGCGTTTAAGATGCTGACATACCTCATGTTCAGCTGGGGTTTTAGGAGTCAGTATAAACCAGACATGACAGCTCTACAGGTAAGAGAAATCGTAAGGACTAAGCAAGAAGATGAAATGTGTTCCTTCAGTCCCTGTCTTTAACCCCTAAATACTTGAAATACTCCAAACCAAACATTCAATGTCATGTGTCATACACATTTATAGCAACAGGTTGATTCCATTCCACATACACTTTGGATTCCCCAGTTTTACTCATGTCTTTGAGAAGTTTTTACATCTGTCTGAACCATTCAACTAGTATGCTATGTACTGCTTCAGGAGTGGATTTGGTAGAGAGCTTGTAATATTGAGAGGATTAATGGGTTGAAAGGGCATTGATGCTTGATTGATGAGTAAACAACCAATACCCAAACAATCTGAGTGTTTGCATCCTATAATTTTCTCTTTGCCTCTAAGAGGTGTTTATTCAATATTCAAACAATAACATAATTTTGCTTACAATTCAGCAAATCAATGGAACATCAATAATACACAAGTTATTTATTCAAATATAACTAAGCAAATTCGCAGGAAATTTCATATTTTGTACTTTCAAATGTTCGTTTATTTCTATTCTGTTAGTCATTTCTCTCTTAAATAAGTAAATCAAACTCAAATCTCTATTATCATACCCATACTTATTACGAAAAATAATCATTTTATAAATCGACCAAAAAGCAATACCGGTAGTCATTATCAAATCGATTTCGGTTTGCGAATTCATTTTGAGTAATAAAACAATATCTATCTCTATTCTAAGATTGAAAGCACGTGAAAATAAGTCCTTTAAATATGCAAAGAAGGTTTCACTTGCCTTACATGAAATGAAAGCATGAAGCACATCTTCAGTCTTTTTGCATTTTAAACAAAGGTCATCGTATGAGAGACCCCACTTGAACAGATTGTTACGAACTGGTAACATATTATATAAAAGCTTGAAATTAAGTTCACGTAGACGAAAATCTTTTATCCCAATCAAATTCCTATTAAAAACAGAGGACCATTTAAAGTCCTTCTGCAAGACATCTTCCCAATACAAACAACATTTATTTATTTTAATTTGTTCAAAACTAATCATATTATACCACTGTTTACTACTCACAAGACTAACAGGCTTAACTGATTTTCCAAATACAAAATGGGGGATAGAGAAGTTATGGTCTTTGAAAACCAAAGGTACCCTATGCTTATCATTTATCCAAATTTTTGGAATTGATTTTTGTAACTTTGTATAGTCAAAAATCAAAAATTGTTTACTTCTCCTAGTTTTAAGGCGGATAAATAATTCATTTACTGAAACAAAAGTACCATTTTTAAAGATATCCTTTAAGTATATAATACCACTTTTATACCAGTCTTCATAAAATAACATTTTCTTTTCAAAAACAATATCTTGATTATACCATAAAATATTTTCGTCGAGCTGATGTGTATTTGTTTATGAGGTACCATGCATGTAATATTTCTATATAAAAATATGGGACATTTCTAAGTTTTAAGAGATTTAAAGTATAATCAGTATAATTGCAATTGAGCAGTAGATGCAGCCCTCCCAAACAGTCAAACCAATGTTTACACATGTCTTTCCAATTTCCTGTTGTATTATCTAAAAGCATCCCAAGCCACTTCAGCCTAAAACTAAACATCTGCTTTTTAACATCAATCATTCGTATTCCTCCTTCACAATAATCCTCAGTAACAATACATCGTTTTACCTTTTCAATTTTACTTTTCCAAAGAAATTTAAATATCAGGCTATTAAGTTTTATCAAAAAAGTAGACGGTATTGTATCAACAATCATTAAATGGATAACTTGACTAATTGCAAGTGATTTGATAATAGTCAGTCTTCCAAACAAAGTCAGGTTTCTTTTTTCTCCAGTTGTCTAACAGTTTTTGCATTTTTTCTAATTTATTTTCCCAATCTATCTTTAAAGCACACTGCAGATCAGGTGCGATATAATGTCCTAAGTATTTTACTGGCTCATCTGTCCAATGTAAGCCAAAACAAGATAACGACCATCGTTGTCAGGCTGTTCCAATCCAAATCAAGACAGTCTTTTCTCTATTTAACTTCGGTCCTGCAACTATGCCAAAAACCTCTAATTCGATTAAAATATTTTCAAAAGAATTTATATCACATGCATAAAATAAGGTGTCATCTGCATATTGCAGCAATTTCAGATCAATACCTTTATCATCAATATCTAGACCTTTGATTTCCTTATTTTCTCTCACTTTATTTGCCATTAATTCTGCGGCCATTACAAACAATAAGGCCGAGAGGGGACACCCTTGGCGTATTCCTCTCAGAACACTAAAAGTTTCAGATAACCAACCATTTACAATTACAGAACTTGAAATATTTGTGTATAAAATTGTTACCCACTTCTGGAAAACAGGTCCAAAATTAAATTTACTCAGGCATTTTTTTATAAAAGTTACATCAATTACATCAAAAACTTTAGAAAAATCTAGCATCATAAGAGCACCGTTTTTACCGTTCCTTGTCATGTATTCAATGATATCTTTAGTAAGTCTTACATTACAAGCCGCCAGACGACCTCTTATGTAACCCGACTGGTTTTCATGAATAATTTTACCAATTACTTTTTGAAAACGTTTTGCAAGCACTGTTGCAATTATTTTATAATCACTATTCAGCAATGTGATCGGTCTCCAATTCTTCAGCTCTCGGTGATCCCCTTTCTTGTATATCAAAGTAATTATTCCTTTCCTTTGAGTATCCGACATTTTCTCATTAGCATAACACTCGTTAAGAGCGGCAACTAAAATATCACAGATCTCATTCCAGAACACCTGATAGAATTCCGCGGTTATTCCGTCAGAGCCTGGAGTTTTGTTTTTCTTCATTGCGAATACAGCTTGTTTACATTCCCTGTGTGTTAATAAACCTTCACATATTTTATTTTCATCGTCAGAGAGAGATGAAATATTTTGAGAAAAAATATAATCTTCTGCATTTTTAACATCAATGGCCCGTATTCTGAAGTCGTGTCTAACTTAGCCACGTCTAAAGTTAAACAACTGTTTAGTTAGACATGACTTAGACAGGACTTAGACGCGAGGTCGTGTCTAAGTCCTGTCTAACTAAATTTCGTATTCTGAAGTCGTGTCTAAGTCTCGTCTAACTAAACAACTGTTTAAGTCCTGTCTAAGTGGTGTTTAACTAAACAACTGTTTAAGTTCTGCGCAAGTCGTGTTTAACTCTTTGTCACGACTTCTGCGCATGCCCAGTAGGCGTTAATTCTGACGAAAGACCCAATGCGCATGCGTGCGCGCACCGGATAAATAAATTAACGCGCACAGCTAGTTGTGCGCGTGCTGGTACCATGGTGATGTGATCGTGACGTAATGACTAGACTGCATGTACTTTGTGTACGTACGTACGTACGTAGTACACGTACTGTACACTGAGATTGACAAACACACTACTTATCAGTGCCTCAGTGCTCGGAAGAACCAGAAAAGACACTTCTCCAACAGAATGGTTAGTTTATTATAGATTATGGAATTTCCAAGATGTCACCAGTAGATAAGAATAGTTAATATTATCGAGAAAAAAAATTGGGCTACACGAGAAAAAATCCTGCAAAACGTATTTGAAATTTTAGAGAATGCACGTACCATCGTTCTCCCCCGCAAGTTCGGGGTCAGCAAGTAGAGTGTACCGTCGACGTTGAAAAGCAGCAGAATCGCGCCCTTAAACAGGACTTAAACAACCCCTCACAGTTGTCTAAAGTTAAACAGGACTTAGACAGGACTTCGTGTTTAACTTTATTTAAACACGACTTCAGAATACCAAAAAAGTTAGACACGACTTCGTGTCTAAAGTTAGACGGGACTTAGACAGGACTTAGACAACTGTTTAGTTAAACAGGAGTTAGACACGACTTCAGAATACGGGCCAATATCTTCTTTAGTATACAACTTACTATAAAAATCAACGGTTTCTTTCAATATTTCGTCTTGTTTTTCAATAATTCTTTTCCCGTTTCCTGTCTTCAGCTGATTTATGTTTTTTCTGCTAGCATTTCTCTTTTCTAAGCTAAGAAAGTATTTAGTACTTCTTTCTCCCTCTTCCATCCATCTTGCCTTAGCTCTGATACCAGCTCCTTTAGATTCTACTTTATATATATTTTCCAGCTCTTCTTTTATGACCCTATATTCGTTTTCATTATCATTATTTCCACTTTGGTTATCAATACATTTTTGTAATACATTAAGCTTCATTTCTAAAAACCCTTTTCTATTTTTTTGATCTGCAACTTTATGTTTACAATATTTTTGTGTAAATTCACATATCATTATTTTCAAAAGTTCCCATTTCTGTAGGGGACTCATATTTTGAGAATTCATTGAACTAATAACATCACAAATATTTTTATGATAACAGTCATCAGACAGAACACGACTGTTCAGCTTCCAGTAACCTGGACCCTTTTGAACAGTTTTTGTTTTGATTTTTAAAGAAATTGCATTGTGATCTGCTCTTATTGATGGTCTGATATCTGTATTTACAACTCTCCCTAAAAAACTTTTATCGACCAGCCAATAATCTAATCTTGAAGCAAGTTTTAGATATTTATTTCTCCAGGTAAACTGAATAGTATTAACATTCATTTTTCTCCAGATATCACACAATTCGTATTTCTTTAACAATCTACTAAAATTTAGCGGTTTCTTGTAATAGGAACGGTTTGTTCCCTGAACATGTAAAGTGTCTTTCTTGACATTCAGTACACAATTCCAGCTGCCATTACTAATTTAGATTTTTCATACTTTTCACAAGAATTTGATACGAAAGTATTCAGATTTCTAAAAAACCGTTCTCTTTGCTTTTTCGTAGTTGGTGCATATATGTTTACCATTGTCAATAAAAAGGTTTCCATTTTAACTTTTAGTAACAACTTTCTTCCATCATCACTCTGCTCTATACTAGTGACATCTATGTCTAGGTGTTCATCAAATAATATAGCAACTCCTTTGGAGTGATTTGTGCCGTGTGAAAAATAACACGGCCCATGCCACTCACTTTTCACAATATTTTCAATGTCGGCTGTCCAATAAGTTTCTTGTACGAAGAATATGTGTCCCTTTTGATGTCTAAACCATCTGAAAATTTGACTTCGTTTTTCCTTATTTCTAAGACCACGAACGTTTAAACTTAAGAAATGACAATTGGACATTTACATGAAAAAGGAAGATTGTATAACAAAAATCAAATTGAAATAAGTTTGTTTGACATATCTATCATTTTTTCTTCGGTGGTTTTTTCGTCGACCTTTGCTTCCTCTTTTTACTCTTATCTGTATCATCTTTCACTCGGCGTATTGGCAACTCGGGTGATTCCAAAGATATTTCGGAGGCTTCTTCTTCACTGCCGTCATCGACATCGCATGAAGAGACATTGTTTGAAGCATCTGTACGTGAGGGCGAAACGTAGGAATCAGGATTGCTAGCGAGAGGAGCAAACTTGTTAGCGGAACAGGATGACACATTATCCGGTTTGTTTACTTCGACTCCCTCAGCGGCTCCATGGGGTGACTCTCTACTATCTCCGTGCAGAAATTGCGTAATCTTTGACTGAGCGCGCGTCTGGTAGTCATGGTGCGATGGGTAGTTGTGAGACGATTCTATTGTCGCTTGTTGTCTTCCAGATGCGACGAGTTTCTCGATGCTGGCTAGAACGTGTGGGGCAGTTGCGGCTACGGCTGCTGGTATAGCTGGGATGTCGGGTTTACTAGTAGGATCTTGTGTATGTAATGGAGCTGTTGGGGTATCATCTCTGGTGCAGTCTTGCTGGATGTGTCCTGGTTGATTGCAACGGCGACACACTACAGGGCCACTGCACTGGGAGCGATGATGACCTTCGCTCAGACATCTCGAGCATACAACTTTAGGTCTCGTAGTTGACGGGAGTTGGCCATAGTGGAAGATCTTGCGTTTAAAAAGGCCAAAATTCATGATTCGGGGGAGGGGGGTAGATGGTTGCTGAATATACACAACTCTGTCTCCTGTTAGACAATCTGTCAAACGCCCATCCACGCGGAGGCGTTGGTAGCTAACAGTCCCCAAAACCTTGTACTTTAGTCTCTCGAGTTCATCGATGATCAGGGAGTCATGGGCAGATAGTGGTATGTCCCTAATCAGAAGGCGAAGACTATTTTCATTTTCGTCTCTAAGAAATGGGTTTTTGTCATACACGGCAATGTTTACATTCCGTACATTCAGTCCATTCGTAATGATCTTGATTCTCTTGTCCTGATTTTCTACATACAGTCTCCACAGACCTCCGATTTTCTGAATTCCTTTGATATCACAGCTAGGCACACTTTTACAGAGACATTTGAAAATCTCTTAATTTGTAATCACTTTGTCATCAATCGTTGGGATGTCTTTATGTTTAACAAACACTGGCTTACCTCCAAAGTGCGTAGCTGTTCGGAGTTCATGTCCAGCTTTCCCAGCGTATGACGTACTGTGTGCAATTGCCGCCATATTCAAAATCCAGTTAAATTCAAGTTCAGAGTTACCATCCGAGTCCAGGATATAGGTTGATAGATCGTATAGATGTTCAAAGCGTCTTTCAATACAATATTTCAAGTAAAAAGGTTTCCAAATTTCGAAAAACAAGGGATTTTCAGCTCTCTGGAAAAGGTCGTAACCATTTCAAGTGAAGTTGAATAGCGCCCCCCATCCTATAACAACTTGATCTCATAAGAAATCATGCATAAAGCAAGAGGATAGCACTATCACAGATGTATCGTGATTGCAACCACCCAATCATCAAGTTCTTTAGAAGGCTTTATGTCTCAAATCTTAGCCGGCATAAAGAATACATCATTGTTTCGATGTCTGCTATGTTTTAGCACCTTTCACATAATATGAGAAAATACAAAGGAAATTGTCACTGTATAATTATGCTATTGTCATACCGATTGTTATTGTATAATGACTATATGTTTTGCTTTCCTCTGCTCACATAGATCCAGATGTACCAGCTCTCGCGTCTTCTTCATGACTTTCATCATCGTCTCCATGATCACTTGGAGCAGAACGAGGTGGCTCCGTCCCTATACGCAGCTCCTTGGTTCCTCACCCTCTTCGCCTCACAGTTTCCTTTCGGCTTTGTCTCAAAAGTCTTTGGTGAGTTCTTGAACTTTCTTCAATGCAGGTTTGGATACCAACTACTGTAAGACTGAATCATTCATTAATTAATAATGACAGCCCTTTATTTTCTGCAGTAAGAAACTTAAGCCCACTGCACATTGTTTAATTGGATTGCAATCAAAATCTGTAAGAAATTGCAATATCACTTGATTACAAAATTTAAATGTTTAAAATTACCATGAGTGAGGTTCTTAACAGTCTAATAAATAATCATAATTGCATGGAGTGCTTGGTGTTCTGGCCAGAGAAATAGCAAATGGTAGCTGTGTCAGACCAATCACAGGTTTGTCTTTAATTTGAAGCTGATTTGGTGTTTTCTCCAACTGCAAGACCTGCAATGCCTAGCAATTTCAGTTTTGATCTCAATATTAGGAGCGATTGTACGATTGGGAGCAATTGTTTGATGTGTTGTGGGCTCTACCGGATAGTTCATTCTCATATTTTAACTTAGATCATCTTGTAGACAGAGAGGTGACACTAAAATGTTATCCTCAATATGACTTGACTTGATTTAACTTGGATGTATATTTGTATGTATCTAAGTAACACACTCATTTCCTTTTTGCTATCCATTAGATCTGATCTTCCTTCAAGGGTTTGAGGTGATCTTCAAGGTGGCGCTAGTGATCCTTGGTAGCCATGAAGAGCTCATCCTTCAGTGTGATGGCTTTGAGTCCATCATTGACTTCATCAAGAATCAACTACCATCCCTCGGCATCGTCCAGATGGAGAAAGTCATTAACAAGGTGAGAAGGCATAAAGTACCTCACAAGTTCAGAATCTATCCTTTGTTTAGGAAGGAATGTAGGTAATATATCTAAATTATTTAATGAATGTATTTCATTTCTCAGACAGAGAATGGATCTTTGCTTTTGTTAGTGAGTACTTCAGTTTTTATGCATATCAAATTTACCTCCTACATTGTACCTTGTATTATTTTCTTCAATAGGGGAAACTGAATCTAATATAACTGAAAGTATAACTTAGGCTGTGTTTGTTTTGTAGAATGATTGTTGAGACCACCTGGATTGATATTAGTTTGTTGAATTAGATCCTTGAACAATTCACTGGCATTGAATTCTACCTTCTGCATGGACCGATTGTTCATGAATTTTAGAGTTTCAGGGAAAAGGGATATATTATTTTATTGTTATATTATTTGTTTTATGATCATCTCTGACTTTAAAGGCCTACCACTTAGACATCTCTAAACAACTTCATGCTTATGAAGTCGAGTACCATGTGATTCAGGAGGAAATGCTGCCCTCGCCTGCCCAACCAAAGGCCATGCAGCGAGACATTGATCAGCTGGAGTACAATAACCGTAACGTCCGTCGCCATAACAATGAGCTTTTAGAGCAACTACAGTCTACACACAATACAATCCAGAACCAGAGATCTCTTCTACAAACCAAACAGGTAAGTGGTCAACTTGAATAAGACATTTGTTTGACTTTAAAGTGGGGTTGAAATTGAATGCCTAGAAGAATTAAACAGAATGAAGTATGCCATACAATATTAATGAGTAAAAAACGTTGGCGGGCCTTAGATCATGTGATATTCGCGTGCCTTAGATCACATGATTTTTTCCTCTGCTGCGAATGTTTCCCCTCTCTGCTGCATGCTGCCAGCTACAGTCTACTGCGCTGCATGACAATTACGTCTCATTTCAAAATGATGGCTAGCTGAACTCGATATCGAGTACGTAGCTCATGAAATATCATTACTTCTGTAAGATATTATGAATATCTTTAGTATTATTTGTCAAAGCATATTATTATGTTACGATAATTTTGTTGAATTGGAGTTTCTTAAAGTCTTACGTGATGTTTTTTTAATACTTTAATGCTTATTGTTCCGATCAGGTCAGATGACAGTGTAGGGATGTGAATAAGCATATCAAGCTTGAAAAACTTGACTTGTAACTTCAGCTTGCTGTTACACACTCATTTTTAGAACGAACGAAAGGCACTTCGATATTATTTCAAGAGCTTTAAATTATTTTCCTTCATCAAAATATCAAGGGTAAACCATAATGTTGTGGATATATTTTGACAATTAAATAAATGCCTATTAGTATTACGATTTAATTGTAATAGTCTGATCAACATTATAGACTTGTGTGTGGGACTTTCTTAACTTGCTCAGTCTTCAGCGGGTCATATTTCCACTTCCGTTTCTGAACGCACTCGGTACCACGCACGAAGCATGATTCCTTTCTTGCAGCCTCAATTTTAGAGCAATAAAAACACCTACCATCAACTGAAATGATGTCCATTTATTTTTTAAAGCATCTTGGTTTAATTCAATTGATTATTTTATTGTTTTGAAAGCAGTAACTGTCTTTTCTGTCGCATTATTAGAACAGCAACTTAGTCTTAAGTCCCGCCGCTGCATGCACCCAATTTTTATTGTCAGTGGTGAAAATTTCGGGTACCCGGTCCCCGCCCGAAATTTTCAAGTCAAACCCGGGTTCGGCAAAACCCATGATGACCCAGGCCTACATACAATTTTAATGAGTAAAAAACTATTGGGAGAAGAGGAAGAAGGTGGGTAGTCTCATCTGAACATGAATGTTGTTCAATATATGCCTAACAATGTATTCACCTTTCAGTCTATGTGATTTTCACCCAATATCAACAGGTGTACTAGTCCAAGCAACTAATTTACTACATGGTAAATAATGCTGAATGATTTTCAGCCAGTTTCTCTTAATGCGAAGTCACCAAGTAGGGATAGGAAATAAACAATCTCTTTCTTGCCACTTATCTTGATACTTCATTGTTTGTATCATATATACAGATTGTTAACCATTTAACAATTTTATTTTGGGGTTTGTCACCCTCAGTTTTGAAAGGATAAAAGTTATAATAGGTAGATGTTGTGTATAGATAACGGGAAAACTGATAAATGGAATATGTATGGAGAACAGAGAGGACTGCAACTCCAAACCTGCTGTTGCAAGGGAAGGTGTTGTGGTTATGTTAAATGTATACTTTAGTTTCTAGTACATGAAACTATGATGTGCATTTATCCTTCTTTTTTTCTTCTTCCAGGCAACAGAAAACAACCTGCGATTGGAAATCCGCAACTTAAACCTGGAGCGAGCTGCCCTTCTTGACACTATCGCTAAATTACAAGCTCTGGTTCCAGATAATGTCCTGAGCAATGCCAGCCTGGACCTGATCCAACCCAAGACAGACTTGAAGTGCTATGATAGTGAATCCTCTCTCCAAACCATAGAGAGCACTGCCCCCGGGGGTGGAGGAGACAACCTGTCCATCGACAATGACTCCATCGAGGACATCGACGGCGAGGTCGCAGCCATCAACAAGGTCCACATCCTTAAAGAAGAGAGGTTGAGGAACAACAGTGGGGGTAGCATCGGAAGCGGGCAGAGTGCAAGCACAAATACAAGCGAGGCTGATGTGCCATGTATTATGATAACAGACACAAAATCTATATCGTCCCTTTGAAAGTGAGCAATAGAGAAAGGCTTTAGAACCAACAAGCTCTGCTCCCTGAAAGAGGAGAGCCTGAGGAACAAGAGCAGGGGTATCATTGGAAGCGGGGAGAGTGCCAACACAAATATGAGTGAGGCTGATGTGCCATGCATAATGATTAAGGACACAAGGTCAATAGCATCCGAGTGAAAGTGAGTGAAAGGGAAAGACTTTAGGACCATGACACCTCTGTAAGTGAAACTAGAATTTGAAAAGAAGACAATTTAAAACAAAGGGGTATATGTAGTTTTCTGAACAAAATATCTGTCAAACAGTGTTTCTGTTTATAGGAGATGAATGTGTTTAAAGGAGTTAAATTTATTGTTAACACATGTACATAATATATACAGTAAGCAAAAGCTTTAAATAGATTTATTCTTGTGCTATTACCATCTGAGACTGGCATTATTGTTTTGTGTTCAGAGATTGTTTTTTGATTGTTTGTTATTTTGAATCAGTGGCCTTTATCGTGTGCAGGAATTGTCAACCGCAGTTATGTGCTCTTCTATTTACTTGCAAAACGAATTGATGTGATATAAGATAGTATAGAGTTGAATTGAATGATTTTTATGCCTCAGCACACAGAAGTTGGTGCCGGAGCACTTATGTTTTGGGGTTGTCCGTCCATCCCAATTTATCGTTACCGCAATATCTCAAGAACCACTTGAGTTATGAACTTCAAATTTGATGATAGTATGTATCATTATAGGAAGACAATCTGATTAGATTTTGGAGTAACTAGGTCAAAGGTATATTTAGTCAAAGAGGTCAACTTCTGAAATTCCAGCTATAACCCACTTTATCGTGAAATCTCAAGAACCACTATGGGGTTCAAATTGGTCATAGTATGTATCATCATTGGAAGACAATCTGATAAAACTTGGGGGTATGTCGGTCAAAGGTCTCAAATTTCTGAAATTACAGGTATTATCCTTGTTATCACAATATATCAAGAACCACTCGAGATATGAACTTCAAACCTTGGGACAGTGTGTATCACCGTAGGAAAAAAAAACCTCATCAGAGTTTATGGTAAGTAAAACAAAGGTCAAATGTCATAGAGGTCAATTCATTTAAATTTGAGGTATTACCCTCGTTATCACAATATGTCAAGAACTCTTGAGGTATGAGCTTCAAATATGGTGACTGTATAACTATAGGAAGATGATCAATAGGGGGCTAGTAGGCCAAGATCATTATCCTCAGCTGACATTTGATTACAGGCTTTATGTTTTCATTGTGATATGTCACAAATAATTCCATCCATTTCCTATACTGAATTTAGGGTGGAGGCATGAAATAGATGCAGTCACATATGTCTTTTTTAATGAATACTCCTTTGCTATCATTATGCCTATCTTGTGTGCATTTGTGACTAACATTTTTTTTGTGAAATCACCCTCTTTAAGGGAGGGTGTTTTATTTATGTTAAAGTTCTACATTGTACTTAGCATTTATATACATTTTCTATTCTCATCTGGAGGCCATTTTTTTGTCTTTAAACAACTGTACTGATACAATTTGTGAGAGACATGGCCAATAATTTTGTGTGATCCAAACAAATTTCACTTTGGGAACAAAGTGTTTAAAAAAATGAAAGAAAGACTTGCAAAGCTAATCCAGATTTTTTTTTCAATTTTCATGAAATGCAAATTTTGAGAAAACTTTGATAAGCTAAACCATGAAGCAATCCGTTTATTGAACATGTTTTGTGATAAATATTGATTTTTACAATGATGATGATACTAGATAGTAATATATTACATTTCTTTGGCACATGAAAGAAACAATAACTTGAATTTTTCTAAGAAAAAAAAAAGAGTATTATAGACTTAAATCAACAAATGATAAGTGATAACGCAAATTGGTGTTTAAATGTACCTCTTTCCTAGTTACCTAGAAAGTAGAAAGCACTGTAAATACCTGTATCATATCATGCTAAAAAAAAACATTTTTCCATTCGATTCCCAAGAGGGAAATAGAAACTTTCGAGGATGCTGTGAAACAAAAGTGTGTAAAACAAAATGTATGTCCTAAAAAATCTTTTTGTAGGAGTACTTTAAGGAGTGGAGATGGTGCCACACATTGTGTGCTTGAATGAATCTGATGACTATGGCAATGTCATCTTTAATGCATTTAGAAAAAATGTTATGAAGCACTTATGTAGATGAAAATTATTGGCATAATATCATTGCCCTAGCTCCCGACAGACTTCTAGTCTAGATTTCCTGTAAATGTAAAGCAATGACATTGTGTGTACCTCAAATATGGTCTTCCAAAATTATCATGAAATCATTTTAGACACCATACCACTATTGAAAAATAAAGGAATGACCACTGCACCCAAGCTTTAGAAATCATGTATTACTTTAAAGTTACCCTTTAAAAAAATTGTAAAACTGCATTTCCATTTTTTTTTTGGGTATCTATGATCTTTCTATAATTAATCATGATACATTCTTCTTTTCTGAAGATTCCTTTTTAAGTTTTTGAAATTATTGTTTATCTTGCTCTTGTGATTTTTATAATCACCCATCCCTTTCTTCCAGCCCATATTTCTTGTTAATCTTTTCTCTATTCTTCCTCTCCTCTTCTCATCCTCTTCTTCATCTTCTCGTTTCTTCCCTTTCTTTTCCCCTTTTCTACATCTTCTCTTCCTTTTTCTCCCTTCCCTTTAGCCTCTTTCTCTGCTCCCCATCGTCTTCTCCTCTCATTCCTCTTTTTTGTCTCAATATCATATCATATGCTGCATTGTTGTCTTCCTGTGCTTAAGCTATTTGGACCGTGTGTACTTTGAAGATCTGTCACAACCAAATAATATTCTGTGACTTGAAATGATCATGACATAGCAAATAGGAATACAAAGAACAAGAAATAACAGAATTCCCCGTATCAGTATTCACCATGGCATATCATCATTTAGACATAATTTATAAGAAGAAGAAATGGAGATGAAGCAACAGACGTTATTGATGGTACATGTACATGTATAGTAGTAAATAAGGTATTTCTTAATACATGTGTATGCTTTGTAACAGAGTTCAAAGATATACTTAAAGCTCCATATATTCTGACTTAAAAATAGCAGATGACCTTTTATATATATTTTGTGTAATTACATGTGCAAGTAGATAATATAGGAACACATACTCAGCCAAAGATTTCATTACTGTTTTTTTAACCAATTTTTAATTCTGTGTCGTGAAAAAATTATGTACTGCTGTATTGATTTTTTGTTGAAATAAAAGATATTGATGACAGTTATCTTACATCATCTTATGTCAATTTCAAAACTTCAAACAATTATGTTCATCTTTTTGCTATGACATTTTGACCATCACTCACACAAGATTTGTGTTGTTTTGTTGTACTACGTTCAGGTTTATTGTGATGTCATCAAATTTCTTACAATGAAGTGTTTTATACTTTGAAAGTTTAGTACATATAGCAGAGAAAATATTAAGATTATTGTTTGATAATAAAATATGAGGGTATTTTTCTTCTTCTGGGTCTTGGAAAGCCTGTTACCCCAAAAAACTTTATCAAGGCAATTGTATGAATTTTATCTGTTGTATTCTTAAAGCTCAAGTTCTATGATTTGTTTATTATGTTCAGACTGGATTTTTTCATTTTGTTTATGATTTGTTTATTCACTTGAACAATATTTAAATTGACACAACGATAGGGTGCATCTTCAATTATGGCATAAAAAATGACTGATTCTTCAATGTTAATAGTGAGTAGGTAACTTATTTTCTCACATGATTACTTAGAATTTTTTTTGCAACTTTTAAAAATAGTAATCACTGATAAATAATACCATTACTATTTAAATTTAGTCCAGTCAGTAAGCTATCTTGATAAATATTGATCCCTATTCCCGGCCCCTCTACTCCGTGATCAGAGGGATACCATGCGTGTTACCAAAATGTCCGGTAAAGGGGTACTTTTGAGGCACCAAAGTCTGGCTCATAGTACACAAAAGCCCGTCTTACACACCGGACTTAGGGGGTGCTTTCAAAAGGAGGGAACATGCATATGCGTAACCTAAATAACACTGAGTTGGGGGGGGGTCCGTATTAGCCACTAGAAGGGCCTTCATATTTACAGGTGTCTTATCTTTATATAATGAAAATGCAGATACAATTAGAACATCTTCACACTGCAGTGATACAGGTATCTCATCCTCTTCAAATGCCCTTTGATATTGAAATGACTTTATCAGCCTTAGATAAGATTCAAGCAGAGAAAAAAATGTTTCTGTAAAAAACAAGATGTACATGTAAATTCATCTATTTTTTAAATAGCTAAGCCTTTGTTTGTCTTCACACTTGTACGTGTCTGTTTATGTAATTGAAAGACATATGATTTTTTAATAAATCATTTGAAAACCGAAATACATGTATTTATTCATTATTAATGTTACACTTTTCCTATATATTCTATACTCAAGGTCATTTATTTCTTTCATATATTGTAATCATAACATCTCAGTTTTGTTTTCTTCAGTGCAATTATAACAGCAAAATATGGTCATTGAATTTCTATTTTCATGAACATGGTTCAAAATATATATATCTGTCAGTGATAATCATGCATTCGCTGACAGAAAGCAATGTGTTTAAAATAGTTGAAAACAGGAATATTTTTTTCTTTGTTCACTTTTAAAATGCAACCATTTACACAAGAAATGGTGTAATGGTAGCTATTTTATGTTTAAAAGTTTGTCATTGAGGTTAGCGGTACATGTAAGTGCCTTTTTCATATGAGTTTTTGCTCAAGCATATTAAAGTTTAAAAAGAAGATTATCAGGATATTTCTTGTCCATTTTCATGTTGCTTTGTAATATTCAAATCCATGTAAAGATAGAAATGGATGTGTTATGTTATAATGTAATTGTGCTTTCCGGTATACTGATATCTTAACCACTTGTGTACTGATAATTTTGTGTACATGTTCCTTATTTTACGTTTGTCTCTGTAATTTGATTGAGCTTATTATTTTTAATTGAACACATATGTCTGTTAATGTTGATATGTATGTGATCGTAAACACTGAAATCATTGTTCTACCGCAAAATTGAAGATGTAATGTTTTCATCTTTCTCTGCTGGATATATATTATTTATCTCAAAATTCAAATGAACGCACATGGATCAGTTTCCAAAGTAGTAATTCTCAAGTAATATTTGCAGAAAATATAATTCATGTTCAGATATTTACATTAAATTCAAAATGTATATATTTTGATCATTGCCATGTAATGGTTGGAGCAGATTCAAGTTCTTCAATTTTGATGAAAATACATGTGTTTAATTAAAGTACTAAGAATCTAGTAATCTACCAATACAATTTTAGCCAAATGTTATTTGTTGATTAAACCATGCTTTATACAGCAAATATGCATCATTAGTATCATTCTTAAACCAATATGCCAATTTTCTGTATCAATTTATTTCTCTTAAATCTATGAGAACATAAATTTGATTTCATCACTTTGCTCAATGGTATAATCATTTGGTGCTAGCAGTTATGTGCGCAGATTGGCATCAATCTGCGTACAAATAAAAAATATTATCATGATGCTGAAACAATTATCTGATCAGAATATGTTAGATGCTAGAAGAGAGGGAAAGAGGGAATTATTAAAGGGGAAAAATGAGATCTGATGAAAAAAGAGCAGAAACAAATATTAAACAAAAATGGATGAGGTTAAGGTCACCTTTGCCAAATGTGATGTTCAAAGCACTTGGCAAGACACCATTGAGCTACCAGGATTCTATGTAGAAGTGGAAGGAGAGAGAGAGAGAGAGAGAGAGAAGAGCTAGCGGAGGGAGTGAGAAGACAAGAGGAGAGGGAAGAGAGCTAAGGGGGAGAGAGAGAGAAGACACGAGGAGAGGGAAGAGAGAGAAGAGGAGAGGAGATGAGATGAAAGAGAGCTAGGAGGGAGAGAGAGAGAGAGAAGAGGAGAGAGAGGGAGAAGAGGAGAGAGAGGGAGTGAGAAGACAAGAGGAGAGGGAAGAGAGCTAATGGGGAGAGAGAGAGAGAGAGGGAGTGAGAAGACGAGAGGAGAGGGAAGAGAGCTAAGGGGGAGAGAGAAGATGAGAGAGAGGGAATGAGAAGACAAGAGGAGAGGGAAGAGAGCTGAGGGGGAGAGAGAGAGGGAGAGAGGGAGTGAGAAGACAAGAGGAGAGGGAAGAGAGCTAAGGGGGAGAGAGAGAGGGAGAGAGAGAGAGAGGGAATGAGGGAATGAGAAGACAAGAGGAGAGGGAAGAGAGCTAAGGGGGAGAGAGAAGATAAAAGAGAGGGAGTGAGAAGACAAGAGGAGAGGGAAGAGAGCTAAGGGGGAGAGAGAGAGAGGGAGAGAGGGAGTGAGAAGACAAGAGGAGAGGGAAGAGAGCTAAGGGGGAGAGAGAGAGAGAGAGAGAGAGAGAGAGGGAGAGAGGGAATGAGAAGACAAGAGGAGAGGGAAGAGAGCTAAGGGGGAGAGAGAAGATGAGAGAGAGGGAGTGAGAAGACAAGAGGAGAGGGAAGAGAGCTAAGGGGGAGAGAGAAGATGAGAGAGAGGGAGTGAGAAGACAAGAGGAGAGGGAAGAGAGTTGAGGGGGAGAGAGAAGAGGAGAAAGAGGGAGTGAGAAGACAAGAGGAGAGGGAAGAGAGCTAAGGGGGAGAGAGAGAGAGAAGAGGAGAGAGAGGGAGTGAGAAGACACGAGGAGAGGGAAGAGAGCTAAGAGGGAGAGAGAGGGAATGAGAAGACAAGAGGAGAGGGAAGAGAGCTAAGGGGGAGAGAGAAGATGAGAGAGAGGGAGTGAGAAGACAAGAGGAGAGGGAAGAGAGCTGAGGGGGAGAGAGAAGATGAGAGAGAGGGAGTGAGAAGACGAGAGGAGAGGGAAGAGAGCTAAGGGGGAGAGAGAAGATGAGAGAGAGGGAGTGAGAAGACAAGAGGAGAGGGAAGAGAGCTGAGGGGGAGAGAGAAGAGGAGAGAGAGGGAGTGAGAAGACAAGAGGAGAGGGAAGAGAGCTAGTATGGAGAGAGAAGACAAGAGGAGAGGGAAGAGAGCTAAGGGGGAGAGAGAGAGAGAGAAGAGGAGAGAGAGGGTGTGAGAAGACAAGAGGAGAGGGAAGAGAGCTAAGGGTGAGAGAGAGAGAAGAGGAGAGGAGATGAAAGAGAGCTAGGAGGGAGAGAGAAGACAAAAGGAGAGAAAAAAGAGCTAGTATGGAGATGAGAGAAGACAAGAGGAAAGGGGAGCCGAGAGAGAGAATATATATATATAATTATAGGAGGGAGCGATAAGACAAGAGGAGAGGAAAAAGAAGAGGAAAGAGAGCTTGGAGGGAGAGAAGACAAATGAGAGGAAAAAGCTAGTATAGAGAGAGAAGACAAGAGGAAAGGGAAGAGAGCTAGTATGGAGAGAGAAGACAAGAGGAAAGGGAAGAGAGCTAGTATGGAGAGAGAAGACAAGAGGAAAGAAGAGCCGAGGAAAGAGAGAGAGAGAGAGAGAGAGAGTGTGTGAGAGAGAGAGAGAAGAGGAGAGGAGATGAAAGAGAGCTAGGAGGGAGAGAGAAGACAAAAGGAGAGGACAAAGAGCTAGTATGGAGATGAGAGAAGACAAGAGGAAAGGGGAGCCGAGAGAGAGAATATATATATATAATTATAGGAGGGAGCGATAAGACAAGAGGAGAGGAAAAAGAAGAGGAAAGAGAGCTTGGAGGGAGAGAAAAGACAAATGAGAGGAAAAAGCTAGTATAGAGAGAGAAGACAAGAGGAAAGAGAAGAGAGCTAGTATGGAGAGAGAAGACAAGAGGAAAGAGAAGAGAGCTAGTATAGAGAGAGAAGACAAGAGGAAAGAGAAGAGAGCTAGTATAGAGAGAGAAGACAAGAGGAAAGAGAAGAGAGCTAGTATAGAGAGAGAAGACAAGAGGAAAGAGAAGAGAGCTAGTATGGAGAGAGAAGACAAGAGGAAAGAGAAGAGAGCTAGTATAGAGAGAGAAGACAAGAGGAAAGAGAAGAGAGCTAGTATAGAGAGAGAAGACAAGAGGAAAGAGAAGAGAGCTAGTATAGAGAGAGAAGACAAGAGGAAAGAGAAGAGAGCTAGTATAGAGAGAGAAGACAAGAGGAAAGAGAAGAGAGCTAGTATGGAGAGAGAAGACAAGAGGAAAGAGAAGAGAGCTAGTATAGAGAGAGAAGACAAGAGGAAAGAGAAGAGAGCTAGTATGGAGAGAGAAGACAAGAGGAAAGAGAAGAGAGCTAGTATGGAGAGAGAAGACAAGAGGAAAGAGAAGAGAGCTAGTATGGAGAGAGAAGACAAGAGGAAAGAGAAGAGAGCTAGTATAGAGAGAGAAGACAAGAGGAAAGGAAAGAGAGCTAGTATGGAGAGAGAAGACAAGAGGAAAGAGAAGAGAGCAGTATAGAGAGAGAAGACAAGAGGAAAGGAAAGAGAGCTAGTATGGAGAGAGAAGACAAGAGGAAAGAGAAGAGAGCTAGTATAGAGAGAGAAGACAAGAGGAAAGGAAAGAGAGCTAGTATGGAGAGAGAAGACAAGAGGAAAGAGAAGAGAGCTAGTATGGAGAGAGAAGACAAGAGGAAAGGAAAGAGAGCTAGTATGGAGAGAGAAGACAAGAGGAAAGAGAAGAGAGCTAGTATAGAGAGAGAAGACAAGAGGAAAGAGAAGAGAGCTAGTATAGAGAGAGAAGACAAGAGGAAAGGAAAGAGAGCTAGTATGGAGAGAGAAGACAAGAGGAAAGAGAAGAGAGCTAGTATAGAGAGAGAAGACAAGAGGAAAGGAAAGAGAGCTAGTATGGAGAGAGAAGACAAGAGGAAAGAGAAGAGAGCTAGTATAGAGAGAGAAGACAAGAGGAAAGAGAAGAGAGCTAGTATAGAGAGAGAAGACAAGAGGAAAGGAAAGAGAGCTAGTATGGAGAGAGAAGACAAGAGGAAAGAGAAGAGAGCTAGTATAGAGAGAGAAGACAAGAGGAAAGAGAAGAGAGCTAGTATGGAGAGAGAAGACAAGAGGAAAGGAAAGAGAGCTAGTATGGAGAGAGAAGACAAGAGGAAAGAAGAGCCGAGGAAAGAGAGAGAGAGAGAGAGAGAGTGTGTGAGAGAGAGAGAAGAGGAGAGGAGATGAAAGAGAGCTAGGAGGGAGAGAGAAGACAAAAGGAGAGGACAAAGAGCTAGTATGGAGATGAGAGAAGACAAGAGGAAAGGGGAGCCGAGAGAGAGAATATATATATATAATTATAGGAGGGAGCGATAAGACAAGAGGAGAGGAAAAAGAAGAGGAAAGAGAGCTTGGAGGGAGAGAAAAGACAAATGAGAGGAAAAAGCTAGTATAGAGAGAGAAGACAAGAGGAAAGAGAAGAGAGCTAGTATGGAGAGAGAAGACAAGAGGAAAGGAAAGAGAGCTAGTATGGAGAGAGAAGACAAGAGGAAAGAGAAGAGAGCTAGTATAGAGAGAGAAGACAAGAGGAAAGAGAAGAGAGCTAGTATAGAGAGCAGACAAGAGGAAAGGAAAGAGAGCTAGTATGGAGAGAGAAGACAAGAGGAAAGAGAAGAGAGCTAGTATAGAGAGAGAAGACAAGAGGAAAGGAAAGAGAGCTAGTATGGAGAGAGAAGACAAGAGGAAAGAGAAGAGAGCTAGTATAGAGAGAGAAGACAAGAGGAAAGGAAAGAGAGCTAGTATGGAGAGAGAAGACAAGAGGAAAGAGAAGAGAGCTAGTATAGAGAGAGAAGACAAGAGGAAAGAGAAGAGAGCTAGTATAGAGAGAGAAGACAAGAGGAAAGGAAAGAGAGCTAGTATGGAGAGAGAAGACAAGAGGAAAGAGAAGAGAGCTAGTATAGAGAGAGAAGACAAGAGGAAATAAGGAAAAAAGCAAGTATAGAGAGAAGACAAGAGGAAAGGGAAAAAGCTAGTATAGTGAGAAGACAAGAGGAAAGGGAAAAAGCTAGTATAGAGAGCAGACAAGAGGAAAGGGAAAAGAGCTAGTATGGATAGAGAAGACAAGAGGAAAGAAGAGCCGAGGGAAGAGAGAGAGAGAGAGAGAGAGAGAGAGGGAGGGAGAGAGAGAGAGAGAGAGAGAGAGAGAGAGAGAGAGAGAGAGAGAGAGAGAGAGAGAATATAGAAGGGAGCGATAAGACAAGAGCCTAGAGATGAAAGGGTTCTAAGAGGGAGAGAGAAGACAAGATTGGAGCCTGTTTTTGTTTTCTTGTATTTGTTATCCAAACTGATAAAACATCAACAATCAATCAACACGTCCCCCCTTAAAATGTGAAAAAGTGCAAACAAAACTTGTTATATTGCAAATACTGACTAAAGACTGCATTACACTTTTAGGCTCTGGAGGGCCCAAGAGTGCAGCGTTTAAACAATGAAAATGCAAAAATCTTCTCACTCGGTAGCTACGCTCCCTCGCATAATATCCTTCAAAATGTACAAGTAAATACCGAGAAAATTGAAGGGTGAAAAAATGTATATTGCTAACGTAATTTATTTTATAGTTTTGCTAAGGAATAATAATTTTGTAATACAACAAAACTTTAAAAACCTGTGAGGGGATAGTCACTTCCGTCACCTTCACCCCTCTCATTCACTATGCTCCCTCGCATTTGCGTACTGATGGGGGCGGGGGCTTTAGTAGCAGTTCCCCCCAAATGAAATTCAAACGTGGTTTATTTCTAATTCGATACCAGTGATTTACAAATGTTGTAGAAATAGCATGATTTTTCCCTGACCTTCCGGGTGCCCTGGACCCCACCAAGGGCCCTAAGTCGGGCCCCTGATTGCTCATCTGACCGAAATTAAATGCCTAAAACGCCTGAGCTTCCAGTGGCTCTGCTCCCTGGACCCCACCAAGGGCCCTAAGGCGGTCCCTTGATGCTCATTTGATCGTAATTTAATGCCTAAAACCCCTGAGCTTCTGGGGGCTTTGCCCCCTGGACCCCACCCCAATAATTAAGTGACCTGCATGCCAGTGTTACAAACAAGTTATCAAAATATGCTCATCTGACCGTTATTAAATGCCTAAAACCCCTCAGCTTCAGAGAGGCTCCGCCCCTTGACACCCGCCGGGGCTTTGCCCCTGGACCCCAAGCCAATGTACGCTCTACTTCAGGCGCGGATCCAGGATTTTCCAATAGGGGGGGGGGGGGGGGGGGGGGGGGCCGGAAATTTGAAAATTGCGCAGACCGTTTTTTCAAGGTCATATTAGAAGCACCTATATACCTGTACAATTGTTGACATTTTTATCGGAGGGGGGGGGGGCTATAGCCTCTTGCCCGAGGAAGCTTTGACCTTTCATTAATTATTAGAGAAAGAAGAAGTTGTTGTACCATTCTCGACTCGTATTCCTTGTCTGAATTCAGTTCTTCCCCCGGGAAGCGTTGACCTTTTATAGTTCAATGAAATTATTAGAGAAAGAAGATGATTCGTTGTTCCATTCTCGACTCTTAATCCTTGTTTGAATGCAGTTTCTCCCCCTCTCGCGCGAAACGTGGAACTTTGGCCTTTCATTAAAATATTAGAAAAAGAAGATGATTCGTTTTATCGTCATCGACTCTTTATCCTTGTCTGAATTGAGTTTCCCTCGCGCGAAGCACGGAAGCCTCGACGTTTCCATTAAATTATGAGAGAAAGAAGACGATTCGTTGTACCGTTCTCGACTCTTAATCCTTGTCTGAATTGTGTTCCCGCCCCACCCCCTCCCCTCCCGCGCGAAGCGCGGAAGCTTTGACGTTTCATTAATTATAAGGGAAAGGAGACGATTCTTTGTACCATTCTCGACTCTTAATCCTTGTCTGAATTCAGTTTTCCTCTGCCCGCGCGTAGCGCGTAAGCTTTGACGGTTCATTAAATTATGAGAGGAAGAAGACGAATTGTTTTACCATTCTCGTCTATTAATCCTTGTTTGAATTCAGTTTTTCCCCTCCCGAGCGATGCGCGGAAGCTTTGACATTTCATTAAATAATTATTAGAGAAAGAAGACGATTCGTTGTAACATTCTCGACTCTTAATCCTTGTTTGAATGCAGTTCCCCCTCTCTCGCGCGAAGCGTGGAAGCTTTGACCTTTCATTAAATTATTAGAGAAAGAAGACGATTCGATGTACCATTCTCGACTCTTAATCCTTGTCTGAATTCAGTTTCCTCCCGCCCGCGCGAAGCTCGGAAGCTTTGCCCTTTCATTAATTATTAGAGAAAGAAGATTCGTTCTTCCATTCTCGACTCTTAATCCTTGTCTTAATTCAGTTCCCCCCTCCTGCGCTTTGCGCGGAAGCTTAATGTTTCATTAAATTATTAGAGAAAGAAGACGAATCGTTTTACCATTCTCGTCTCTTAATCCTTGTTTGAATTCAGTTTTTCCCCCTCCCGAGCGATGCGCGGAAGCTTTGACATTTCATTAAATTATTAGAGAAAGAGGACAATTCGTTGTACCTTTCTCGACTTGTCAGAATTTTCAAAAATATTTCTTTGTCTGCTCCTCTTACTGCCCCTACCACCCCTGGCTACGCACCTAAATAAAACAATCATGATTGTGATAGCACATAATTAGGTTAGTAGAAATGAAAGGGGAAAAAGGCCTTTTACACCAACCATGGATAAATCACGGCCGGGAGCGTCCTAGTTTTGTGTTATCGGGCGAGGACCGGGGCGTATAGGGACCAAGCGAGATTTTGCAATGTTGAATGCTGAAATTATGCATTCTAGAAAATCCCTAAGCCCAATAATGTACGTTCTTTCCGCTATATTTCTTTCTAGCTATATTTCTAAATTTTCTGGAGGACATGTCCCCCTATCGGGCCCAGGATTGCCGCCCCTGTCCATGATTACTACCAACATGAGTTCAAATACAAGCGAGTTGGTATGAGCTGATTCCAAAATAACGAAGGGCAAAATAAAAGTTGTGAAGCGGCCCTATCGTTAATTTAAAATTTGACTGTTGAGTATATAACTTCTATTTAAAAGACATCCAAAATATTGTGCCCTTTTCAAATTTCTCACTAAAGAGTGAATGACCGCAAGGGCCGTTCTTTGAATCCGCGGCTCGAGATTTTATGCGGCCGGCCCGACCCCCTCTATTCAATAATGTTTGCCAAGCCTTCAGGAATGACCCCAAATCTCCCGATTACAGTTTCCCCCATTTGTCGTTACTGTCACTTAGCGCCATTTCATTGTCGTTCCCCCTTTCCCACCCGACTTTCCTCCCCCCCCCCCCACCCACTCAGTGTTATCTAGGGTACGCACGTGTTCCCTCTCTTTGAAAGCACTCCTCTATCTCCGGTGTGTAAAGTCAGTACGTACGGGCCAGATTTTTGTGAGTGAAAGTAACTCTTTATTTTGGGATCATATATTCGGTCCCCTCGGGGGGGGGGGGGGGGGGGGCTTTCTTCTTTATTCTCTTCTCTTCCCTTTTCTCTTCTTTTTTCCTTTCACTTCTCTTTTCTTTTCTCTTCTCCTTTCAAGTTCTTCTCCTCTTCTCCTTTCCTTTTTTCTCTTTTTTTCTTCCTCTTTTTTTTCTTCCTTTTTTTGCGCCGCCAATAGGGGGGGGGGGGCCGCGGCCGTTTCGACCCCCCCTGGATCCGCCACTGTACTTTGCTTTGCTTTGCTCTACCTGATTGTAAATACTTTCCCCTCCCCCCCCCCCCTCTTTTAAAAACTTTCCCAGGGCCTGCGTAACAGAGTGGTGGTGATGCGGATTTTTTCTGCCCCCCCCCCCAAAAAAAAAAGTTTTTGCCCATTATGCCACTGCTCCCCCGTCCCTCACATTTCGTCCCCCCCCCCCCCCCCCGGTCATGAAAAAAAAAATCGCCGCCCCTGCCTAAAACTAAACACCGACATTTACGCCTTCTTTATGCGAGCTTACAAGTACAGTTCATTGACCTGTATTGTAAAATCCAACATGGCAGCCTCCAGGAGTGTTGGCATGCGTCGATTAGCTCGAATTTTTAGTCTTTCAAGGAGCCAAGCTAGCAGGCCTCTAAGATCTTATCACAGCTCTATTTCACCGGCAACTTTAACAGCATCGTTAGGTAGATCTTTAAGTTTTTTAATTAGTTATTTGAACTTCGATGTCTGGCGTCGAAAACGCACTCTTGTCTTGTTGCGCTGCACGTTTGCATATTATCTGTCCTGGCCTGGCCCACACATAGCTGCATTACTATCCTGGCTGTGTATTAAAAGCTGTGCTATCTATCGATTCTCATATTTCTCAACATTTCAAACATCACTGTACAAAACTCAACTGATTTCATTTAAAATCAGCACTTTAGTGACAATTGGTGACACCTAAATAGCAGTAGATTCTAAAATACAATTTTTTAAATTTACTGTCCTGATGACATGATGTTAAAGTCTAAAGAAGCTGAGCGAAGGTTTCAAAAGGTTTTTAACCTTAATAATGTTGGTATCATTGCAAAGTTAATGTTACAATCTTTCTAATGGTTCATATTTAATTTTCAAAAATTGTTACAGATTTGACTTATCTGCTTTTAAAAGTGGTGAAATTACTACCCGATTATTCCGCCCTTTATGGGCCCGCTTTTGTGACGTACGATTTGTGACGTAGGAGGTTGGGCACATGAGCGAGAGTGCGATCCTCAAGCTCTCACACAACTCTCGCCTGCATGCATTATACGTATACAACGCCACTCGAACGCTAAATATCTGATCAAAATGTCCGAGCTCGAAGAAGAGGTTTTACTCGATTTAGAATTCAAAGTTGATGAGCACAGCTCCACAACAGTGGTACTGGTAGTGATAGTGATGATGATGATGATTGGTATGTAGGAGAGATGGAAGAAAGAGAACAATTCGGAAAAGACGGCGTCGATGCTGGTGCAGGTCAAGTGATAGCATATCAGCGCGAGCTGGCTGAGCTGCCAGCTGCCGCTCAGCTCCCCCGGCCCCGCTCAACTGGCGATCGATCTGTCATGACTGGGCGAGACATTTTCTAATCTTTCGGGATGTGTGGGGCTTTTTGGCAAATTTCACGGATATTAAAACAAAGATGATTAGATGTGAGATTATATTTGGCGAAAATCAATTACAAATATGCACCATTCAGAAATAGAACTGCAGCTGCAGTACATCATACAAATGCAAAAGGACGCTCGCGATTCACTCATCATGGTCTCCCTATATAATCAACAGCAATCATATCACGCCAAGGCATGATGACCGAACAAATACAAAACATCTCAGCAAATTACACAGAATGGAAGGGTATTTGGACAAATCGAATTGCACGATTCACCCCTCGTATTATATTACATAAATTTACTTAATATTATATGTAATTACATGATTTCTAGAGATTGTTATTCCACTTTCTGGTCAGGATATGAAGCATGCGAAGTCTGGATAATGTATACGTATAGCTATGCAAAATATCGCACGCGAGCTGTGCGAGAGGCGAGCTTGAGGCCTAGAATTGCGATCGTGCCCAACCAGGGACGTCATAATCGGCCTACTGCGCGAACAATGTTCAAGCCAGGAATTGAAGTTCTGAGAAGGTTCTTGGAAAAAGCTTCTTACCGCGTTTCATTTATATTTACAAGACTTTAGAGCAGAATGTGTGTCTTTATATTGGTCTACGCTATCCGGACATGTATAATTTGCCCATTTTGAGTGATTATGTGAAATTTCGTCGCCGAGCTTCTTTAAAAAGAATAATTTAAAAATTCAAATTAAAGAGAAGGTTGAGTTCTGGGAAGAGGTGAAAAATAATTTGTGAGCATTACTCATTCTTATTATGCAAGTGTGGAAGAACATCAGTTAAGACATGTTCCCTGAAAAGCATGGCTCTTCAAATGCCTTCATATTCTAAATATGCATGTAACACCGTAAAAATTAGGGGGCTGGCTTTTTACGCCACGTGTTCGTGTAGTCCCATATACATCTTTCTGTGCAAGTGTTTGTATCTTTACCAAGACTTGGCCAAATTTCTTATCATTTTGATGATTCCAGAACCTTGCAATACACACAAATTCTTATATGCTAGATGATCAACCTTTTCTGGTCGGTTCCACACCGTTTCTTTTACAATGCAATCGCATGACCAGAATTCAACTTCATCTTTAAGTCTAGATCTACTAGTACTAGGCCTAGATCTAGAGGTCTAGATCTAGACTAGACCTAGTGTCAAATTTGTCGATCAGCCACATCGGTGCTATTGTGTGCAGTCTGTGCAATAGTGTGTGGTGTGTGTATCTGTGTATAATACCTGCCTCTCGGCAAGTATGCAGTGCTAGAGGTCAATACGCATTATTAGCATTGACTCTCTTAGACAGAAGTGGATATAGATCTATATGAAGACATAAAGAGTGAAAAACTTGTTGCATCTCATTCATCGCGGTCCGGCCAAACCGAACCATTCCTCCCGTACAGTCCCCATAGGACGTTCTTCAGTCTAAGTATATAGGCGGTCAGAGGAGCCAGATGCAATCTCAGTGGAACAACCATCGATATCAGAGACCGTAAATATCTGTGTATAAAAAAAAAATTGAAAGTCGAGGGGTGCGTCTTATACAAATGTACAAAAAAGAAAAAAGAAAAAAATAAAAGAAGAAAAAAAAAAAAAAATAGGGGTGCATCTCATACACAGGTGTAAGGCTGTGCACAACAGTGTAATGCAGCCAAAGTGGATATATGATTTGAAAGAGTGAAAAAAACAAACTTAGCATCTCGTTCATCGCGATCCAGCCAAACCGATCCGTACCCTCCCCTAACTACCCCATACGACCATCATGTACTTCAGTTTCTGTGTAGAGGCAGTCAGTGGTATCAGATATTAGAGACTGAAGCTTTCGATCTAGATGTCTGAGTACTATGTATTACTATGTTTGATGTAACTGTTAACATATTTGTAATGTTGTCACTGTCTTTCCATCTTTATGTTCAGTACATGCTTCTGTTCTATATGAACAATAATTCTTTTGTTTGTTTTTCATTTTTTTTTTTTTTTACATAGTACAAAGCTACATACATACATTAACTATTATTTCTTCATTATTCATAATTACAAATGCAAATATTTTTCAATGAAAAGAGATGATGTAAAAATAACGCAGGAGACCGCCATCATGAGCAGTAAGCTTGAAATCGATGACAGCCTCGGGAGAATTAGCAGCATAACTCTCAAATTATATAATTGTATTGTACACACAAAATCTATAGATTTAGACCACTTGTTCTTGACAAAACGATATCGGCCTAAACAAAGAAACTCAAGTGATGTCATTCTATAGCAGTACACTGTGTATCTCGTGTGGTCTAGATCTGAAGGATTGATAAGCTCGCTCAATGTGCGTAGCAGGGTTGGCCGGGATGTAACCCTGTAATAGAGCTATGATCACATCAGATGATCGAATCAGCAGTTTGGCTTTTGATATCGGTATCGGACCAGGAGGGAAATCTGCCTCCAGAAACTTGACAATTTCGAGCACTCTAATACCTAAAATTACTTGTACCTGGGATAATTCTCTCTTTTAAAATTGTTGTACCATGTTTAAAGCTATATTCATGCCTTTAGATGTCAAAAGGTCAAAAATGATTGGCAGAAGAAGAAAAAAGGCAAAGTTTTTGTGCTATCAATAATAAAAAACATGCATAGCTGGGATTATTTTAGTCATTTTGAGTTTTTGTAGACCATTTTTGTCTCGCTTGCTTTTACGGCGACGGCAACGACGGCGGCAGCGTCAAAGTTGTTCTTTTTCAATGAAACTTAGACTAAATGGTTATCAAATATCACCAATCATGTGAGTAGAATTTCAGGTCACAAAGTCAAGATCAGAGGTCATTTCAGGTCAACAGACTTAGACTATGTTGTGGCATCATCATCAAATTTTTAATATAATTTTGAAAGTATAAGTTCTTATTCTATGAAACTTAAACTAAAGAGTTATCAAGTATCACAAATCATATGACACAAATTCCAGGTCACACAGTCAAGGTCAAAGGTCATTTTAGGTCAGTAGACTTGAATTATGTTTTCACAACTTAATATGAGAATTAATAAATCAATTTTTGTCATGTGTTTATATTCCATTAAAGTTATCAATCTTGGTACAAATTATAGTAAATAATTCTCCTGATGATTCTTAGTCAATATTCACTTCAAAATGCTGATTATATTCAGAGGATTTCATTTTTGGGAGGCCTGCTAATGGGCCACCTTGCCTATAAATAATGTCCCATAACCTCAATTTTTCATCATATCAAATTGCGTAATGCACTTCCCTTGTTGTTGATATTAAGTGCCTTTTCATGACTTTTAAATTAATAATATCAGTCTAAGAGAAGATGCAAAACATGTGAGCCACCATTTTGGATTATAATGACAATGGCCGTCAAATGAGCCCAATGTTGAAATTTTGACCTAAAGGCTTGCCTATTTATGGAATTGCCCTACAGTAGACTGAATTTTACGTATCTATATGGTGCCTTGCATTCAATCTACAGATTCTGTACTTTATGAAAAACAAATTTTCTTGCATTTAGATTCACCCTTGATGCACAATGGCAACTACCATCAAGGATTACCCAGACATCTGAGGGGGCTTGTCCACACCAGACAGTACTCAAGCACTGCAGAAACCGAGTCATCTAATGAAATTGTTACAGGAATCACTGAAAATGAGCCTGAGAATATAGAAGAGGAGCCAGTAAAACACAGCATCATTCAGGATTCAGAGACATCCTCTGGTATGTATAGAAAATAATGTTTAGGCAGTTGCTCCTATGCAGTACACTTGCTAAACGGTAGACAAGATTCTTGTCGAATCAATCGCTTTTATCCCGGCCTAGCGCCCCGTGTGAAAAGTTAGGGATCAACAACCTGTTGTTGGGAACACTCTGTCAAGTACTAATAATCATGCAACCGAGCAAAAAATTCAGCAAGACAATATTGACAGGGCAAGGCGTTCACAGCGACTATCATGAATTATTCATAGCAATGAGAGTAAAACCAAGTTTTGGGCAAAACCGGGCACGCTTTTTTGTAGAGAATGCCGATCTGGTTTTACTGCAAAATTATATTAGATAGACTGTACATAAAGTACTTCAGCCCTGCTGATTTGGTCTGCAACAGGAGATTTAAGTGGCATAACAACAACAGCTACAGCCTTGGACTAGGAGAAGAAAGACTCATTTTGAACACGAACTTTCCGCAGAAAGTCTACATAAACTTGGGCGTCTTGAAACACGGCGCTCTTACCGGTACTCGTGGGCAGAGTGCTGAACAGATCGTTGCCACAGAGAAATGATTTATTTTGATTTACATGTTATTTGCCACAATATTTCCAGTCAATCAACATTGGATAGATCAATATATGAATAGTGATGAATGTTGTGCAGAGGACTATTCTTTATAAGCCACTGAAATAAGCCTTCCTTATGGTGTGCTATGAGAAGATTTCACATTTTGTATGTCTCTTTTCTACATGTATCTTCTAGGAGACTTTCAACAACATGAATTCCAAGCTGAGACTACAATGCTATTAGATATTGTTGCCAAGTCTTTGTATTCAGAAAATGAGGTTAGTATCAGTAGATGGTACTCTTTAAATTTCATAGAATTCTTCTATGACTATCCTTATACGTAAATCTCTGTGTATAAGAAGCACTTTTATTCAGCGGGGAAAATTCAAAAGTCAGGGGTGCGTCTTATACACAGCTACAAGATATACTGAGTCCTTAAAATGCTACTTTTTAGTGGTTTTCGAAAATCTCTGTGTCTCAACATAAATTACATAATGCAAATAAAGAATAGGATCTACTATTTGAGATTAACCTACATTCCTAATTTGAAGGGGAGAGAGTTTGATTTTTGTTTTTCCAGTCTCGATAAATTATGCCCCTTCACATAGCACTCGGCCGGCCGACGCTTACGCGTGTCTTGAGCTCACACACCCATATATTGCAGCTCACTCACATGGGATATCGACTCACCACTCAAAAACTGTCCTGTCCAAATTTCTGTTTGGACTCAAAGGAAAATGTGCTTGTGATCTTTAGTTTTAAAAACGACATTGTTAGTATTATTTGTGACAAGTTCAGGGGGGGGGGGGAGGGGTTGAATGTCCGATGAACACAAAAAGTTGCATGTTTGTAGATAATCACGTAAGGAACAAGACGGTGTTGAATTTTTTCCTTATATGCAAATTTTTGTTGTTATAGCCTAATTAATTATGTAAAATGCTAATTTTATGCATTTTACAGAAAACTCTCCATATTTGTCTCTAGACTTGGGAAGAATATTGAAAATGTATCAAATAAATGTATTCTTCATTTCGAATTCATGAAGTTCCATTATTTTTATGATATTTGAAAATGCATAGGTTAATTTGCATAAGTTATGAATATGCAAATTACGTTTTTTTTTTTTTTTTTTTTTCACTGTAGAATAATATGTTTCCACTTCTCATCTGCATTTCACTGCTAATATCTAGAAAAAAAAGTTTGAAATTCATAATTTTATTTTCTTATGTATTTTATTGTTTTTATTTCTTATTATATATATTGTTTTATTGCTAATGCATTTTTTTGTTCTGGAATACATCAAGTTACTTTGAGAAACATATCAAAGCAAATTCATATAAATTCATATCTCCCACTTAGAGGGATCGTTTAACAATGTTGAATCTGAGATGCACGGCCGTACGTGTTATCAGTGTCTGTGATATGGCACTATATAAATATCCATATTATTATTATTATTATTATTATTATTAATATTGAAGCCCTAAAAAAAAAGTCGCGTTTGATCAAGAAGTGCCTCAAAAAGGCAGAAATCTTTGAGTGACCGTTTTTACCATACTCGTTTTCTCCAATAGCCTGTAGTATCAAAATTCGTAATTCCATTCATAAATATCTTGATAATCAGACGGGCGATCGGCTTGTAAAAGTCATGGGGTTCCTGACTGACCTAAAGGTTTATAATTACCATTGCAGCATTGGGCAAATCCAGGATTTGTTTCAGAATCTGAGAAAAAGTTACCGGATCCCTTAAAAAAGAAATACATGTAAACCTGTATTCACATTTCTGCTTGTACATGAATATCTGCAATTATAGCACTTTTTTGACGACATGCGCATATTAATTTTTATGTAACTCCTTACAGGTATATCCGATTTTGACGAAAATGGTATCAAAATGTGTGTAAGACTTGAGGAAAAAAAATCATGAAACGACAATTTAAAATTTCAAGCGGTTGTGGCGAAATCTCTGAAAATGTGGAGGGGGGGGGGGGCCCTCCTAAGCCCCCCCCCCCTCCCAGTGCATAAGAGTTTAGATTTCTTTCAGTCGTTAGAGGAAATATCATGCAAGTATTCAATATACATGTATTTTGGGTCCAGGGATGCCAGAGTACTGGCTATAGTTGGAATTCTGGCTTCCCGTTTTTTTAACCAAAAGTTCCGGATGGTCTGGTTTTCACAGGCTGAAGAACACATACACAGTCACCGGCCTGCCATTGAACATAACAGCATGTTTTTGTAATACTGTTCTTCAGGTTTTTATCAGGGAGCTGGTGTCCAATGCCAGTGATGCCCTGGAAAAACTACGCTATCTACAGCTGACCCAGGATAATCTTGAGAAACCTGGAGCCTTGGAGATTCACATTGCAACCAACCAGGACAAGGGAACCTTTACTATACAGGTATAGGAGAAAAGTATCCATTTTCCATATGATAATGTGGTGCTCTGACAGTTGCTCCAGTGACAATTGTTCTGGGCTTTATTCCATCGATAGTATTGGGTTATGGTTACGGTTGTAATTTAAAGTTTAGTTTAGGTTTATGGTCGGGTAAGGTTTAGTGTCATGTTGGGTTCAGGGTTGAAGTTCAGCATTTTGGTGAGTGTAGGATATTAGCAGTGAGCCATCGTGGCAGGAGTTCAGCATTTTGGTGAGTGTAGGATATTAGCAGTGAGCCAACGTGGCAGGAGTTCAGCATTTTGGTGAGTGTAGGATATTAGCTGTGAGCCATCGTGGCAGGAGATCAGCATTTTGGTGAGTGTAGGATATTAGCAGTGAGCCAACGTGGCAGGAGTTCAGCATTTTGGTGAGTGTAGGATATTAGCAGTGAGCCATCGTGGCAGGAGATCAGCATTTTGGTGAGTGTAGGATATTAGCAGTGAGCCATCGTGGCAGGAGTTCAGCATTTTTGTGAGTGTAGGATATTAGCTGTGAGCCAACGTGGCAGGAGATCAGCATTTTGGTGAGTGTAGGATATTACCAGTGAGCCAACGTGGCAGGAGTTCAGCATTTTGGTGAATGTAGGATATTAGCAGTGAGCCAACGTGGCAGGAGATCAGCATTTTGGTGAGTGTAGGATATTAGCTGTGAGCCATCGTGGCAGGAGATCAGCATTTTGGTGAGTGTAGGATATTAGCAGTGAGCCATCGTGGCAGGAGTTCAGCATTTTGGTGAGTGTAGGATATTAGCTGTGAGCCATCGTGGCAGGAGATCAGCATTTTGGTGAGTGTAGGATATTAGCAGTGAGCCAATGTGGCAGGAGTTCAGCATTTTGGTGAGTGTAGGATATTACCAGTGAGCCATCGTGGCAGGAGTAAGTGTTGTACAACTCATCTGTAATCTACAGCCATTCCGCATGATCGATTGATAACAATAGATCATTTATTCCTGCTCAAATAAAGTGCAAATATGTTTTCTATCAGCATTACCCTAAGGTTATACAATGCAATTCAAGGCAATAAAAACAACAGGGAAAAAAAAAAAAACCCCAAAACACACATATGACATTGCTTCTTTTGCTATACATTTGCATGGCATAGATTAGCATTGGGTTCTCACTGATCAGTTCAAAATGATATTTGCAATGAAATGTAAATTTACAGTCTATTTTTTTCGAAGTGATCAGGATTTGTATTCCATCGACTGCTTTGATAAAAGTAAAGAAATTGTTAATGCACAATTGTTACAATTCTTTCTTTGTTGTTTATGGAAGATTGGCCTAGGCTCCAGGGATCTGACCTCTGACCCTCCGAACGGTGTAGACGTGAATTTTTTTCGCGGAGCCTTCGCTGTTTTTAATCACCTGAATCTTCGGTTATCTTTCACCATCCGCACCTATCCTCGATATGAATCTTCAATAGTGTTTCTTTGATGTTTTATGTTTTTTACGACAATTTATGATTTTTAACATTGGATATTTTTAGCTAAAACTTTCGCACCCGTGTACATGTATATCTACGTAGTTGACTGGGCACAGTGCATCACACCGGCAAGCGACGTGACGGAGAGCCCATCTTTCTCCAATGCTATACTTACGGCAGAGGTCTTGCATCGGCTTCGCTAGAAGCTCGCCAGCCCGTCAGCAAATTGTGTTGTTATTTTCGTACTTTTCAACGTATTTTTAACATTTTTATAATAAAATAAAAAAAATTAGCCGCCTGGCCTGGCCGCCATTTTTTACAACCATGCAGTCTCTACGTACGCTAACTACCTTAGCCGTCTTCTTGCTTTCTATGTGGATTGAACAGGAATATCATCAATTAGATGACAACAAGGAATTGATTCTGCGCCACAGTAAGGTAGGATCCAACCATTTATTTTCTGGATCAAATTCAATCTTTCCTGGCAACGCTAGCAATGTCGTCAGTAATGTTGTGAATTCATTCAGTAAACAATTTGACAATGCTATCTTGCTGTATTCTTCATGCAAGCTCAGAAAACAACAGCTTGCCAACAGAGGCATATATTCCTCCATGTTGATCAATTTTCAACCTGGAAAAAACTCAACTACTGCTGCCAATTTACTTTCACTTTTGGGACTTTGTGGTGACGTGCACCCCCACCCAGGGCCTTCGAAGTCTAGAACTAGATCTAGAAATTCTACAAATAAAATAAAATTTCCCTGCACCCAGTGCGATGAAGAGGTTCGTGACAACCAACGTGCGCTAAACTGCGACGGCTGTGGTAGGTGGACCCACACCATTTGTAGCGACATCAGTAACGAGGAGTATCCTAAACTCACCGAAATAGGTGACTTTGCATGGCTATGCCCTGCCTGCGTAACTGTGAACTCTAACATAGACGACTCATCTCTCAATACTTTGGATAATACTGAAATTGACGACAGCGAAACACCTAAAACAATTTCTTCTAAAAAGAAACCAACACAGAGTAGACCACTGACATGTGACAACGACACCAGGCCCCAACAACAACGTGACCTAAACCAAAAAAGATCTGGCCTGAAGATACTTAACATCAACTTCCAAAGCATCAAAAGCAAAGTTGAAGAATTTCAAGTTCTACTGGAAGCTGAACAACCCGATATTTTGATATGTACTGAGACGTGGCTAAATGCAGATATAAAGAACTGTGAAATTTTTCCTGATCACTACCAAATCTTCCGTAAAAATCGAGCTGATGGTTATGGCGGAATTATGATCGCAGTCAAAAACATGACTGCTCAGATCTTAGATGAACTCTCAGTTAACGCCGAATTATTATGGATCAAACTTGACCTAGGAAAAACGGGTTAGATACGTTGGTGCATACTATAAACCGAACTCCTCCACAGAATCACTTGATGAGCTTGACAGGTCAATCTCCAAACTTCACTCCAGCTACGGCAGTAACTGTTCCGTTTAGGAGGTTAGGTTCTGGTTAGGAGGTGATTTCAACATGAGAGATATTGACTGGAAGAACATCACAGTCGCACCTGGTAGCAACATTTCTACCCAGTGTCACCTTCTTTTGGACATCAGCACCAAATTTCACCTTACTCAGACGGTCAAAATCCCCACACATCGCGACAAGACCTTGGACTTATTCTTTACTACCAACCCCACTCTTGTGATTCATGTGAGAACTCTACCAAAGTTGGGTGATCATGAAGTAGTTGAAATCTTATGTGATGTAAAACCATGTAGAAAGCTCCCACCGAAGCGAAAGATCTTCCAGTACACAAAAGGAGATTTTATATCTGTGCGTGAAAGCTTAGTTTCCTTTGGGAAAACCATGATTGATAACTTAAACCAAGAAAATTGGATTACCCTCACTGAGCACATTACGACTTTGATGAACAAGCATATCCCCACAAAGATGACTTCAAGCAGACACAACTTACCCTGGTTCAATGGCAGGATTAGACGAATGAGATGCAAACTTCAGAAACTGTATAACAAACAAAAAAGGACCCAACTTGAAAGCGACGAACTAGCCTTCAAAGCCCACAGAACTAACTACAAAAAAGAGCTTCGACATGCTCAAGGCGACTATATTAAAAACACTATGTCTGGAAACTTGCACCAAAACACTAAACAATTTTTGAAAATTGTTAAATCAAAACGTATTGACAACGGAGGTGTCCGTCCATTGTCTACCAACGACGGGAATACAACTGACGACAGCCAAGAAAAAGCTGAAATTTTGAATAGCTACTTCAAATCAGTCTATACACAAGAGGACCTTGAAAATATCCCTGATATGTCTGGAGATCCCCATCCGGAAATGCCTTCCATCACAATCACACCAGAAGGTGTGAAAAAGCTTCTGTCTGACTTAAAACCCAATAAAGCATCTGGACCTGATCAATTGCCAGCTAGATTCCTCAAAGAGTGTGCCAAGGAGCTGGCTCCCATTTTATCAGCAATCTTTAACCAAAGCCTTAACTCAGGTGATCTACCGTCTGACTGGCTTATGTCCCACATCACACCTATCTTCAAAAAGGGCAGCAAAAACTCACCCGGCAACTATAGACCGATCGCACTAACCTCAATCTGCTGTAAGATCTTTGAACATATCCTTACTAGTAATATCATGTCACATCTAGATCAACTTGATATTCTTGTGGACTCTCAACACGGCTTTCGTAAAAGAAGGGGGTGTGATACTCAACTAGTATCTACAATCAGCGACATCGCAAAATACTTTGATATAAATAAGCAAGTCGATGCTGTTCTATTGGACTTCTCAAAAGCGTTTGATCGCGTATCTGACTGTATCTCCAAAGGTACCAAGATACGTTTATTCGCTGACGATGCATTAATCTACCGGGAAATAAATTCGGAAATGGACCCCCAAACCCTTCAAAAGGATCTTGACGCCCTCTCCAAATGGGGTTCCGACTGGCAGATGGCTTTTAATACGGACAAATGCTTTACCATGCATTTCACATCAAAGAAATCTCCAAACATTACCCCCTATAAACTATGTAACAACTCTCTACAGGTGACTTCTAGCCACCCCTACTTGGGCATCACCTTCAGCAGCGATCTAAAATGGAACTCTCACATTAACAACATCACCAAGAGCTCTAAGAAGGTACTGGGAGTCATCCGACGCAACTTTAAAGCATGTACTGTTGACGTCAAATCACAACTTTATCTAACACTTGTACAATCCAAACTAGAGTATGGCACGACTGCATGGTACCCTAGCACACAAAAGGAAAAACATCAGCTTGACATGGTCCAAAGAGCTGCTGGAAGAATGTGCCTCACCGACTACTCAAGAGAATCCAGCGTGACAGCCATGATAACCTCTCTCCAGTGGACTGACCTCGAGACCAGACGAAAGATTGCCCGACTCAATATGATGTACAAAATCAATGCAAACCTCGTAGAAGTTGACTGGAACCCCTACTTAACCAGACCATCTCGCCAACTTAGACGCACACACCCATCATCCTTCCAGAGACCTAGAACCAACACAACAATTTACTCAAATAGCTTTTTCCCATGGACTGTTAAATATTGGAACGACCTGCCTCATGACATCCTAGACGCCCCAAACATAGACATTTTTAAGAAAAGGCTCTGCGATTTTTTTCACAAACACCAATCGGAAATAACTCCACCAGGTCAACCCCCAGGTCAGCCCTCTGACGTGATGCGGGATCCCGCTTTGTCGGAGTAAAATCCAGAACCAGAACCAGAACCAGACCATGTTTTTATAAAGCCTTGCTAACAACCATAGTATGAACAAAGTTTCTTATATGCTCATCAGTTGCCAACTGATGATTTCAGCATTTTCAGAAAGTTTGTGATGATGGTGGAGCCAAAGTGTTTGATCAAACTGCAGAATGATCTAACTTTGTTCTTAACACTTGCTTTTCATCCTGTTTCATGTTTTAAAAGTTTGCTTTCAAGCTTAAGCTCTGTTGTTTCAAGAGCATATTCTTATTTATTTTCATTCTTGGCAGGATACTGGTGTTGGTATGACAAAGGAAGAGATGATAGAAAATCTAGGAACCATTGCAAGATCAGGGTCAAAGGTAGGTCAACTTTTCTTCGTTTATCACCTTTGCTATTTATCTGATAATTTCTGTTTTGTACAAATGAAGAATGCTTTAGGTACAACCTAACAGTAAATTTTGTAGTTGATTTTTATGTGTAGTCTATTGAATCTGATACTGATATCATTTAATTTGCTGGCTGAGAGAACAAAGTATTGTTTCAACATATAGTAATTGAAAAAGAATTCATTGAATATCTTTTGTTGTGTGAAGAATCTCAGGATTGCATTGTCTATTTTATTTTGCATTCTCTTTTTATTACTTTTGTACCTTCCAATCTATTCTACATTCTTGTTCCTAGTTTGTGTTCTGTTTTATTAGCAATACCCGTATGTGACCTGTCACAACAAATTGAGTCAAAAGTCTCTGGGTTCAGGACTCCAGAAAATTTGAAAAATCATGGAAAAAGTTCAAATCTGTGGATTGAAAAAAAATAGATTTTCAATGTTTCATTAATGTTCTGTAAAAAATGGTAATGGGAAAGGTTCGGGGAAGAAAAAAATCTTTTTATTTTGGGAATGATTTTTCGGCTAGGTCTACTATTCTTGCAGATAGTTCAGTATGGTCCCGAGCTCAAGAAAGCTATTTGCTAAGCCCTGCCTAGTGACGTACTGCTTAAATCATTAATGGTTCACAGTCACATGATTTCTGTAAAGAATTTTTGTTGTTGTATGAAGTACTACGCTTATTCTTTTAAAAGCTGCAAATTTTATAGCTCTCTTAATGAGTCTATTCTACCATGATTTGTCCAGTCTTGAAAAGATAGTAAATGACATGAGCTCTCTCCGTCTCCAGTTTTGATTTGAGAAAACAAAAAGTCCAAAGACCTATAAAAAACACTTGAAATTTGCTCACAAAAACGCTAAAATTGATAACCTATTTACATCGGTTGAATAAAGCTGGGTAAATCATGGTTGAATAACCTAGATTCATGAAAACAAACAAGAAAATTTGGGCACAAAAGGGTTAAACAAAATAATAGCACGATAAGACCTTGCAAGCTATTGTGGGAAGCCTTTTCAGTGCAGTGAAACAACTTGCTTTGCTACCCAAAAAAGCGTTAGAATTCATTTTAGTCATGAATTACATTTAAGGTTTTTCATGAGAAGACATTTTAAAGAAACGGGTAATCTATGGTAGGTGTCATTTTAAGTAATAAGCAGTTGCTAGGGCCTTTTTCAAAATGAACTTGACAGTAAAATAAAAAATGCTCATGCTTGAAGACAAAACTGGAGTCAAACTTTGGAAGCATTTTTTAAGAAATACTTTACTAATGTTGTATTCCTGTTATGGTTTAAAATAATTTAAAAGCTATTATCTCCATTAATACTCGTTTTCTAAATTTGAGCTAGAAACCAAATTAAAGCTTATGGAAAAAGGGGAGAACCGGAATCAATCTTAAAATAAAATTTGGAAAAATATGACTTCTGTCTCATTGTGATGTGATGGGTCACATATAATGACACTATTATTTATTTCATGTGGTGCTGCATTTTCCTGCAGGCATTTCTCAAAGAACTACAAGAGAAAGGTGGAAGCTCAGACAGCAGTATCATAGGGCAGTTTGGAGTGGGTTTCTATTCAGCATTCATGGTAGGAGATACGGTGGAAGTTTTCTCAAAGTCGCATAAAAAGGATGCCAAAGCGTGGTATTGGTGTTCAGATGGGTGAGTAAATGAAGCAATGTATCATGAACTGTGATAGGTTGAATGTGTGATATTGGTGTTCAGATGGGTGAGTAAATGAAGCAATGTATCATGAACTGTGATAGGTTGAATGTGTGATATTGGTGTTCAGATGGGTGAGTAAATGAAGCAATGTATCATGAACTGTGATAGGCTGTGATGTGTGATTGATGATGAAGATAGAAGTAGTGGTTATGGTGATATTAAGCAAATATTAACGGACTACGAGGGTAATGGTACAAACTATCATCGCCGAGGTGATCTCTTGGCTACTATCATCCCGAGCCCCAACTGATTCTGCAGACAGTTTAGCTTCAACTAGTTTTTATTCGCGGCGACGCGATGATAAAATATGTCGACTTGATTAATTAATGAATATTATAGATGAACTTACCTCACTTGTTATCTTTCCACTGTCTATGTTCCAATGCCAATACTTACATGTATAATTAGCTTCCAATAATGCTGAATGAGATCGGCAACAAACATCGCTCAAAATCGTGAGCGTTTCAACTCAGTTAATAAGTCAATAAAACTGTTGAAAATCCGAAAGAACGATGAGCTTGTCAACACATAACATACACATGTCTATGGTTTTGCTTTTTGCGCGTATTAATGACATGCGTCGATTGCGCTAATTTAGGCGTATTTGTTCATGTTTACACGATTTATGTTCAAAGCACAACATGCATACCATATTTGCCGGCGTAAAGGCTGCAGTATTTTTGGAAAAGAAAATATCAAAAAGTCGGGGTGCGGCCTTTACGCCGAAAGAGTAAAAATTGCAAGTCAAAACAGCACGTCCATTATTTGCAGGCAACTTCATACAAAAAAATATATTAACAAAATTGACTTGAAAACACATCGGACAAGATATAGATCTAGTCTGAACCACGTCAGCAGCAAGTTATCTTTTTAATTGTTGTGCAACCAAAGAAATAAGAAGAAAACTGACCAGATACTCGTACTAAAAATCGTACTTGTAAAAATGTCCTTAGACATTCGACAGCTGATAAGTAACGCGCAAGGGTACGTAACCAAATTCATACCTCGCTCACACACTCCCTGGTGGGGAGCTATGGGGCTAGGAGTTGCTAACAAATCCAACGCACCTTCGGAGATTCACAGCGCGCAATTTTACCGGGACCTGAAACGTTCGTCGTGTGAAGCTGGTGGGCTAGTGATCAAGATCATCGTCGTGTACTTAACTTTTCAGTAAGATAATTCTGAATTATAATTGAAACTATGTAATTAATTAAAGCGACGAACTAACCTCGGTAGATCTCTAATAACAATACAAAAGCTTGTTTATTTTCTCCATTTGACGGTACGATAGCGGTAAGACCGGATAACATTATAAAAAAAGATACATCCTTCCACCCTGCAATATCCATGGCCACAGCTTGGATATGGCAGGATTATATTAGTGCCGACTCACTGCATGCAAGCTAAAGATGGCCATTCAGATTTCTGTATGCATACGAAGCGCCCTCTAGTGTCCCATGAATGTGCTAATCTGCCTTCAATACAGTACAAGCTTAAAAATCGATGAAGATTTGCTAAATTACATTAATTTTTTAGGTAAACTTCCTGTAAATTTGACTGTAAATATACATGTACATGTACAATCATTTATAAAATGATTGAAAATTTTGGTATTAGTTTAGTTTGTAGGAAAAATAGAGTTCTACGGGAAAATTATGATTATTTTCTTCGGTCCGTTTTTTTTTTCCTGACATTTTGCGTAACCTACTTTGCTATGCTTATTCAATGGGCAAGTTGGGCAGCAGCAAAAAAGTACTTTCACAGTGTGATAGTACTTTCAATCATTGATCGTGTGACCTCGTTTAGACTAATCAGATTGCAAGATTCTTAGTATGCGGGATATAAAAATATCTGGATTACACATTTTGGAGACGTGATAAAAATTGAACTTTCAGAGACAATATCAAAATACTACTATTACACCAATTTCGATTCTCGTTTGGCAGCAGAGTAGTAAATCTAGCGTCTTTCAGTCACTACATTAATCATTACCTCTCAAAGCATTCTTTTTGATGCCTCATCAACTAAGTAGCTGGAGGCATTAAGTTTTTGGGTTGTCAGCTGTCCATCTGTACAACCCGTTCTTGTGATCGCGTTATCTCAAGAACCGATTGATGGATTCCCGCCAAACTTGGGTCATCTATTTATCTTGCAGAGCCAACGAACTGAATAGATTTTAGGGTCACAAGGTCAAAGGTCACAGGCTCATTATTTATGCCAAAATAGCTCATGATCACATTATCATTAGAACCGATTGAAGGATTACCATCAAACTCAAGACATGCATATATCTTACTGAGCCAATAAACTGATTAGATTTTGGGGTCATGAGTACAAAGTTCAAAGGTCATGGGGTTCATTATGTATGCAAAAATAGCTTGTGCTTGCATTGTGAATTACTAATGTTTCTCTCCTTCACGTTTTTTTACTCTCCAAGCAACAATAGGGAGACATTTGTCTAATTCATACTCTAAGGAGACATGACTCCTTCATGTACTCCTACAACCCATTTATTGCTCAGCACATGTGTATAACCTCATTAATGTAACTTTATATTATTATTACTGTTGTCATCTCATTCAAACCTAAAAGGACTCCTTACAGTGCAGGAGAGTATGCAGGGCACTTAATGTTCTATTGTTATTATCATTATTATTATTATCTATATATTAATATGCAAAATTGTCATGGGGGGTAATTTTAGGGTCATCAAAAACATCTTTCAAACGACCGTTCCCGCCTTCGGCGTTGCGCGGGAACGGTGACACAATTCCACGAGACATGTCTCCCGTATTCCGCGTGGTCGCTGTCGGATGTCGTCAAAAGTGGTTCCGGGGTCCTGGGGAGGACAAGCAGGCGAGAGCATGGCTTTGTTCATGCAAGGATGCGAGTGAGGCAACAAGGCGTGCACACCTCCTCTGTGTAATCAAAGAGATACACGGCAGATGACGATCAACTCGTGTAATGTGGTGTAGCAAATGCACGATGCAACGGGTATGGCTTACCCTGTGTTCGGCATCTTGCTATATGATATGCTTTGCAGGCACTGCACAGACAGGCCAGAGATACACATCAGATGACGAACAACTCATGTCATGTGGTGTAACAACTAGCAAATGCACGATGCAACGGGTTGGGCCTACCCCGTGTTAGGCATCTTGCTATACATGTATATCAGCAGCCAAACTGACGAGAAAGTATGTGTTAATTTTACGCTCACACACGTACACACAGCCAAGTCAATTTGTGCACTGTATGCAGCTGACTGCTACATACTGGCACAAACCATAAAATCTTTACTTTGAAAATAATTATACGAAGTTTGTGAACCATGCCAACATAATCATAATCCAAGCTTCTGCTTTATTGGTCTTTTCATGAAAACTACATTGAAATCACAACAATAATAAAGCAAATAGATCTTAATTATCGAGATCATAAGTGACATAGGTTGTTTATGGTGCGCCATTTCATGGCCAAACAGCGCGTAGTGTACAAACTCGGTACTAATGAATCACAATCTATTTCAATCTATTTTTAGATAATAGAAAAATAAAATAGAAACTTAGATTACGTTTAGCTTTACATGGTTCACAGAATTTGTATATTTTTTTCACTGCAAAATTTCATACAAATATCGAACAGTTTGTGCCAGTATGTTCATGCAGTATGTTCGTGCAATGCTGCTGCAGTGCACTACCGGTACTTGACATATGGAAACGACATATTTTCAAATTTCAAAGATGCACCGATTTAACCAAAACAGCAACCAGGCTTCGATGACTTCGATCAAGAATGAATCAACTCAGGAAACTTGACATACTCCTAATAACTGAAAATGATTTTTGACTGACGAACTACCAAACTTGTTAAAATTGATTTAACAGTAACAAATATATGATATATCAATTTAAAAAATTTAGTTCTTTTTTCTCAATAATTATTTAAATTATACCATAAAGACAAAAAAAAAAAAAGTGCTTATTACACCTTAGCTTACTCTCAAAAAACTTTTATTTTTCAAGAATATACAATGTTTATTTCAATTGCAATCTCATACATGTATAACATTCATTTCATTAAAACAGGTCACAATGGAGAACATCAAAGCACCTCTTTGAAGTTAATTGTATCATCCATGCAAAACATCTTTTTGATGATAATTTTGTTCAATGAAACATGTTGTTTGATAATGTATGTTAAGCTCATTTAAACAATTGTTATTCATGTATTGATTTGGAGCAAGTTTTGAATAAATATGTTGTAATTTCTTAACTAATTTATAAAATCTTTGAAAATCAATTTCATTTATGATGTATTATTATGATGTCAGCATTGTCATTCAGAGTATGAGAGAAAGCAGAAGATGGAAAATGTATGCGTGCATCAATAAATATTATTTTCAGTGTAGAACTAATTAACTAATTATATTCCTAGATAACGAGAGTGAGGATGGGAAAGGGATACCGATAGTGAGGATGGGAAAGTGATACCGATAGTGAGGATGGGAAAGGGATACCGATAGTGAGGATGGGAAAGGGATACCGATAGTGAGGATGGGAAAGGGATACCAATAGGGAGGATGGGAAAGGGATACCGATAGGGAGGATGGGAAAGGGATACCGATAGTGAGGATGGGAGAGGGATACCGATAGTGAGGATGGGAGAGGGATACCGATAGTGAGGATGGGAAAGGGATACCGATAGTGAGGATGGGAAAGGGATACCGATAGTGAGGATGGGAAAGGGATACCGATAGTGAGGATGGGAAAGGGATACCGATAGTGAGGATGGGAAAGGGATACCGATAGTGAGGATGGGAAAGGGATACCGATAGTGAGGATGGGAAAGGGATACCGATAGTGAGGATGGGAAAGGGATACCGATAGTGAGGATGGGAAAGGGATACCGATAGTGAGGATGGGAAAGGGCTACCGATAGTGAGGATGGGAAAGGGATACCGATAGTGAGGATGGGAAAGGGATACCGATAGTGAGGATGGGAAAGGGATACCGATAGTGAGGATGGGAAAGGGATACCGATAGTGAGGATGGGAAAGGGATACTGATAGGGAGGATGGGAAAGGGATACCGATAGTGAGGATGGGAAAGGGATACCGATAGTGAGGATGGGAAAGGGATACCGATAGTGAGGATGGGAAAGGGATACTGATAGGGAGGATGGGAAAGGGATACCGATAGGGAGGATGGGAAAGGGATACCGATAGTGAGGATGGGAGAGGGATACCGATAGTGAGGATGGGAGAGGGATACCGAAAGTGAGGATGGGAAAGGGATACCGATAGTGAGGATGGGAAAGGGATACCGATAGTGAGGATGGGAGAGGGATACCGATAGTGAGGATGGGAAAGGGATACCGATAGTGAGGATGGGAAAGGGATACCGATAGTGAGGATGGGAAAGGGATACCGATAGTGAGGATGGGAGAGGGATACCGATAGTGAGGATGGGAAAGGGATACCAATAGTGAAGATGGGAGAGGGATACCGATAGTGAGGATGAAAGAGGGATACCGATAGTGAGGATGGGAAAGGGATACCGATAGTGAGGATGGGAAAGGGATGCCGATAGTGAGGATGGGAAAGGGATACCGATAGTGAGGATGGGAAAGGGATACCGATAGTGAGGATGGGAAAGGGATACCGATAGTGAGGATAGGAAAGGGATACCGATAGTGAGGATGGGAAAGGGATACCGATAGTGAGGATGGGAAAGGGATACCGATAGGGAGGATGGGAAAGGGATACCGATAGTGAGGATGGGAAAGGGATACCGATAGTGAGGATGGGAAAGGGCTACCGATAGTGAGGATGGGAAAGGGATACCGATAGTGAGAATGAGAAAGGGATACCGATAGTAAGGATAGGAAAGTGAGGATGGGAAAGGGATACCGATAGTGAAGATGGGAAAGGGATACCAATAGTAAGAATGGGAAAGTGAGGATGGGAAAGGGATACCGATAGTGAAGATGGGAAAGGGATACCGATAGTAAGGATGGGAAAGGGATACCGATAGTGATGATGGGAAAGGGATACCGATAGTGAAGATGGGAAAGGAATACAGATAGTGAGGATGGGAAAGAGATACCGATAGTGAAGATGGGAAAGGGATACCGATAGTGAGGATGGGAGAGGGATACCGAGAGTGAGAATAAGGATAGGAATGAAGTGACTACAATAATCGTGAATAACGAAAGTGAAAACAAAAATAAAGTGTAAAACATCTGCATCAATTTTCGTTACAAATTACTGATTTCATTTTTTCTTTCAATTTTCAAGTTTTATTACATGGTACAGAACAAACAAAAAAAATCAATTCAGAACGATACAAACAAAAGGTTGATATTCTAATGAGTAAAATATTAATAAAAAGAAGAAGAAAAACAATAAAAGGATAAAATTAGGCATATACAAAGTGAAATACAATTTATAATAAAAAGGGAAAAAGGGACAGAAAAAAAAAGTCTCAAGAAAGAAAAAAAATGTATGTTACAAATATATCATCTACCGATATCGAAAATCATTTTCGATAGCACATAATTACAACCCCCCCCCCCCTGTGTTTCTCGAAGTTCTTTTTAAATGATAATGAGTGTCTCCCAATTGCAGGAAATATATACATGTTGCTAATTTTTGCGCATTTAGGAGACATACAGTATTACAAAAAGAGATCTTACAGAGACACAAAATATATCACTCAGTAGGTGCGTTTATTAACTCTCTTCTAGCTTATAATCGGCGTTTTAAAATGTGTTTTAGGCAAATTTGCAAATTGATAAACGCAAGCATATTTTCATACGTGTATGTGTATATTGAAATGCCAACAAAATTGCGTTTTGAATGTGAGAACGAGCCAGAATCATGTTTCTGAGAGATGTTATACGCAAAGCTGTTTGGAAACATGTATATATTTCAGAACTTCCCAGGCTAATTTCCGGTTCAGAAATAGTGTGTACCATGTGCTGTGTCATATTGCATTGCATTAATTCCTACGTACTCCTTCATTGTTCATTGTTTACGTATTATGCGATTACGTGCTTCAACTATATTTGAGTGTATTGTCATTGTAGACTAGGCAAGTTACCACAGTAATGGGTAAGTTGCAGAGCACTTTGCACTAGTCTAACTGTTGCATGTTCCTCTGAATAGAATTTCTGCCTGGAAAACTCTACAAACTCTAAAAGAATTGTTGCTTCATTGTCTTTTATCGTTCTGACAAGATAGAGATGATTCATGAATAGGACAATGTTCATCTGATTGTACCATTTATATCTTTTAGGTCAGGGCAATATAAAATCAGTGAGGCTGAAGGAGTGATGAAAGGAACTAAGATTGTGATTCATCTCAAGAAGGACTGCTGGAAGTTTGGCATGGAGTCAGATGCCAAAGGTCAGTAAAGAATAATGGATGTAAGCAGACATTGCACTATCCACTACAAAATTCAATGCCAAGTGCCAGTGATTGTCTTTTAATGCAGCACTTCTCAACATTTTTAACTCAAGGCCCACTTTGGCTGTTAGAAATATTTTGAGGCCCACCTAAAAACAGTGAGAAAAACCACTACGCAAGAAAATGAAAATAGGGAACAAATTTTGCGGTAATTTTTTTTTAGTACAAGCAAGTGAGCCAAGCAAATGGGCGGGAGATTTAAAAAAAAATGGAATGCTCAAACACACAACTTCTTGTGCATTTTACCTGTCATCATCATCAATAGTGATCTGTCAGTTTATGACAGGTTCGGTGACCCAATCAAAATTCTATATCAAGTGGCTCTCCAAGTACCACAGTCTTGAGCCATCCGTTTCAGCGTTTCATACCCTGTTGCTCCACATTCTGTGATTACATCATCTAGAAAGCCTTTGCGAGGTCTTCTCCTCTTCTTCTTTCCATGAATACGACCTTCTATGACTCTGAACATCAAGCCCTCATCATGCTGCATTATGTGTCCAAGCCATTTCTTCTGTCTCTCTCTAATTGTTAAAATCAGCACCCGCTTTTCTTGAGCTTGATGAAATACCTCTTCATTCGAAACTCTGTCCTGTAATGGGTAGGGAAATTGGCTAGAGAGTGCTGTAATGATAGGCGTATGGGCGTCATCCTGGTACTGCTAGATTTTAGACTATAGCTTGAGACTGTATTTTGGAGTTGGCTGTCAAGCAATTAGGTGAATACAGTCATACTTATTCCAGCTCACTCACACTGTAGTGATTGGAAACAAGCAGTCATTCAAACATTCCATTTCTCAAGAAGACTCTAGGGGTCCGTACTTGGCCCACGAGAAGACGAAAACACAGGCACTGAAAATGTGTGACATGTCATGGGACATCGTCTGCTTGTGCAAATTATGTCCATACTGTGATCTCACACGTCTCAGCAGCATTCGGAGAGCTCTTCAGGTGCTATGCCGGGGCTGTATTTAAGCGTTTTGTACTTTATAATAATCATTACTTCAAATGTTTCCAAGCATTGAATTTTGATAACCTTGTCGAATCAAAGTTTCAACTTTGCAATAATAAAAATAAAGTTAGTTTTTAAAATCAATGAATATCTACTTTAAGAGAAACCGTAATGTTAATGTTACTACAAAAGAGTAGTCTTAAGTGAATGGTTTGAAACCCAACGGTACCAAGACTGAATTAATTCATGTTTCTTCACACCACAGTGTAAGTAGCCCAACATTGACACTGATTTGGGTTATTTGGGTTATTCAAAAACTTTTGGACAGGACTACCCTCTGACCACCTAATTCGTATTTTTGTTATGTGCCATTTTGATTTTTGTAATAGTAAGTTTGATTTTTATTCTTCCGTCTTACCCACTGAACACCTTATTCATTCTTTTTTTTATATGCCATTTTGATTTTTGTAATAGTTTGATTTTTATTCTTTCGTCTTATCACATTCAAAGATTACAAGTTATTCATAACTTAGCTGCTTGACCCGTAACACGAACAAAGATACATGAACGAATATCCCCAGTCTTAAGATTTTACACTGGCTACTTATCCAGTCCTGTATCAAGTAAATAAGTACTTTTATTAACTTATTAAAATTTCCATCATTTTGTTCATTATATCTCATTGAATTGTTAATACATTATAAACCAGAAAGAATGCCGCATCCCAGTAAAAAGTCATTATTTTAGGTCCCACAAACTGTGACAAAATCTTAAGGAACAAAGGACGTTTGCATATATGCAGCCACTGTTTTTTGGAATATCTTGCCAGATATCTTATGTATTAGTGCACAATATGACGAGATCATGCAAACACAATTATGTGAGGGGGCAAGTGACCAAGATTCAGATTTTCAGTTATTTTTATATTTTCTGTTATACATGTACTAATGTACATGTACAAAAGTCCTTGCACTTCACCCTATGTATTTCATTATGGATCATGATATTTCTTCCTTTCCTCTTTCTCTTTGTTCTTTAGTTTGAATTTTGTGCGCACCCTCTGTTTTGCATTTTTTGTGCTCATGCACATGTTTCATTACAACTGCCGCAGCAAGTAAAGCCCATTTTGTAAACATAAATATTTGGAAATTTTTTGACATGTTTAACATTTAACCATTATATATATATATATATATATATATATATATATATATATATATATATATATATATATATTTGACTGAATTCCAGCTGTGTCATGTAAGATCAGACAAATTAACTTTTTCATTTCATTCTATTAAAAAAAAAGAATTTTCGGCCGACCTGGCATCCCTCCTAAGAGAGCTCTGTGGAATACTGGTTGAGAAGTGCTGTTTTCTGGTATAAAAACAGGGATGCCAGTTTTCTGTTCATTGACGGAATTCCAGCTTTTTTATATTTTGGGTGTCAAATTTCCGGCCTCGTTTATTTATTTCTACCCTTCTCTCCAACTTGGAAGAGCACCAGATGTGTGTGTGTGTGTGTGTGTGTAATTGGGTTTACCTTTTACAGACATAGAGTGATAGACATATATCAATCAGATATAATATGAATGAATCAGAAAAAACCCATTAATATACTTCAAAATGTGATTTTTAGTATAGTACCGTGTTCTTTGTATAGTGTTTTGTACGGCAGACATGAATGATTTGTTAAAACTGCTGGTGTAAGAGTCTGTAATGAAAATAACTAAGCTTTGCAGACATGACTTTCATAATTTTTAAAGTACGTTCCGTGTGTATTTGGACGTGCAAATATTGCAAAACAACTGGAGATAATGCTAGCGATTGAAGATCCTTGCTTGCAGCTAGCTGTGTGAGCAAGCTCTAGTGCTCGGCAGCTGAAGCTAAGCAAATTCTACGCACAGTTAGCAAGCTGTGTTCGAACGTTCATCACCGTTAACAGGACTTAAGGTTTTTGGGACACTTGTTTGAAATTATTGTGGATAAACCAACTGTGAATGTTTATTTGGATTGACCTGAACTATTGTCTGTGGGACATGTAGAAGCTTTGTTTCGAAAATGTATGACTACATGCCAATGAATCAAACGTGTTTGTGTTGCAATGCGTGCATAACCTAGCAGAGTGTAGCCTTACAAAAAAAAACCTCTGGCCCTAGAGAATTGTCACTGGCATCCCTGATAAACAGTCTTTAGATTTAACCTAGTGTTTGTTTTCTATTTGTCTTGCTGACTGTAATGCATGTGACTGATCATCATGTCATTCTAAATTCTAAATTATACTTTAAGTATCTTTCTTGCATATGTATATAGACATCTTGCTGAAACACAGCAACTTTGTTGGAGTACCGATCTTCCTCAACGGCAAGCTTATCAACACCACCCAGGCGCTCTGGACAGAGGAAACCCGTAAAATCACAGAACAGAACCACACTGATTTCTACCAGTACCTCACCAAGAACACCTATGATACGCCCCGCTACACCCTCCACTTCAAGGCCGATGCCCCCCTCAATATACGTAGTCTTTTCTACGTCCCGAATCGGCCGCCGGCAATGTGGGAGCACAGCCAGCAGGCAGATAGCGGAGTGTCGCTCTTCAGCCGCAAGATTCTTATCCAGCACAAGGCAGAGAAGATATTACCCAAGTGGCTGCGTTTTGTTACAGGTATGTGAGGAATGTGTGAGCCATGGTTTGTGATAGATGTTCTCCATCATGCAATCCGGAAGAAGTGGGCAGCCACAGAAGGAGGGGGTAATTTGAGTAGGGTAGGATGCTAGTCATAAAATCACAGTAATTGCAGAAGGGGGTAGGATTGCAAATGAATACATTTCTGCATTTCTAGCTTGGTTTGATTGTAACATTTCTGCTGATCGGTATTTGAAGGAAACCATAAACTACTTGACAAACAACAAACGTGAACAGGTCTCACTTTATCTCTAAATAAAATTATTAATAGAATTTATTTCATTGTAAAGGATTTTTTTTATTGGGACCCCTGTTAGCTTTGTTCAACACTGATTTATCACAGGTTCTTACTCATCTGTATCACTCTAGACAAGTAGGACAGATACAAAGAAAGGAAAATTCCTTGTAAAATACACATGATAAAACACTCTGGTTTCCTATGTGAAAGATAATAATCAATAGAAGACATAACAAGATCAGACCAGGAATTATCCAACTACAAACAACTGTACAATCTTCCCTGATATGTTTTCCTCTATTGCAGGTGTTGTAGACAGTGAAGATATTCCTTTGAACCTTAGCAGAGAGTTGCTTCAGGATAGTGCGCTTATAAGGTAAGCTTAGTCATAGACATGGATGTAGATTTGACTGGTATTTTCCTTACCGTGATCAAAATCTCATAAGAGAAGAAAAATCTAGAAAAGGCGCATGAAAATGTCTAAATTCAACATTTTTCAGTAACAAAAGTACTTACAAACTTCCTTACATTTGTGATTGTTCTCTACATTTATGCTACTGTTGTCTTGATTTATTGGTGCTCATTTCATGGCTTTGATCCTATCTTCTATTAGCTTCACTAAAGTCACATTTTGTTGATATACTATTTGACATTTAGTAAATGATCTTTTCTCAGGATTTTTCCAGATTTTTTAAGTTTAGACTTATTTTCATTAATAATAATTCTTCACATTGGAAATATATATATTTTTAAAAACCTTGTCCTCTGGTCCTTTCTACATTAGGAAGCTGAGAACTGTACTGACCACTCGACTGGTCAAGTTCTTTACTGACCAGGCTAGGAAAGACCCTGCTAAGTATGACCAGTTCACTGATGAGTACAGTCTCTTCCTTAGAGAGGGTATTGTGTCTGCACAGGAACAGGCTGAGAAGGTGAGTTTCTTACCGAGGGCAAATCTAGCATTCTATTGAAGGAGGTACTGAACAAATTTGAACAAAAGTAAAATCAACACCATTGGGATCCTGTACCATGCAGCACCTATGTACTTTTTTGTTTTGAAACTGTGGGGCATTTGCTAAGATTATTGTTCTTCACATATGTAGATCTGATCATATCAGTATTTTGTTGATAAGTGGTCGAGTGAGAAAACAAGAGAAATCAGTATATGGCATCATGCTTCGCTCAAAGGTTTCCCTGCATGATCATGACATATTTTGAGACGTGCTCTTATACATCAGATCCATGAGAGACAGGATTACCATTATAACCATCTGACGAATAAAAGAATATAAGATTCTAAAAACACTAAACCACAGTCCACTCTATTAAAGGTAAAGATCAGTATTGGAAGCTCTTATTACCAATCATGTGAAAGAATATGTTTTGACTAATACATGATGATAACAATTTTGCCGGGAAACCGCCTACTAATTGATATAATTTACCACAATAAATCATATGTATCTACCTATTATTGCTAAGTCCTCCAGACAAAGCAGTCATCGAAATAAAAAAAGTCACAGTTGTGCATACCCCACCCCAAGACCCTGCTATCCCAACCTGTCACGTGCGCACCACACACCCATGCAACTTCCTCTCCCTTTTTCGCAGTCAATCGATAAGGAGTACAGATAAGTCACTCGTGCAAAATTTGGAGGTTTTGACTCCTAACAGCGTTTTGGGTGCCTTTCTTTCTGTAATTTCCATTTTGTTTTTATACAATTTGGTTCAGGTTTTTTAACCCTCAGTCACTTTAGTTTGGCAGTTTTAGTGTTCACTTTTGCCAAGCGTATTTCCTTTTTTGAGTTAAATCCCGGGCACAGTTTTTTGTGTACCAGGGTTTTTCACTGTGTGAACTTGAATGTTATGGACATTTTTATTGTGCATACCTCTTTTGTTGTGATGTGTTTTGTTAACGACGTGGCTCCTTTGTTTGGGCTTGCTGTTCGTTTCAGTTAATTTTGTTGACGCCAAGATAAGCGTTTCTCCCTTTTCGTAGCTGCTTTGTTTGCTATGCTAGGGCTTTTTTGTTTTCGCTACGTTTTGTTGTAGCGGCATTGTTTTGTAGCGACGCTGTTGCTACTTATTTTCTCCCCCCAGTTGCGGCTGTCGTTACCGACTCACTAGTGAGTGAGTTTGGTGCGGCAGGGGGGGGGGGGGGGGTAAGGGCGTCTTGAGACAGGTTGCTCTCCTGCCTGGTGTGCCTGGAGTTTTGCCCTGTAGTAATTTACCGACGGATACCACGTCCGGGCCAGCCAGCAGGGCTGTGCTCCGGCGCCAGTAATGTCGAGGTCTAGAGATTCTAAGTCACTGAATAAAAGAGACTACTACCAGCGGCTCTCCCCCTCGTGGGATAGCTCGACTTGTAGAGGCCCCGGGCTTCACGGCCCGTGGCTCTGTTGCAAGGCAACAGCCATGCATTCAAGCATGATGTGGACCTGGTTCGCGTCCACATTTGAGGTGCCTGTTATCACCCCAGTGGCACGCAACGGTCCATAGTGCAACTGACATTCGATCAGACCAAATTTTGTATACTTTACTCTTGGCAACATTTGCAACACCAAATGACCAAAAATTTGACTTGCCAAAGTAACAATTCATACCAGTATAGTAGTCTTAATGCACATTATAATGTAACAAAATAGTCAATTTTTCTCTACTTTCATTAGGATTGAACTCAAATATTTGTTCAAATAATTGAAAAAAGCCTACATGTGTATTCTGAGAAATTTTGCACAAATGTCTAGATGTATCTAATACTTCCAAATGGATTACCAATCTACCCTAATGAACAAATAAATGTCTTTAAATATACTCTTGGTTGACATGTAAGTAGAAATCTAACTTCTAACTTCATCTGATGAGTAGAGCTACTCAATCCATCCCTTAAAACTTTCCATTCTCTTTAAATCATGAATAATCAGATTTACGGCTGCTGGTGAAAAAATACCACAGTGCATTGATACCAATGTCTCCACAACCATCACCAGTCTTTTGTTAAGTTCAAAAGTTAAAAAACAAAAATGTAGAGAAGCACGAGATTGATAACATTTATGATCATGGTAATAACCTACGCAAGAAAATCAGGTAGGAATATGGTAAAGTTTTACTTTATAAAAAATACATTGGCTTCACTATAACCCGATGATAATAAATTAAGATATTCAAACTTTCAAAAGAAGTCTAATATTGTGAAAATCCATGTTTGTACATGTATGACACTCTGATGTCATTATGAGTGTAACATGCATAGCATTTATACATGCCTTTTGTAACATCTCCTGGTCTCTTCACACTGTAGTTCATCAACACTCTATGCTTCTTCAGTTTTGGTAATTCTTGCTACAGCAACTATGGTATTTAACCATAGAGGGCAGCATTGGCCGTGGGTATATGTGGCAAAGGCACTTCCGGTTCCTATTGAAATACAATGGGTCAAGAACTGGAAAGTCCAATATAAATTATAGTTTCGGAACCAATAAACTATAAGTAACAGATTGTTAAATGATTGTGCCTACATACATGTAGATCTTATCAAATCATCGGGGGAGTTCGTGAAACCTGGAAAAATAGTTTAGTACAAGTCGACACTGCTGTACATTCTCTAAGGAAGCTGGAAGTAACCTTGTCTTATTGTCTTCCCCAGTTTCGATTATGCACATGTGCTGACCTGCACAGTGTGGAAGGAAGGTCACCGTCTACTGTTGAACGTCATATTTGCGTAGACTGGTAGAGTCGATGCCCAATCACCCTTGCGATATTTGCACTTGTCAAAGACCTGTAGTTGGAATTGGTTCTTCTCTTCTTTTGGTTTTGGTCTTTTCAAGATCTTCAGACTACTTCAGGATGTTTCAAACTCCTGTGTGGCAAGTCAACTCTTTGCTGATTCCACTTGTTGCAATGATAATCTCATTGACACACTCTTCGCTCTGGAGACACACAGGAACTCCATCTGTCTGCTTTTTTTTCCTTCTCTTCTTTTCAGCTCTTCCTTTGTTCAATCGTTCCTTTGTGTTCTTTTCTAACTCCATACACTGTTTCATCATGACAAGCATATCATCAAGCTGTTTTTCCAACTCCCGTAGTATGCGCTGGTAATTACAAACATCCAACAGTTGTACAAGAGAGTCTATTTTGGCTCTGCACCTTTCTGCATTTTGTTGAATGGGAGTAAGTCTTTGTTGTTTCCTTGGAGGGAAGCATTCAACAAGACTCTGGAGAAAGAAATGGAGAACACAGCTTTTTATTTGACAACCATATGTTAAAAAAATCAAACATATTAAACAAAGGCAGGTTGTTATATACTTAACATAACGACTCTGCATGTATGTGTACAACATAATACCTATATACACTTCTTGCAGGTTTACATCAGATGTATCAGTTGTAATCCTGTATGTATCACACATCAACATCATAATTCAAACTATTTGAAGGTTTGGATATAGTGCTTTTCCTGGTTATGTTTATAATGAAATGTTTATGTACTTTTTTCCTATCCAAAAGGAACAAAATGCAATTTGACATGTACCATAAGGCAACAAAATATGTTTCCTTCTTTTAAAATTTTAGAGAAAATGACAAAAATGCATAACTGTATACCTGTCCTAGAGGATGTGTGTTCTGATGTTCGTCATCTGCAGGAAGTGAAATAAAGATCTTATGTTCTGTTTCTACGGCTGCCCTTTGAAATAAATGCTCTCGTAAAAGTTTGGTCTTGTCATTCATTCTACTTCTCGTCATCTGGGAGACCTGTACAAGTAAAACAAAATGAGAAATCAGCATCATATTCCTCACTGATACAGATCATTTACCAACTCACAACAAATCGTATAACCTAGAAACTTTGAAGAATGAAATGGTGTTACCTGGTACTGTGGGAACCTGATGACCTCTGTCATAACCAACATGGCTGGACATCCAATCTTCTTTGATCTGTGGTTCTTCTTGCTATTTCTTCCTAGTCTGTCAACCTTCAGGAAAAAAACAAACAAGTATTCAATCCTTGAAATGAGATGGATGATGGGAGGTCCTACTTTACCAAAACATGGTGTGAATTTTCCCCATAGAAACTCAGTGTGACATGTCTTTAAAGTTTAAGGTTACAAATATTCTATTAGTAGGGATTCATATCAAACATTATTTGATTGATCATACACCCTACTATATTTGATAAACAAAAGATCACTAAACCTCTTTTTGAGTTAAGGTTCACAAGATTGTTCATAAAAGCCATCAGTGTTGTCAAGATTTTTATTTTTGTTAATATTTAATAAAATGTTCAATAATTAGAAGCAGAATAATATGTTACTACTACTTTTATTTGCAAATAAGCACATACCAGATATGCTTGTGTTTATTTTTTATCTTTTTCTTAAAGTATAATTAGACAATTATACTTTCAACATAATATGAGATTTGGTCAATTGTACTTCACTCCTAATAAAGATTCAACGCAATTCAGTAAGATTTGATACAAGTAACAAGATAACAAAGAAAACAAAGAAATAGCACAATAATAATTTAACAAAATTATTCAATTTTCAAGATAATTTCTCTTTGTGTCATCTTTACATAAAGTTGGAAAAACACTTGCTCTTATGACATTCCAAAGATAATGATCTTGTTTGAAATGGATAAGATGTTTTTTCAAAGTTTTGAAAGTTCATCAAGAAAAGTATTTTACTTGGCCTAACAACAGCAAAAAGAGTTTGTAAAGGTTAAGATCATAAACAAAGGAATGTCAAATTGGTCAACTGATAGTCCAAAAAAAAAAAGAAGAAGGGTGTTGAACAACTTACCTGTAACTTCTCCCCTCTTAAAGCTGGTTGTGAAGACTTATGTTTATTCCTTCCTAAGAAGCAAGTGAGAAAGTACTTTCCCATAATCATAAATGGTACTCCATCGCAAGGAAGTTCCCATGTTTGTATCAGACAAATGCCAACTTGGGGACATCTGTATGATCTGTTAATAAAGCAGAAAAATAAAAAGAAGTGATGGTTATACAGACAAAAAAACTCATATACTAGATCTATATTGCCCTTATTAATCATTTAATTTTGAAAAATAACATTCAGAAAATATCAAATACCAAGGCGTCTTTTTTTCTTTCTTTCTTTTTTACTCATTTAATCTTTCCTCACAAATGTTTTGATGGTCTTGGACGGCAAATAATTTTAAGCTGCCTGCATGTGCATAAATATATCCTCATAATTTGGGTAGCGAGATAGCCACATAAAACATTTTAAAATTTAAACAATATAAATTAAATGATTCTTTAAAAGTCTTATTATTTCAGGCTTTAATAGCCTCATCTCATTTAATTTGTCTTTTCACTGACCAGTCGAGCTCGAGGTCCTTGGCTTTGACTTGAGAAGTTTGCGTTTGCCATATCATCCCTGGGTATTTTATTTTCTGTGTCCAAATTGTGAAGATGTAGTATATAAATGAAGGAACAACTTAATATGTGTTCTGTTTATAATACATTCTTTATCTTACACACTGGATCTATAATTACTTGACAGCTTAGTTGATGTACTGTTGGTAACATTAGATTCGTCCGAGTCCAACATGAAATCCACGGCATCCACTCTGCTTTCGCCGGTGTTGGAAGGTGTTTCTAAGCCAGCAGTTCCGGCGGACTGTGACGATAGAGAGTCGTTCATGCCAAAACCCTTCCCCCTTCTCTCCCCAACAAACCGGAGGCCTGTGGATTCCTCAAAACATTGTCTAACTTGTTCAGCTTCTGTGAGAGTTTTAACCCAGCCTTTCAAATAATCTTCACTGACTGGGCATCATAAATCAGACCAGGGCAACGATACGGCCCCAGGAGCCGAGTCTATTCTGCTGGCCCCATCACTCTCCATCGCTCTCTATTTCTACATGCCGTTAATGCTGCATGCGCTGTCCATCGAGCTGAGGCTAGGCAGGCGCACATGTACTCATTGGAGGCATGCAAGGACCCCCCCCCCTCCCGATTAACTTGACTATAGACTACTTTGTTTTACTTCTAAGAGGCTATATGACGTGCCTCCTTTCTCTCGACTTTTCTTACACGCACAAAGAGTTCTTGCCCTGTTCACACCACCTGTTTAGCTTAAGTTTTAACTCTAGTACGGCCGTGTAGCTTGATTCGTCTCCCGTATCTAGGGGTAAGAAGCGGAAGAGCTCGTCCACCCGATTTTCCGCTGGGTCTAGAGCTAAGTCGTACCGTGAAGTGCAAAGATGTCCCGGCTTTTGGCTTTTTCGCTGCCGTGAAATGTAGGGTTTCGGGCTGGCTTTGGCTTTCCGTGAACTGGAGCTGAAGCTCTAGCACGGCCGCGAAGTTCGCTTCGTTCCCTGTTTTTAGAGGTGAGGAACAGAAGGGCTCGTCCGCCAAGTTTCGACTGGGACAGGAGCTAAGAAGGCGAAGGAGAAATCTTTGCCAATGTTGGCTTTTGGCTAAGGCTCTAGCAGGGCCGTGAAGTTTGTTTCGTCCCCCGTTTTTAAGGGGTTGGGAACAGAAGGGCTCGTCCGCCAAGTTTCGACTGGGACAGGAGCTAAGAAGTGAAGGAGAAATCTTTGCCAATGTTGGCCTTTTCTGCTACCGCTCAGTTGGAGCTTCGGGGCGTTTTCACAAACGACTACTGTTCCGCCGGGTTGTGTCAGGCTGTGTCCATCCTCCACCGTCCATTACCCTTGCTACTCCTCTGTGAGAGGAGTCGGTCTGTGGATCGGTTTTTTTCCTTTCCCTTATGGGTTTTTCAGTTTTCCTTGATAGCGTTCAGCTGTTTCTTATCACGCGGGAGCCCGTCTCACCTGCCTCGAAGGGATCTATCTCTGGATGGATTGTGGAGGTGGTTCAAACTGCGGGTCCCAAGGCTCTCTCGGAGGGTGTGTGTCCTTGTGTGCATGATACCAGGGGTCTTGGTACCTACTGGGCTTTTTTCATGGGGTAGCGCTTCATGTCATTATGAAGGCTGCTTTCTGGCTTTCACCTAACACCTTCATTTCGTGTTATCTTAAGGACGTTCCTGCGAGTGAGGAGTTTTTTTTGCTGCGGCATCTTCTTGCCTGATTCCCCGCACTCTCACTCATATTTCCTGTCTGTCATAGCTTCAAACAAGAAAGGAAACATTTAATATAATAGATTTATTGTTGTAAGGTCGATCCAAAATATTTGTTACCGTATTTGCCGGCGTAAAGGCCACAGTATTTTTGGAAGAGAAAATATCAAAAAGTCGGGGTGTGGCCTTTGCGGCGAAAGAGTAAAAATAAAAATAAAAAATTGCAAGTTAAAACCATGAAACACAGCAAAAATTTGTACATATGGGACAACAATGAAAGGAGATGGACATTTCTAGAATAACTGTCTAGAATAACACATGTCTTACCGACAATTATGTGTTATATTTTTTTTAATGAAGGGCAAAGTTTTGTCAATTTCGTAAATAAAATTCATAACTTACCAACCAAACTCTACTAGTAGATCTAGATTTAAGTGTTTGCCATAGCTAAAGCAACCTCAATCCTCTCACTCACGCGAGCAAAGCTATGGCGCAATACACAAGAGAAAGCTGCAAGGGAAAGCATCAGGATCGGGATGGCCGAGTGGTCTAAGGCGGTAATTTAAGACGCATCTACATTTGTACGGGTGGGTTCGTATCCCGCCTCCGACAATTTTTTTTTTTTTAAATGTCAAAATTGGGGGTGCGGCGTATGCGGCGCTGCGGCCTCATCACCGGCAAATACGGTATACAAACTTCAAACCTTTTCAACAGGCTTAAATCACATACAATAGCTAATGATGCTGGTTGAGCGATTTGTTTGTAATCTGAAAGGAGTTATAGAATTAAACCATTCACGAGTCTTACCATTTCTCACTATGTAGGAAGAGATAGCTAGACTGCTGAGATACGAGTCATCATCCTTACAAGAAGGACAGAAAACCAGCCTAGTGGAGTATGGAGAAAGGATGAAGGGAGGAGAACGCAATATCTACTACATTTGTGCACCAAGGTAAATCATGGACTCCAGGTCAATTGTGTGTGTGTAATTGGGTTTTTACAGAAGTGTATCAATCAGATATGATTATTTACGTCTGGGGACCGACCTTTAACGTCACCATCCGAAAGACGTGACTCAGTTTCGAACCTGCCTCCTCGGCTGAATCAGTTTGTAACTTCCATTTTTAGCTGGATTACAGGTGCACGCCACAACGCCCGTCCAAGATACTTCTTTTATGTTTGATATGTATGGGTTAAAAAGGCCTCCCCCCCTATGAATTCAGCCGTGAAACGGCAAAATCGCCGCGAAAATTTGCATGCATGTTAAGTGAAGTGTATAGAATACTAGGGTAATTTCAATTTTTTTTGTGAAAAATTCACTCATTTGCATATTTATGGTGATTTATGCAAATAGCTAATAAAGTTCAATTTTTTACCCATAAATCATATATTCTTCATATTTAAACATTAGTTTTCACTACATATATTCTTTGGACCATTTGGGATAATAATACAACAACAAAAGTAGGAAGAGCCAGGCTATTCCTTATGTCAGACACGTACGCGGGAGGGGGGGGGGTTTGGGGTTAAACCCCCCCCCCCCCCCACTTCACTTCCTAATAAATGACCTAAAATAGATGACCTTAACCCCTCTCCCCAACGAAACGGAATGCCGATCGGTCAAATTTCCAAATTTCGGGACAAAAAAACAAAAAAAATATGTCCTCTTACCCCCCCCCCTGCTTATTTAGCGACTGGCGTAATCGTTGCAAAATTTTGGCCCGATTAAACCCCCCCCCCCCCCCCCCTTCAGTTCCTAATGGATGACCTAAAATAGATGACCTTAACCCCTCTCCCCAACGAAACGGAATGCCAATCGGTCAAATTTCCAAATTTCGGGACAAAAAAACAAAAAAATATGTCCTCTTACCCCCCTCCCCCCGCTTATTCAGCGACCGGCGTAGTCGTTGCAAAATTTTGGCCCGATTAAACCCCCCCCCCCCCTTTCAGTTCCTAATGAATGACCTAAAATAGATGACCTTAACCCCTCTCCCCAACGAAACGGAATGCCGATCGGTCAAATTTCCAAATTTCGGGACAAAAAAAAAATATGTCCTCTTACCCCCCCCTGCTTATTCAGCGACCGGCGTAGTCGTTGCAAAATTTTGGCCTGATTTCAAAATGTTATAACCCCCCCCCCCTTCGAAAAAATCCTGCGTACGCCACTGCCTTATGTTATCTATTGTTTTGCTAATTTCTTATTTATTTCCTTGTTTTTTTAACTTATGTATATTCATTTCATTTCTAACAATAATTCAACTATTTAGACCTCCAGCATTAACACCTAAACTATAAACAAGATCAAATAACCAATGTTTTACCTCTTTTTTGAAAAAATGAGATTTCCATACATCACGAAAATGAGTGATTTTGGGGCTGACATGCAAAGGCAAAAGGTCATGTGACTTTGTTACGGTAGGTTTGATTTTCATAAATTTTCTTTTCAAATGATGTGCAAGACTCGTAAGAAAAAAGTCATAAAATTTTAGCGCAAGATTTTTTTTGGGTTAAAAATTATCACGAAAAATGTAGAGGGGGGGGGGGGGGGGGCTTCTAAAGCCCTTCCCCAGCTAGATAGGGTTAAATGTATGCGATAATAAGATCTCTGTTCCCTGTTTTCCAAACCACAGTCGAGAGCTGGCGGAGGGCTCACCTTACTTTGAAGCATTCAGGCAGAAAGATCGTGAAGTAATTTTCTGCTATGATGATTACGATGAGATCACTATGTTACAGCTCAGGGAGTTTGATCGTAAGCTGCTGAGGTCTGTAGAGAGTGAGATGGCAGGAGATCAATCAAGCGAAGAGATAGCTCAAGAAAATGGTAAGATCTGTTCATACATTTTGGACAGGAAGTTATAAGGACATAAACAAATGATCAACTTTTCATCTTTAACTTAGCAACACTGGAAATTCTATTTAATACAATTTTCTTAAAGGGATCCGGTAACTTTGTCTTAGATCCTTTTAGAAATAATCCTTGATTTACCTCATGCTGCAATGATAATTATAAACCTTTAGGTCAGTCAGGAACTCCTGACTTTTACAAGCCGATCGCTTGTCTGATTATCAAGATATTAATGATTGGAATTACAAATTTTGAAAACCATTCGCTTAACGGTTTTCATAACACTACAGTCTACTGGGGAAAACGAGTATGGTAAAACCGGTCACTCAAAGATTTTTATTTTTTTGAGGCACTTCTTGATCATTTTGAAGCGCAGTTTTTGTAGGGCTTCAATATTACACCATATCACAGACACTGGTAACATGTAGGACCGTGTATCTCAGATTTAACATTGTTAAACGATCCCTTTCACGAGATTGATGTTACTGTTAAGACTATACTTGGATGGAAACTGTGTCAGAAAGTGAAACCCTAAAAATGCTGTGTTATTTTGTTCTTTACTCAGCCAAGGAAGGATATGTATTTCTGTTAATTCATGTATAATTAAATCTTTAGATCAATCATGTAATTTATTGTATATTTGATTGTTGTAAAGCGCATAGAGAATTTATTATTATGCGCTATATAAAAATTACTTTATTTATTATTTAAGGATGGATTTGGCCCATTTGCCCGAGATCTTGGCCATGGAATGAGGAAATATTCTATTAGCAAAAAACAACTTTTAAAATTCATATGTAGTTTTTAAGCTGCTACCAGCCTTAAATTTGTTATGCAAGCTTTCATCCACTCCTGTGGGCTTTCTCAAGCTAAGTGATCAGTCTGAGTCACACGATTCCATGCACTGCCTGGTGTCCTGCGATCACTGGACCAAAGATCTGTGACAATAGGTACCCAGAGTACCTGTTTAGTGATGGCAAACGTGTGACTCAGACTGATCACTTAGCTTGAGATAGTCCACAGGAGTGGATGAAAGATTGCAAAACAAATTTAAGGTTGGTAGAAGCTTAAAAAACTACATGTTATCATTATCCCCAACTGATGAAAGTTTTCTGTATCAACTTTTAAAATTGTTTGTAAATAAAAGTTTCATATATTACATACAGTAGGCTTGCGGTTACATGTTGATGTTGAGAATTCTGTATTTTGTACGATCGTCTTGGGGAAGTGACTGTAATGACTGTTTAATTCACTGTTTTCATACATGTTTGAGATAATTTGAGATAATTGAATTTGTTATGATACAGTTGAAGGAAGTCTAACCACAGGGGAAGTCAATTCTCTTGTCCAATACCTTAAAGGAGCTTTAGGGGTCAAGGTCAACAATGTCAAGGTGAGGGTCTCAATTTATTTCATTCCAAAATTCCACTAAAGTGTTATTTTGTGACATTCATTCATTTACTTCATCTAAAAAATGAAAAAAAGCTATTAGTCTCGTTATCGAAAATCTCTAGAACCATTAGAGATGTGAGGCTCAAACTAGGTGAAAATATGTATTACCATAGCAAGATGATCTGATCACATTATTATGCCTCCGCTTCAAAGTAGCCGGAGTCATAATGTTTTCTGGTTGTCTGTCTGTCCGTACGTCTGTACGTCCTGTTCTCGTGATTACGTTATTCATTTATGTATCTTGCAGAGCTAATGAACTGATTAGATTTTGGAGTCACAAGATCAAAGGTCACAGGTCTTATTATGTATGCAAAAAATAGTTTGTGAACCGATTGATGGATTACCGCCAAACTTGGGTCATGTTAGTATCTTGCAGAGCCAATGAACTGATTAGATTTTGGGATCTCAAGGTCAAAGTTTAAAGGTCACAAGGCTTATTATGTATGCAAAATAGCTTCAATTTCAATTTTTTTTATTTTATTGTCACATTCTGATAAAAATCACGATAACAAACATTTACAATACAAAGTCAATTCAAACAAAATACACTAGAACAGAAGTATCAAAATGTGGGGGGACAAACAAAGGCCAAAGGCCTATCACAGGCTTGTCCCCAAACTATATTGTGCTTGTGATTGCGTTATCTCAAGAACCGATAGATGGATTTAGCCAAACTTGGGTCATATATGTATCTTGCAGAGCAATTGAACTGATAAGATTTTGGGGTCATGGGGTCAAAGGTCATTGGGCTCATTATGTATACAAAAATAGCTTGTGAAGGCGTTGTCAATACTGACGAATGGATTACTATCAAACTAGGGACATGTTTGTATCTCGCAGAGCCAATGGACTGATTAGATTTTAGGGTCATGAGGACAAAGTCATACATGTATATGAAAATAGCTTGTAATCACGATATTCTGAGAACCTGTTGATGGATTACAATCAATCTTGAACTTTTAAAATTGCTTCTGTTTTGGTTTGTAAAATCACTCTATGGCGGAGGCAGTCAAACATCCATATTTAGATACATTTTGTTAATGTTGCATGAGCCCTATTTTTGTTTTGTCCTCATTCATTTTAATCGTTTGGATGGGCGCACTGACGGCGATCAGTTTATCATCGCCGATTCATTTTCCGACTCACGTTTTGCTTAACATTTTTTTTAAATTGCGGTTTGTTAGTGTCACATGAATCTTGTTTTGTTAATTTTGGATCTCCGTATCAGCTACGATATCTAGCCAATAATTATTGTTATGGGGTTTCCATATAGGCTACAATGTCTCGTCATAATTCTTATTTTTGGATCTCCGTGTTGGCAACGAAGACTCACCAATAATTGTTGTTTTCAGATCTTTGTATTGTCAACTAAAAGTCTCGCTAATAATTATTTTCTCGGATCTCCGTGTCGGCAACGAAGTCTCGCCAATAATTATTGTTTGGGGGTTTCCGTATAGGCTACGATGTCTCGCCAATAATTATTAGTTTCGGATCTCCCATGTTGGCGACGAATTCTCGCCAATATATATTGTTTTCAGATCTCCGTATTGGCAACAAAGTCTCGCCAATAATTATTGTTTTCAGATCTCCATATAGGCAACGAAGATTGGCCAATAATTATTGTTTTCAGATCTCTGTATCGGCAACTAAGTCTTGACTCTAATTGTTGTTTTCAGATCTCCGTATCGGCAATGAAGACTGGCCAATAATTATTGTTTTCAGATCTCTGTATCGGCAACTAAGTCTTGTCACTAATTATTGTTTTCAGATCTCCGTATCAGCAATGAAGATTTGCCAATAATTAATGTTTTGAGATCTCTGTATTGGCAACTAAGTCTTGTCACTGATTATTTTCTTGGATCTCCGTATCGGCTACAATGTCTCGCCAATAATTGATTAAAAAATGAAAAATAAATAAAAAGTGAGACAGATCGTGGGAGAGAGACAAGCGAAAGCAATTAAATATCGCTGATGTTACCGGCTTTTATGACAACAAGTAAGTCGACGGAAAGAAAGATATGAAAGATATGTCTTGTGAACAGCGCTCAAAATACACGGGGGCGGTGGGCGATTCGCCCCCGTGAGCTACAAAATCGCCCCGTCAGGTTGCTCATGGGGGCGATTGTTAAATTAAAAAATGCCCCCGTGGAATTATAAAATAAAGATTATCTTTTCTGTTACAACTTTAACACAATATTGAGTTTCAATTTTTTCAAACCTTAAACCAATGAAATGGAACTAAGATTAGCGTGCAAGATTTTTCGTTCTATGAGTATTATTACCGATTCAAACAACGGAAGCTCGCAGTGCAGTGCTGCCGTCAGCAGTGGCTATAGGCCTACTGCACCATTAGTAACGGTACGTGTGCACGCTGCCGCCCCATATCTGCTGGAGCTGGAGGTGATGGCGCAAGGGCTGAAACATGTTTTTGGTTGTGAAAAGCGTGAATTCGCTGAAATCTGGTGATTTCAAATGACCAGCAAATAATACACCTCGACCAGTAAATCGATAAAAGGGACTTTTAGATTTGCACGAGGAGAATGTAGACTGCAACGTGTGACCTCCTTTTAAGGCACTGCCAGTGCTTAAAAGGACGTCACATGTAACTGCGAGTTCCTTAAAAGGACGTAACACGTCCACGCAAATATAAAAGTCCCTATTGAGAAGAAGAGGAAGACCAAGATTTTGTGGAAGGATATGGTAACATGGGCAGATCTACAGGGGGGTGAGGGGGTTTGACCACCCCCTTGGGCTGCCAAACGAAAATGTGATGTGCATAGAAAAACGCCATTATGTGTCCAGATCCACGCAGTATTAGTAGATGTAAGTAGATGCCAGGAAAACATCACTCACAGGGGTTCAAAATAGCACCAAAAAAAAATTGCCTCGCCGCTATGCGGCTCGTGGACGATGCTTCGCATGTAAGTAGATGCCAGGAAACATCACTTACGGGGGTCCAAAATAGCACCCCCCCCCCAAAAAAAAAAATCGCCTCGCCGCTATGCGGCTCAGTAAAGAAAGAATGTAAAGGTTGCTCCGAATAATGAGGAGGAAATAATGTGCAGAACGGGAAGAAATCGATAAAATGTTATCACGATGAAATTATGATGAAATAGCAAAGAATTGAGGAGTATCATAGGTACCAATACAATGAAAATTGTTTTAAAAAAGAGCCCCCGTCAGTACTTAAAGAGCCCCCGTGAGAAGGCTCACAGGGGCTCTTTTTTTTTTGGAAGAGCCCCTGTGGACAAAAAATTAGTTTGAGCCCTACTTGTGAACTATTTCATCCTTTTTTGTCTTTGTTTGATGAATGCTTGTGATATTAGGTAACCCAAAGACTTGGTCAGTACCCTGCCATGATCACTGTGGCTGAGATGGGCGCTGCAAGGCACTTCCTTAGAACAGCCATGAAGAATCGCACTGAGGAAGAGAAGATGCAGCTACTCCAACCAACATTAGAGGTTAATGGAAGGTAAAAAATCAATTGGTGCACTTATATTTCATCTAAATCTCAACCTGATGCTAGGTTTAAGCTTCGTCTAAAGACTGATTTAATAATGGCAGTCAGAGCAGAGTCTAATGGTTCCTGCATATCGCAGACATACATTTAGCAGAATACAGATCTTTAAAGGTACTATGTCCCTTTTGCAGCCAACCTCAAATTCTGTAGAACTTTGAAGGAATTATGAATATGTCATGTATGTCCTATCTGTGAAATTTAAACGTTAGCAGTGTCCTAATATTCAAATTATGCAAGGAAACCCGTTTACTTGCTAGACTTCACTGTCAAACACTGAGTGACTGACTGGCTTTTGTTTCTTCTTTGGTAACATACATAAAATAAGATGTAAAGGGTACATGAGCATTTGTCTACATCAATAACCTACTTCTTGTGATGGCCAAATTTGAACTGATTGAATCTTTGCGCAGCATAATCATTCGGTTCAATGGTCTGAAAATCAAGACTATTACTTTTGGGCTCTATAGAGTACCGAAGCTGTGACGTCATATAAATCTATTTTTAGAATTTCTCAATTTTTTCTTCATATTCCGAAAGAACATATACTTAATAAATATACTCCCCATAGGAACCCAGTGTTATATGCTCTGGCTCCTAATGGTTAGGAGCCAGAGCATATAACACTGAGTTCCAATAGGAAATATATTCATTCAGATGGTCATATCTCAGCCAATACTTAACATATTCAATTGGTTTTCGACATTTGGACATTATTTTTGATGTTCTTTCGTAATATGAAGAAAAAATTGAGAATTCTAAAAATAGATTTTTGATGACGTCACACTTCACCACTCTATAGCCCTAAAGTCGATTTGACAACTAATAGTCGTTATTTTCCCACTTGAAGATATTTTCAAGCCCCACCTTTTTTAGGGAAGTTCTAAATTAGTATTATCTTTCAAATGCAGTTGGAATTTAACTTTTTCAGTTTTTGGGCCTGCAAATGGGACATAGTACCTTTAAGACTACCAAAAATGTGCCTTTCCATATATTTTTTTACTTGCCTAGTGGCTATAGAGCGAGCAGCGACCACTAGGTTGCATTTAGTCACTTGGATCCTTTGCAAAATAATGGTCTGTGCTGTAGTACAAATTATAAATGTTTATTACAGCCAAAAGTGAATTAGCATAGCAAATGATCCAACAAGATAAAAGTGAGCAGAGATCCGTGGTTGTGTCATGCTTTAATTTATTGTTACTTACATAGAATACTCAAGGAAAGGGTTTAGCTTGCTGCACTACCAAAAAATGCCTCCTCAAGAAATTGTATATTTTCAAAGAGATATGTCCCGCTAACTGTGAGATACATATCATTCATTGAAAATTGTTAGTATGTTGTTCTCTGTCTTTGAGTACCTTGGAGTTTAAAAATAATTTACTCTTGCCTAACTATAGAAAACTGAATGATTTGTAATCTGATTTCATGTCTTTTTCATATTTACTCGTAGTATTTTCTTGCAGAATAAGTCATTTTCAAATTGCTTGTTTTCTTGCAGCCATCCAATCGTAAAGAAATTGTTTGCCTTGAAAACATCAGATCCAGATTTAGCAAAGATGCTAGCAGAACAGGTAAAATGACAGCACTTGGTAGGGATCATCCTTAGGCAAGGTCATGGGGATAGGGGGGGGGGGGGCACCCAAAGTTTCTCAATGGCAGTAATAGCACCCAAGGGAAATCTTAAATGATTCAAATGGGGTCTATGTCCCCAAGGAGGCTTGGGGGCAGCAACCCCCCTCCCCTAAAAAAAAAACCCTCTGGTTTACATTTTCGAAGACTTCTCAAAAATGCATGATCAGATTTTAACTAAACTTGGCAGGGATCATCCTTCTGCACGGGTGAACCAAAGTTGTTCAAAATGGGTACGTAGGCTACCCCCAGCGGGGCCTTGGGGTAACTTTCAATATTCACCATAAATAGCAATGCGAGCACTGCAAACTTGCATGCGTGAATCTTGACAAATACAATTGTTTTTTTCTAATTGGTCCATTTGAATCAGGATCTCTCTGCAAAATGCCTGGTTACCCTCATTCAAAAACAAAAAAAAATTCTAATAGATCATGAAGTGTAGTCCGTTTCGTCCATCCGTAACAAATATGGTTTCTGTTCGATAACTTTAGTAATGTTTGACGGATTTTAGTGAATTTGATATGAAGGTATGTGGTATCAAAATACAGCCCAAGTTCGATTTCGGAGTAAATTAGGTCAAAGGTCACAGCTCATTGAATATGCAAAAATTGCTAATTATGTACATGAGAAATAGCTGCAGTAATTATGTATTCAAAATATGGTTTCCGTTTGATAAATTAAGTAATGTTAGGTGGATTTTTATAGAATTTCTGTCGTATATAGGACATTTGTTCCTCGATGAGGGGATGCTACGCTTTGCGTTGACTTGTTTTGATTTAACTCGTGGATGCATACATCACTTGTATTGATCTGTAGCTTTCAAAGCTGTAACATTTATGTGATTTTGAAAAGTTTTGTTGAATAGACTTTTTCAACCTTCATTTAGTTAATTTCTTCTTCAGTAGTGATATTTATATGCCTACCATTCTCATCTTACATTACATATTGTCTGTTTAGAGCTAGAATGGCATTAACACATACTTTAACAAAGTACTGATGCCCTTCTTCCTCTAAAGAGGTGTTGTGGTCGAGTGGATACGTCACTGGACTGTCGATCACAAGGTCCACTGTTCAAGTCCCGCCGCAGCACTAATGTCCTTTGGCAAGACATTGATATACATTTGAAATTAATCTTTGAAATGCTGCACCGCTAAAGCTGGGGTAATAATTTCCAAATTTGTTAAGGCCCCTTGAGCATCCCTTGGGGTGGATATATGCACAATATAAATGTTGTTGTTATTATTATTATTGAAAGAGATTATATAACACGATCACATCCTAAGGAACTTATCAATTTAGGTGTTTTACAACCCCTTAAAAGCTGAACGAGTAATATAGAATGTATAGAATAATATAGAATTGTCATATCATTTTAGCGAATGTCTTGTTCTATCCTCTTGCTCTTCAGATTTATGATAATGGAATGATAGCTGCTGGACTGGTAGAAGACCCCCGTCCTATGCTCGGCAGGTTTTATGCTTTCATGGAGAAGTCATTGGAGAAATACTAAAAATAAATAATCATTTTATAACTGAATGTTTGAGACGCCATGTCTCATGCTCTACAATGCATGTGTCTGTATGGAGAAGACATCAAGTGAAAGAATCACCACTCTTCGGTAGAATGGTATATGATTTGCAAACTATGTTTTGTTGCTCATATGATTTCACAAAATACCCTTGGAGAAGATGTGAATGAAGGATGTCCACTCTCCAACACATCGTGAAGCCCTCTTAATGTATAAGGCAGTCAACCATCTAATAAAAAATACATAGAGCAAAATGAAATGACAGAAGCATGGTGCATTGCACATACAGTTGTGCTTAAAGGTAAAGATCAGTTTTGGAAACGCCACCCTCTCAAAAAATGAAATGGAAGTCTTGGTACCAATCATTTGAAAGAATATGTTTTGACTAATACGTGATGATACAAATTTTGGTGAGAAACCGCTACTAATTGATATATTTGGTAAATTGTTATATCTATTTGGACCTGATAGATATTGTGCACGTGTCGCGTAGTCCCATATACATCTTTCTGTGTACAGTGCTTGTATCTTTACCAAGACTGGGCCAAATTTCTTATCATTTTGATGATTCCAGAACCTTTCAGTACACGCCAATACTTATATGCTAGATGATCAACTTTTTCTGAACGATTCTACAACGTTTCTTTCACAATGCAATAGCATGACCATACCTGGTCTTTATCTTTAACATTATTCATACCCTTTCCATGCTTTGTTAATTTTTCTTTTTGTGAACGAATAACAACAAGTGACACTTCAAGAAATACTTATTTCAGGGGTATTTTATTCAGGGATTTACTTAGGATTTACTTAGTCTAATGTCTTTTCTTAATAGTCAATAAAATAGCCTTTGTTTTTTATGACTGCCTCAAGACAGTTCCTGTATTATAGTCCACAAGCTTTGTGTATGTCTCCTGTGAGATTTTGGCCCATTCTTCCTTGTCGAAAGCCTCCGGCTGGGTCAGGTTGGATGGTCTCCCAGCCATCACTCTGGTTTTTAGCTCCCTCCACAGATTCTCTATGGGAGATTTATTATTTATATTATTATTATTATGCAATTGAGGTATAGCCAACCTATGTTGGTTTGTACATACAGTGTAGCAACAGATAGACAAAATATATACAGGAAGTACCAACATAATAGCTTTTAGAAGTTAAGAATTTATTTTCCATAGGGTATGAATACATTTTTAATACAACTGTACAAATGTATAATATCTCAAAACACACATATTATGCTTCTGTTGCACACTGCTACATGTTTTCATTCCCATTTGCCATTCATGTACAAGGGATTATATTTTACCACAGCAGTTTTTGAGGTAGTTTTATGCATCATGTGTAAAATACTAGATAGTGACCATGCTAATGCTTAGAGTGCAGATGGTGCTATATAATATTTACCCAAATTTGATCTTGTACATGTATGCGATAATTATGTTTAGACTATAATGATTTATCTCTTTTTTCCTGGCAAGAGAATGGTGTTAATGTTTGTAAGGTGATTGATCCCTTAGAACACTCCATTAAAAGATTAATTAATAAAAGGGACCCGTCATCAATTCTTGCATTATAAAGAAAATGTTTTAATGCTGTTTGTTTTATCATGTTCTTCATGCATTATAAATGAAGATAAATTAGTTGTCAAGTGACCAAAGCAAATGGATTATATCGAGGGTTCAGTGACACAAAGACGTAACTCCATATTTTGCCAAAATGAGAATTTGATATCAAAATGTTCAGGAAAATGTGGGCTTTCCAGGAAGCACAAAGTCTTAACTCCACCCAACATCCCATTGAAGTTAATGGCTAGTGATGAAACATAGACTTAACTCCTTAAAGCCCAAGTGCTCAGTGACACATAAACCACTTTTTTTTCAAAATGGAGTAATATCTTTGTGTCACTGTCCCCTCCATATCATAATTGTGAATAATTATTTGTGCATCTGCTATTTGCCATTGTCTCTCTGAACTTTGGCATCTTTAAAGCATGCTTATTTTTAATACTTAAAAATGTACTTATCATTTTCAGTTTTGGTCAATAGTTTCAATAAGTATCTTATAAATATATGGATTCAGAGTCACTGGGCCATGTTCTACTGGAATTTAAATCCTTTGCTGGATTTCACCTTTTTTCCAAAATCAGGAGAATTTGTATGAATTAAAAGGAAACAAGAAAACTTTTTGATTTTTCAATATACCCTTTTAAACTTTTGTCAAATTCCTTATTAAAATAATAAAAGATCTATAAAACCTATAACTTTTTGTGGATATTTAATTTGCATTTCTGTGTGTTGTGTTGTGTGAAGATTTTTTATATTTTCTGTCCAAAATGCAAAGAAATTAGATATTGATGGTTTTCAATTTGCATCAATTTTCTTTTCTTTGTTTTGTTGTTTTAGAAAGAAAATTAACTAAAAATATAAATATTTACTTGGTCATGATTGTTCATGGAGACATATTGATCTCTTCTTATCACCCCAAATTATTGAATTTCGATATGATGTGTTCCTTTCATACTTGTATTCATGAAAATGTCTGAAATTAACATGGACTTATATAAGGACCATGTTATATGATGGTCTGGAGAAACTCATTTTTGCCTTATTAGAAAATCATTTAAAAATTATGAAATTACGGGAAGAAAGAAAGAAAGAAAGCAAATGCATGCCTTAAATTTCACCAGGGAACTCGAGTATATAATGCCTGCCCGTTTACCAAATTCTCTAAAAAACAGTGGTTGTCCCATTTTTTGGGTTTCTTTTTCTGCAGAAATTAACAAACCATAAGTTGCATTTTAAACTTCAAATGATCATATATAAGTTCAAGTTGAGTTGCACCAATGTAAACCCCTATATTTTTTTGAAAGTCAAGTTGGATCGTTTATAGCTCGCATTTCATGGCATAATCATCGCTTTGATTATTTTCATTAGAAAGTGTGTTAATTCCTCTTTTTAAATGATACCATATTTGTTTTGATTTTGCAGCCATGAAGTGAAAGGTGCATTTGAATGAGGTGAAAAGCTGCTATTATGAACTGGTAATCACTGTTTTGCTGAGCTCTCTTCCTTTCTTCGACATAAGAGAGTGTGACTTTTGTAAATGACAGGGGAGCTATTGTTCCCAACTGCCATCAATGAATGCCATCAAAGAATCTGCAATTGAAATCCATGCATTATGGTGCCTTGCCAAGCAAGATTTGCTCGTGTTAGGTACGGTCATCAACTTTCTGAATCATCATGCCTACATTAACAATTGTTGAAAAGCTGAGGCTTGGGCAATTATAATTCAATCTGAATGCACAGTCTGAATGCGCAGTGCATTTTGCAACTTTTCACTTTCGACCTTGCCCCTTATCTTTATCTACTTACTGCACATTCCATGACTGAAAATCATAATAAATGGGGTATCATTTAAAAAAAAAGAAATTACTTTTTAACAGTGTACTAAACATAGCGATGATATTATGGCATATGTCGATAGAGATGTAATCGATCATATACTTTAGGCCCAAAGCATTATTTGGAGAAATTGGGAGGGGGGCGGTCGATATGGCAGAAACAGCGAAAAACTATATTCATTTTTTAATTGAAAACTCGAAGATACCGTACGTTGAGAATATACCCGTTCATGCAGTTGAGGTCGCCATTTTAATTTGCGAGTAAACGTTGCGTCATCAATGTTTTCAGATGCGCATGTACTGTTGCGTCAGTGCCTATATGTGCTCACATGCGCTTAGCATGTTGCATAAAATAAAAGTGACGCGACATGGGTGCCATTTTAAATTGCGAATTACTCTAAATACACTGAGGCTGGGTTCTTTGGGATATTCACTGGGTGTGTGAGCCAACCACTAATGACAGCTTATCTGAGATAAGGGGGGGGGGGGGGGGGTTGGTCTGCATGTCCTGAGATAGGGGGGTTCATTGAGCAGTACGTGTTCCGGATTTAGGGGGGTCTCCAAGGCAGGAAAAGATCGCAAAAGGAGGGTCCAGAAATTTTGGTAGTCCTCAGATAGGGGCGCTTTCAAAAAGAGGGAACAAGCATATGCGTACCCTAAATAACATTGAGTGGGGGGGGGGGGGGCGTGTTACTCACACTCAGTTATTGTACCTCTTATCAGACATTGTACAAACATCTGCACTGCACCTCAACAGTACGACAATACACCTGACGGTGGCCTGTACTGCAACTGAAGAAGAGAAGAAGTTACCGTCAGACGAGACGCGCACAATTTTTTTCCTTTCCTATTGTACGATTTGGAGACACTATAGCTTTCATTATTGATGGATACTTCGTACCTTCGTGGTACATTCAGCATACGCTCAGTATACAGGCCGCGCCAACGTACGTACGTCTAGTACGGCAGTTTCAAGGAGCTACATGAAGCGGCGTTGAGATCATTCAGAAATCGTACAATGGCTGTGAATTATGCAGGAACAAGTTCAGGTTCGGTAAGTAGATTATAGGCCTAACACAATAGCAAAGAAGAAGAAGAAGAAGAAGAAGAAGAAAAAGGCCGGAAGTTTACAGTGCGGACAATAGGGTGTCTGATCGCGCACCCGATGTTGTGTGCTAAAATTCTTCCCATAGGCAAAGGCATAGATTCTAGTCGAGATTGCACGCATCCCTATGCAGTCTATGTACGTGCGTGCATTGCGCGACTTAGACCGAAAGCTTCAGTCTCTATAATCGTCGGTTGTTCCACTGTCTGAGACTACGTCTGGCTCCACTAGACCTCCGGTTATAGAGACTGAACGACTGCCTATGCCAGCCTGTGTTGAACTTATTCTGCTAGATTTTAGCCGCTAGGCCCCTCCCACAAACTTGCCACGGCCGTATTGTTATGCCCCCAAAATCCCCCAAAATGTCATTTTACCTCGTTCATTTCCAATTTTAAATTAGGCCTAGGCTATAATACATCGGTTCCACTTACTAACTGGATTGATATAATCCGTTTAATGGTCCCTTTTAAGGAAATTATCGGTCAAAATCGACATCCATGTTGAAAATCTTGCAAGCCGTGTTAAACTCTCGCTGCCGTCAATCTCATCCCTTCTAGTCTACGCCGAAGGCAAAATTATTATGAAGGAAAAACTGTGCGCCATCTACACGTTCGTAATGGCGTTATCACAGTTTTTCCTTCATAATCATTTTGCCTTCGGCGTAGACTAGAAGGGATGAGATTGACGGCAGCGAGAGTTTAACACGGCTTGCAAGATTTTCAACATGGATGTCGATTTTGACCGATAATTTCCTTAAAAGGGACCATTAAACGGATTATATCAATCAAGTTAGTAAGTGGAACCGATGTATTATAGCCTAGGCCTAATTTAAAATTGGAAATGAACGAGGTAAAATGACATTTTGGGGGATTTTGGGGGCATAACAATACGGCCGTGGCAAGTTTGTGGGAGGGGCCTAGCGGCTAAAATCTAGCGGAATAAGTTCAACACACGCTGGCATAGGCAGTCGTTCAGTCTCTATAACCGGAGGTCTAGTGGAGCCAGACGTAGTCTCAGTGGAACAACCGACGATTATAGAGACTGAAGCTTTCGGTCTATGCGCGACTATGCAAAATTGGTCAATTTTTTTTCTTTCAAATCGAGATTCAAACCTTCTTCTTCTTCTTCGCTATAAGTACAGGCTACCGTCGGGTGTATTCTCGTACTGATACTGATTGTAGGTGCTGTGCAGGTGTATATATACATGTGTTGTCTCAATAAAAGGTCTACAATGAGCTAGGTCTATGTGCAGTTAAATCTCCATATTTCCAAAGGGGCTGCATCTCGGAATTCTAAAAATATCTTGGTCAAAACAGCGATTTAAACATTGTGTCCTGGGCCTGGCCTGGCTAACTACGAAGTTTGTCATTTTTGAGATATGCAGCCCAGGGGCTCGTTCCTAGAAACCAACGACAACAAGACAGTCGTAACTTTATCCGCCAACTACGGAGATGTCTCTGATCTTCCTAAACCGTTTCACGAAGAGCTTACTAGTAGGGTGTCTGATCGCGCACCCGATGTTGTGTGCTAAAATAATTCCCATAGTGATTGCACGCATCCCTATGTAGTCTACGTCCATTGCGCGACCATGAAAATTGGTCAATGACTTTATGAAAAAATTGAAATTCAAACCTTTGGGGCTTGTGATCCTGAAGGTGAAACTCAATAAATGAGGTGTCATATGAAAGAGCAGGTTTTCTCCATATTCCCCAAAGGGGCACTCCCCCGAAATTCTAAAAATATCTTGGTCAAAACAGCGATTTAAATGATGTTTGCATCCTAGCTCAAAAATTTGCCACTTTCCTGAGCTGCGCTCCCCGGGCTTATGTCCGGCTAGACGTAAGGAAAATATGTATGCACTTATTTCGCTAGCCCCAAGAGATCACTCGCCCCACATTTTTGGAATCGGCTAATTAGGGAGGCGAGAGCTCCGCTCAATCCAAACCATGGTTACATCGTGTAACGTGCGCTTATAGTGAATGAAAGTATGGATGGCCGTTCGCACCATAAACCCCGGAAGTGAATACACTTTATAGTCAATGGCAATATGGCGGAGACAACGTGCACGTTGTCTCCGCGATATTGCCATTGACTATAACGTGTATTCACTTCCGGGGTCTATGGTGCGAACTGCCATCCATACTAGTCAATGGCACATATCGCGGAGACAGCATGGCTCAAGCTGCAAGTTGCGCATTACATGCGTACGCTATGCATACGCTTGCATATCGCGCGATACAGCTGTTTGGCTAAATTTAGCAAAGCAACATAACTCTGCGTGTACGTCTTTTTCGTCGATTCTGAGCAAAATCCTATGAATATTGCAGCGTTTCGGAGGGGCTGTATCTTTTGATAGAAACATCTGAAATTGAAATGTATTATTCTGATTACATTTTTAATTCAAATATCAAACAAAAATGGGGAAAAAACGATCCCAAATTGAAAATTGAAAATTGAAAAATCGTTCAGACACCCTATTAGCTAGTATCTCGTGAGATCGATAGGCTACTATCGGCGAAAAGAGGAGCCAAGACTTAGCACAATAATAGGCCTACCACCGGATTATTACAAAATTAATATTAGGGAAAATGCAATTATTTAAATGAATTAGATCTAGTAATAAAAAAGATTGAAAATGATACCAAGGAATAAGAGATGCAATATACTTCCAAATTTGTGTAGATTATACAACAGAAGTACTTGTAAAATATAAGTGTAAGTATTTCATTACATGACCGGTGAATCCGTTTTGTTCTTGAGATGGGTACCCCCCGGAAATTTTCATTTGATAGTTTATAAAAATACACCCTTATATTCTTTTTATAAAAATACAATGTTTTGAAAGTTTTGTCCATTGTTTAAAATTTAAGGCGTCAGTAAAATTTTTAAATGACAAAACTTTGATATTCCAAACATTAAAACTCATGTTTTAAAGTATTAATTTTACACATTTGAAGATTTTTTTTTTTTTTTTCAATGACGTAAATTTTCAAGTTTTTGGCTATCAAATGCTCCAAAAAATTCATGGCTGGGTTTATTTTGTCATTTGGAGTTGTTGTAGACCATGTTTGTTGATATTTAGTGCCTTTTCATGACTTTGACATTAATGATAGAAGAGAAGAGACAAAACATGCGAGCCGCCATCTTGGATTATAATGTAGGCATGCATTATAATCCAAGATGGCGGCCCGCATGTTTTGCCTCTTCTCTTAGACCAATATTATTGATTGATTGATTGATAGATTTTTATTCGACAAGCTTCCAACATACAACATACCGTCTGCTCAAGCTTTTGCTTATAACGGCGACCTTCTGCTTTCTTTCTTTATACACGCAATGGCCCAACGTATAAATTTACTCTTACTCATGTATTATACATTTGTTTCTATAATTTGGATATTGTTTGCATACCTTGTGTTTTATATAATTATCCATATTTGTTGTATAACTGATTTTGTTTGATTGCAGAAAATAAAGTCTTTGAAATGAATATACAATAATAACAGATCAAAAATAAGTCAGCTTGAACAGGATAACCCACGAAAGCTCAAGAGCTTATTACTAGTGGGGTCCCTTACAGACATGTATGAAATTAATAAGTTAAAATAGTAATATTTACAGACAGATAAGAAAATTAAAAGAACTACTTTATTAAAGATAATAATAATAATCACAACATTAAACTGATGATAGAAATGATATTAAGTACAAGAAGAAAAAGAAGAAGGAGAAGAAGAAAAAGAGGAGAAGGAAGAAGAGGAAAATAATGATGAATTTGTAGAATTTCTATAACGTACGAAAACATAAGTATATACAACATGAAAAAGTATGAACCGACAGAAGAATAAAAATTTCAATCATATAACATGTCATTCACTTCTCTGACTGTCAAGTATTAGGTATTCCTTTAATTTCCTCTTAAAATGATCATAGTTTCCTATTTCTTTTACACCATTGGGAAGGAAATTCCAATGTTTTATGGCATTGTAATAACATGAATTTCCAATACTACCTACTCTTTCTGGTAAGTTAAAGTTGAATCGGCTATTTCTTGTATTATAATCATGTAAGTCAGTGACAAGATCGAAGTTGGATCGAATATAATGATTCAACCTAGTATGATATATTTTATGCACGTGATGCAATACGAGTTGTTTTGATCTTTGGTCGACTTCAAGAAAACCAGCTTTAGAAAGTTCGCTGTAGCCAACATGAGTTCTTGGACCAGAACAGTTACTTGATAAATCTCACCATTTTGTTCTGTATAATCTTCAACTTCTTTTGATCTGACTTGTTTATGTTACTATACCATGCAGGGTTAGCATAGTCAAATAAACATTGAATAAGAGCAAAACAGAGTGTACGTCTTGCTTTTAAATCCATACAACTTTGATATCTGTACAAAAATTTCAGACGAGAATTTGCTTTTTTTACAACTGATTCTACTAAAGATGAAAATGAAATTGCGCTAGCCAACTCAATGCCTAAATACTTCACAGACTCTTTTCTCTTGATTGCTTGATTATTGTGTGTCACTTTGAATTCAAATGACTTTTTAGAACTACTTTTAGAACAAAATAAAATGCTTTCTGTTTTTCCCAAGTGTAAAGAAAGCTTATTATCAGTCATTCAATCGACACACGTAGACAGCTGTTCACTGAGCTTTTCCTCAATATATTTAGGATCAGGATTTGAATAGAGTAGTATGCTGTCATCTGAGTACAATAATAGTTTGAAGTCTTTTATACAAATACACATATCATTTATATAACTTGATTTCACAATGAGGGCGCTGTAATGCTGACGCCTACACTTATACACTTATATTTTTGCTCAGACTTTTGATTTTTTTTTTCACCTAGAATTTTACTTTTTCGTCAAATATGTTACGACTTTGCATAGCTATTTGGGCAGAAACCAACTCTGCCCTGGACATCGTGATGATTTTG